GGAAGCTCCTGGTTCACCAACATCACTGTGAACGCTGCCAAGTGACCCAAAGAGGCCTACTGATCTTGGTCACTTGTGGATTGAACCAATCCATTTTTATCCAAATCTCATGTCAGTTGGTTTCCAATTTTGCTCGCAAAATCACCATCCATTTTTACAAAACGAGCTGCAACACATGGCAGCCGGTCAAAAGGATGCGACTCAACAGTGAAGTTTCAAGCCCCGATTGAAGCTGCGTAAGTCCCGTATGTTTTTTATCAAAAGGGGGGCTTCCAAAGCAATGGAATCAAAGCAATGTGTCTATCCGTCTATCCTGCAATTTCATCTGACATCATTGACATCATCTCAGCATATTTCAGCCGCTCTTGCTGCGATGGCTTGCTATCCCTTGAACAAATCAGCTGGCTGGATGCTTTGCAACACTTGCCTTTCAAGGAGACATCTTGCTCTCATATACTGGCCGCGACCTGACCAAAACAGGCTACAAGGTAACCATAAGTACGGAAGTTTAGCTTGAGTTTTGCGTCGGATGGCTTGGGGAGACGCTGATGGCAGCCGTGCAGCACGCTTCAGCGTTTTTTTAACCGCCAAATGGCCCATGACAAGTCAGTTCTTGTTCGCCATTGATTGGGAAAAATGACGACATGTCGAAACCGCCACTCCACGACAGGTCTTTTGAACCTCTGGAGAGGGGCTGCTGATGCGGCTATGCCATTGGGCCATTGGGGACTGGGGACCTAAATCCAGCAAGGGAGAAAATTGGGGGTTCATGAGCGTGGAACCATCTGCATATGATCAGTTTGTTGTTGTTTTTGTTGGGAGAAGTGATGACATGCCTGGATGATTTCGATAGAAGCGACGTGTCACCTTTGAAGGGTGCAGTGGCTGAGAGGTAGGGAGTGCTGTTCTTGTCACCGATTATCGCTTTAAAAAAAACGACGTGGAGTAGAAAGGGCTAGCTGCCTGAATTGCTTCACAACTTCATTCATGATCCAGCTTTGTGAGGGAGAAAGTCCACTTGCTTGACCCCTGCCCTCTGAGGGCAAGCTTTCACGTTTCATCCTTTCTGGATGCCCCTCCCATGTCTGCCTGTCTGCCTAATGGTGAAATTGCAGCTACAACTGCGCAGTCTTCAACCCAGTTATGCGACAAACCCTGATAATTTGCAGCCGCGGAAGCCACGCGTATTGCAATCCCCGGAAGTGGAAGAAGTCCAATGAATTCCCATGTTCTTGGTACCAAACAAAAACGCATCAAAGTGACTGTCTCATATAAATTGTGGCGTTTTTGTTGCAGGTCAGATCCTCAAGCTCATCTATAAATCTTTACAAAAAAAACTTTATGTGCTCATATTTATGTGCAAAAAACATCCTTACAACATCTATAAATCTAGCTGCTCATTCTCAGCCAAAGTCACGACCAAATTTCATATGGATCATATGGATTTCATTGACAACGCTGGATTTCGGTGGACTCCAGCCCTGGGATGCCCGTAATTCATGGCCATCTGGGGAAAATGATGATACAATCCTAACTTATGATAACTAGTTTGGCAATTTTGATGTGGAAAGATGGGAAAAGATGGGAAACTGACATATTTTAAACAAGTGATGGCTTTTTCCCATAATTTTCAGACAAACCCATATCAAACAAGTCTGCAGAGGTTTTAACCACGCCAGAGAAAGTTAAGAAATGTGGCGAAGTTCGCCAGTCCCTGCCCAAAGCCGCTGGGACGCAGAACCTCAAAACTTTAAGAACTGAACTTTTGAGATTTACACAATTTACACTCATATGGTTTCCTGAAATGCGGGTACCTCCAAATCATCCATTTTTTTTAGAAGATTTTCCATCATTTTCCATTGTAAACCATCCAGCGATAAAGGGGTACCCCGCCCCCAACGGCTCGGATGAGTCGAGTCTTGGTGATTCTCAGTCAAAGGCTGCAGCTTCTTACGTCAAGTTCTGCCCTGGGCTTCACCGCGGAGCTGTTTTCAGCCTGCGATGCAAAGATGATGCGACGCGATGTGCCATCTCCAAACGTCTCTGGCTGCGGGTTCTCACATGTGATCACTCTGTTGCTGCCTCAATGACTGGGACAAAACACGGTGGGGTGTCTTCATCACTGGCCGATCTTGGAGATTTTCCGGCAACATTTTCGTTTGAGCCACCAGCTCAAAAAGAACATGTCCAATCAACAGCAGCAACTCTGCGAAGATTCCGCCTCATAGATCCGTGTCTTGAATCCGAATCAGGACTGCAGGACAGTTACTGTTTGAAGCTTCAATCACTGGCCATTTCAGGAACCTAAATTGTAGGTACCTACCTATATTGGAAATATGGGCTTATATGGTACTAACGTACCTCCATTTTAGGATCCTGAAATTCCCATTGATTCAAGGGTTTGCAACGTTCCGTTGCCACGGAAGAAGTCTTGGGAGGAAACCATCTCAGGCGATGTTTCCTCACAAAAAAAGAGGTCTTCACCTTAAATTTCTCTTTGCTGATGGGATTTTACCCCAATGTATATCTATGATTATCTATGTATATCTTTATTTAAGTGGCAACTGTCATTGTGAAAATGTTTCACAATGATGGCTCTTGAACATTCTTGACGACCTGGATGGAACTGTGCAACTGTTGGTATGAAACACTGTAAATACTGGGATTATAACGGGATTCACCATCTACCAACTGGTGCAGGATTTCTTCCATCCACGAAGTGTCAAGCAGATACTGGCCAGTCGCAAGCGAGATGGATATGACCTGGTGTCACCTAAGTCACCTAGGCAAACAACAGTCCAATGACCAAGAATTTCTTACACCTGCGACCCTCAACACCACGGCTTTCTTTAGTGAAACTCCCGAAATTCAGTGATTTCCTGGGTGTGCCAAGTTTCGAAGACTCTCCATGTGTGCAATCGCCATAACGGCACGGCATGGTGGGACATATGAGACTATCCAAATGTTCAAGCTCCGGTTTGAGACAAGAAAGCTATATGGACATGCGACAGTCACCAGCTCTCAGCCTCTCAAACTTTGCGACACATCGGAGGCTGGACAAGTTGACACCTATTTGCTGGTGTACAAAATGATCTTATGACTGGAGATGTTTGAAGATATCTCTTGGTATAGTGCCAGCCAAAGAATAATAGTTTAGTTTAGTTTTTACCAATCCACTTCCAGGTTTTGCAAAGCGACAACGTTTGGTGCCTGTCACAGGACTCCGACCTTGAGTGTTGCTGCACCACAGACCCGCGGAAGGAGCTGGTCCAGGGAAAGTGACAGTGTGCAATATCATGCCAGTTTACAGCCTAATGATGGCAGTCCGTTACTCCGAGTTGATCCCAAGATCAATGGGCACCTGATTTCCAAAAATCATCTCTGCTCAAGCCTCTGGCAGGCTTTCATTGCTATCCCATCCACCTTTGTCAAAGATTAGGCCTGCACAAGCTTCAGCGTTCTCAAGACTTCAGAACTCAGCCTCCTGACAAAACCAGGAAGCATAGTAGGCAACTTGTTTCATGGAGACGGGGACGCTGTCGATCTCCCAACCAAATAGAAGTTTAGCGTCCAATCAACTGCTGCATTTCTGGTGGTGGTGGCAATACGTATACATGGTATACATATTCATGGTGCTCTTAACTAAAATCCAATGTATTTGCAGATAAAACCAGCTGAACTCTGCATGCTTTTACAGCAAAACAATCCACGCTTTGAAGGCTTAGGCGTGACCACCCAACAGCCAGGCTGTGCCGACCAAAGTTTCATCCAAAGTATCGATGCAAGGAATGCTCTTCGCATTTTCTGATATGTTTCCAATGTGTCCAACATCTTTTTTCATGTCAAGATATGTCAAGATATCTTCAGATCAAGCTCTTGGAGATTTTGGGACTGGAAATCTTCGATGGACTTTGGGACCCCTGGGATGCTGAGGCCATGAACGACGAACTGAAGAACTGTGACTAATCACGGGAGCATGGGTGTCAAATGACTCAACATTTGATGCTAGTCACCTGCAGCGCAAAAGTTCGATGTCTTTGGGGTGATGTAGCCAACATACCTGTCCAGAAATGGGGGTATACCCTTAATTTACGGCAATTTTAAATTGGAAAATGATGATTCACTAATAGATTTAGGATACCCCATTGACAAACCCGAATGCGCATGCCTCGTTTTCCTCCTTGCAAGTCTCCTCACTGGAAACGAGTTCAGATTCCCATCCGCGGCCACACTGCAAGTGCAACATTCGGAACTGGGATCAGGACCAAATCGTCATCTTTTCTCCAACCTGGGACCCAGTGTATTAGAAGCCAGGAAAATGGTCTATTTCAGTGGGTTTCCCCTGAAGCTGAGGGGAATCTGCTTCGTGGGAGATTCCTTCAGACCCCTCCGATCATCAGGATGCATAGCTGGTAACTGGTAGTCGTGCTGTCTGGACAAGTCATGGTGCCATTTATATACTGTTACAAGTTACAAGAGGCAAAGGAATTGGAGCAGCAGGACAAGCAGCACCAGCCAAAACCATTCCTCTACAGCTGATTAAGTCGGCAACCATTCAGCTGAAATTCCAGCTGAACCAGGCTTCTGAAGGACAAACAGTTGACAGCTAGTGGTCAGGGTGCCACCCACCTGGAAAACGGAATTTTCAGTGGCATAGAAGTGGCACGGAAATGGCTTTCGAAGCGAAACTTTCGGATGTTTGCAAAAAATGAGTCTGGTGATCCCTGGCCGTCCTTTAAGATGGCCATCTGACGACTCCAAGTCATGTTTGGTCTACTGAGCACCGACCTGCTGGGCCTGAAGATTTCTCACCGATCTGGAGACTTCAAGTGGAGGTCACATCACTGATGTCTCTGTCACTGGATATTTCTCTGTCACTGGATATTTTTCGTAAATGCTTGAATTGAAGATGATACACAGCCTGGCCCTGAAACACTTAGGGCCCATATGGCTTATAGAAATGAGGTGAACACACTAAATTGCGGCGAAGAAACGATGTGCCAATGGACCCACCTGGTTTTGGTTTTCGGCTTTACCAATCCCCCAGGGGAGGGGTCAACTTTAAGCCCGGCTCACGCCGCGACGCCGCAAGGTGAAGCGCGGCAGGATCTCAACTGCTGCTTGAAGTGCTGGGTTGGTCACAGATGCTGATGGCAACCTGACAAGACGTATTGGTAAAGGATGCCCCAAAGAGACAAAACGTCAGGCTCTCCAGCCGAAAACGCCGTCAGCATAAAGCGCAGAGCGATGAAAACATCATGGCCGCGGTGATGTCACGGGTTTCTTATCGGGGAGCGGTCCAAAACAGAAGGGCCCCTGGGCTTCTTTTTTCCAAAGATCCCCAAGTTATGCAGGACTCTGAGGTGAAGAATCGAGATCATCAATGCTTGGGTCTCAATTCCAGATGAGGTTTGCTGTGCAGAGTCCCATTTTTTGCAATGTGTGATTGTCGTTGAGGGCAGCATCAGAGCTGTGTCTGGTGATCATCGGCCTATTCTGGACAGTCAATCTAGTCGATCTAAGAATTCAAAACCGAGATTTGTCAAAAAAGTGACTTAGTCAGTCAGTTCAGCGCTTTCAGGTCAGCTTTGACTTAGTCAAGGCTGCTCCTGATTCGGGGCCCCGGCCCAGTTTGAACTTCGCCGTCCAAGCCGCTGGGCTTCTCCCAGCTGAAGCAGACAGCCCACCTGGGTTGCGCCACAATCCTCCAGGGCTAGGTCCAAAGACCTGAGCAGGCCGCGATCTGACCGATCTGATGTACTGAGCGGGGTAGCATATGTTTAATATGTATATATATATGTATTGCATATATGTATTGCATATATGTATATATACTCTGATATATTGTATCTACATTGTATCTATATTGTATCTATACTGCGTAAATAGATATATACATATATATATACACATATCACTGTATATATATGTATGTATATACTGTGTATATGTGTATATTATAGTAGTATTATATTTACTTATTATATATAATACATATAGTACAGTATATATTATAGTATATTATGTTTAAAAACTATAGGAACAAACTATAAGAAACTGCAATTCGTCTAGGTTTGAACCTGACGGTTTGTTCCTGGAGCAACTGCCGCATCTGTCGATTGGGGGTGCAGTCCTTTAGGTTCCATCTCCAAATATCCTCTGGTAATTTAACATAGCTATGGAAAATGGTGCATTTGTAGTTGATTTACCTAGTAAAGATGGTGATTTTCCATAGCTATGTTAAATTACCAGAGGGTATCCTCAAATCACTAGAAATACTCAGATATGGAGCTTTCATGAGGTTTCCGAAGTCATAGGGCTACCTATTTTTTCTCATCCATGGATTTTCCCGACAAAAAAACCAACCAGCGATAAAGGGGTACCCCCATGACTGTGGAATCCCCTGGGATCCCATTTCCCAAAGTGGGGAATCCGCCAGTGAGTCAGTTCATATTTCATGAACAGATTCATTTTTTGTGATTTAATTCATGTTAAATCTTCACTATTTGGATCTATGTGGTTGCTTTATCCTGTTTATCACCATACAATCCCTAGCAATCCAGTTGCTTCACCGACTTTTTACATGCGGGTTCAAACCAACTAATATCGAGATGCTTCATATTCGCCCCGATAGAAAACTAGTTCCAGCCGATATCCCCAACTAGATCCAGCCATCCAGATTCAGCAACCACTGCCAATTACCATCAATATGATCATCAATTTGATCATCAATTACCATCAATATGATCATCAATATGATCATCAATATGATCATCAATATGATCATCAATATGATCATCAATATGATCATCAATATGATCATCAATATGATCATCAATATGATCATCAATATGATAACCAATCATCATCAATATGATCATCAATTACCATCAATATGATCATCAATTACCAATCAATATGATCATCAACCACCATCAATATGATCATCAATTACCAATCAATATGATAACCAATCATCATCAATATGATCATCAATTACCATCAATATGATCATCAATTACCAATCAATATGATCATCAACCACCATCAATATGATCATCAATTACCAATCAATATGATAACCAATCATCATCAATATGATCATCAATTACCATCAATATGATCATCAATTACCAATCAATATGATCATCAACCACCATCAATATGATCATCAACCACCATCAATATGATTACCAATCAATATGATCATCAACCACCATCAATATGATCATCAATTACCAATCAATATGATCATCAACCACCATCAATATGATCATCAATTACCAATCAATATGATCATCAACCACCATCAATATGATCATCAATTACCAATCAATATGATCATCAATTACCAATCAATATGATCATCAACCACCATCAATATGATCATCAATTACCAATCAATATGATCATCAACCACCATCAATATGATCATCAATTACCAATCAATATGATCATCAACCACCATCAATATGATCATCAATTACCAATCAATATGATCATCAACCACCATCAATATGATCATCAATTACCAATCAATATGATCATCAACCACCATCAATATGATCATCAACCACCATCAATATGATCATCAATTACCAATCAATATGATCATCAATTACCATCAATATGATCATCAATTACCAATCAATATGATCATCAACCACCATCAATATGATCATCAATTACCAATCAATATGATCATCAACCACCATCAATATGATCATCAATTACCAATCAATATGATCATCAACCACCATCAATATGATCATCAATTACCAATCAATATGATCATCAATCACCATCAATATGATCATCAATTACCATGAATATGATAACCAATCAGCATCAATATGATCATCAATTACCATAAATATGATGGATCAATATGATAATCAATATGTTCATCAATATGATGACCAATATGATGACCAATATGCTGACCAATATGATCATCAATTACCAATCAGGTTAGCATCAATTACCACGGTCTTTTTCGCTTTCAGATCACCACCAAAGTCACCAGCGCGCTGGCGCGCCGAGGCACTCAGCCGTCCAGTCACGAAGCCGCCATGAGAGGATCCTGGACCGTCGGGATCGAAGAAGAGCTGCGAAACCATAGGAAAACCATAGGAAAACCATAGGAAAACCATAGGAAAACCATAGGAAAACCATAGGAAAATGGAGGTTTTAATGGGAAAACCATAGGAAAACCATAGGAAAACCATAGGAAAACCATAGGAAAATGGATGAAAATGGAGGTTTACCCTCTGGTGATGACTAACAGTTTGCCATGGAAAGATCCACCATGCTATTAAGAACGGTAAACCATCTATTTCTATGGGCGATTTTCCATGGCCATGTTAAATAACCAGAGGGTACCCAATAGCAATGGCAAATTTCGGCAATTTCAATGCAATTTCAATGAGAGAATCCGGGATTCGGATCGATCTTCCGACAAACCACATATCTTCGGTTTTTGTAAGGATTCCTTGGGCACTTTTACGCATTGTTCCCAACTGGTGCATCCGCTTGTCTATCAGCCATCAACAGCAATTTGTGCTATGTGAGGTTATGTGAGCTTCAGTTTTCCGCCAGTCAAGATGTCAAAAGACTTCATACGGGCTGCAACACATGGGAAAAAATGGAAGAAGTACCACTGTGATTCAACCAACATTCAGAGTATGTATGACCAAATTTAGGAGAGGGCCATCATACTAAATTTAACGTCGACGTTCCTTGCAATTGATAGGACTATGAAGTCATGGCATGTCATGGCTAGGTTTTTCGCCAGCTCCGAGTCAACACTCTTTTTCCATCGGGAACGAACCGAAGTGCCAGGTCACCAGGTCGTTTGTTGCGGATGAATTGGATGAACATTTGTACCCCAATTTGACGCTTTATCATGATTTGTTTACCCTCTGGTGAACATACAAAAAGCTATGGAAAATGGCCATTGAAATAGTGGATTTTACCATGAAAAATGGTGGATCTTTCCATAGCAAATGGTTAGTTCACCAGAGGGTAATGATTTTTTCCATCTTGACTTTGCCATTTGGCTAATGGGTACCCTAGTGCCCTGGTGAACATCAAAATAGCTGGGATTTATGGATGGTCATTCCCCTAAAAATGTATAGGTATTGACCCATACCCATTTGGGGGTAAACGGGGTAAACCAAATTTCAGAGATGCCCACATTCTGGGTAAATTATCATCAATAATTCACTAACCTGAAATGTTGGGCTATCTTGGGGATGATTCCCCCGAATCCTAACCATGTTTATAGCGAGGGAGAACAGTGAGGTCGTTGTAATTTACCCAGATTATCTATTAACATTCATTATATCCCATAATCTACCCATAATTATCCAGTAATTAGACATTATAATTATATCCATTATTATCCCATAATAAACCACCATGCATCACAATGTGTGTTGGTGAACGATGTTCGCGCGGTCAAGACACTGGAGTGAAGGCACTGTGCATTGCGCACGTCATGGCGCGTTTCTTCTTCTCCGACTGTCTGACGAGGAAAATGTTTTTTTTTAATATCCAGGAATGACTCGGAATTATATACTTGGAACATGTCCAACATGTCTATCTTTAGTGTTCTAGAGTTTGAAGAGAACAATCTAAGATCACTCGGAGCTGCGAAATGCTGTATTCTCACGAATTTAAGTGACTTTTCAAAACAGGAATATTTTCGGTTTTGAACCATTTGATTGTTGAGTTTCCATATTTTCAGACAATCCCTACGTGTTTCAAGTTACGGACTCTCCAACTTTAAGCCAGGCCATTCCTGCGGCATATTTCTGCTGAGTCGAACGAAGGTATTGGTAATACTTCACCAACCTGGTTTTTTTGTTGGTGATAGTTACTAAGTTACTATATATAGTATACCATATCTAATTATGATTTGCATTGGCATAAACATAATTTTTCGAACTGGACAAGCGCTGGAGAATCCCCTGGAAAAGTACCATGTTGGGAGGAGATCTTCATAGCAGGTGCCTGGGCAAATCAGAACGTCCCCTAAACCTGACATAAGCTGGTCGGGCTGGTTTCATTTCCTTTAGGTAATCATCATCTATAAATAAATAAGCATCTATAAGAATGAATAAGCATCTATAAGTCTAAAAGTGAGATCCTTGTTGAGATCGTCAAAAAAAATCACCCGAAACATAAGTAAATATTCCTTGATAATCTTGATATGCAACCGCCGCTTTCTGAAATGTACTCTGTCTGAAAACTCTTCAACCAATCCGGGATAAGTTATCATCCCTATACGTAGTGAGGATGACAAACAAAAAATAGGATCTGGAATCACCCGTTGCAAACATGGTCGCACTCCTGATTTGAAACAATATATAAAACTACAATCTATAACTACAATATATAACATCATCAATTGTAATATTATAAAACCAAGACTAGAAATGATCATAAATTGCCATGTGGATAAAATCAAATCAAAATTCACTCACCTGAACAGAGGCCATTTTGGGATAGCTACCCCAGAATCATCATCATGCCAGTGGCGTCACGATAAGATGTTATACATACAATTATATACATATAATAAATCCCTAGTATATCAATTCCTCCCTTTATATATCTTTATATCCTCAGTATATCCCATAGTATCACTATTTAGTTGGCTAAAATCCGCTTCCTTGATTTTTCTGGGTGGGATTTTTGCCTCACAGGAGGCAAAATTCCCAGAGTCAGGAGACGATCTAAAAACCACCTGAACATGTTCAGTACCCTCTTGGAAAGTCGCCAAATTACAATGGTTGGTTTTCATGGTAATTCCCAATGGATTATGATGATCGGCAGTAGATAAAGCGGTGTATAGCCCCCTATGATTGTCATTTTATCAATAGTTATCAATCACATCCGCATTTTTTTGCATGGTTCTGGTGGTTGGGGCCCCTATAAATGACGTTTCCATCACCCAAAACTGGATTTCTTGAAGCTGCCCAGACTGCCCAGACTTTTCGCCGTCGAGGGTGCATGCCCACCTGGCCAAGGGCCAAGCTGAATTTGATTCGATATGATTAGATACTTGGCACTGGTCAATTTATCAAGAGTTCCTCAAACATCTGCTGTTTCATTTGATGTTTTTTGCATGTAACTTTCGGGCAATGAATCATCAACCGTCACCACCTCAGAGAGTGCGTTTCCGGTTTTCCGGGAAAAAACATCTTGGCCCTCAGCGGTGCCTGGTTTTTCGTGCCACTCGATGTCTTCTCCTTTGACGAATCTAGCGATGATCCCGCTGAACTAGCATAAAAAAGGCCACTGATTCTTACCCTTTGGTAGTAATAATAGGCAAATCATCCACAAAAATGGTAGTTTTCCAGGGTGAACTGTGAGGTTCCCGTGGTGGACAGCTTCCCCAAAATAGACCTCAGGGGGTCATTCGTCCACAATGAATAGCCGATGTCAACCGACGGTTGGCCGCCGGGCCATTGGGCCCCAGTGTGAGCACGTCCACGGAACCGGTGCCGCTGCCTGACCGAGCAAGCGAAGGGACGCCATGGGATCACCCCCCTTTTTTTTTATGGTTTTCAAGCCATGTTTCACGGTTGAAATCCAATTTTTTGTGCTTTAAAATGATGAAAAAATGATGAAAATCTAATTCTTGCTTGCTTCAAAACCAACTGTTCATGTGTAAAAAAACGTGTTTTCACGCTCAAAAACCTTGTCTTCCTTGTTTCTTTCCATGGTTATTTGGGCATTTCCTAAAATAGGGGTACCCTTTGTTATCATCCATTTATAGATGGGATCTATGATTCATAAACCATCCATCTATTGGGGCATCCTCATTTCTGGAAACCCCCATCTCAATGGATTGGTTTAAGGGAAAATCTACGGAAAACCATCGATTTTCCCATTAAGTATGGGGCTGTCCTGTAAAATTTCCCTTAAACCAATCCAATGACCATTTCATCATCTTCACCAGGACCCCGGAAGGTGCCACCTGCACCAGCCGCAGCTCCGGCAGCTTCCGCAGCTCCGGCGGCTTCGACAGACTGGGCCGTGCGCAGGTCCTGACGCAGCCTGGCGAATCTCGGGGACCTGGCGATGTCTAGGCATATCCTTTGGTTACCCTCTATTAAACCTTTACATAGCTATGGAAAATCACCATGTTTAATGGGTAAATCAACTATAACCCCAGTTATAAGTGGATTAACCTTACTTATCCCATGTAAATCACTGGGGTTGTAACCCACTTACGAGCCGTGGGATGAGCCACCAAGTAGGCATATCCTTTGGTTATTTAACATACCCATATGCTCCATGATGCTGGAATATTTACCAACATTTGCCCCATGTTTATGACCCAAATGTACCCATAAATGACCCAGTTATGTAGGTAAATATACCATACATGGAGCATATGGGATATGGAAATGGCCCATAGAAATAGATGATACACATGATGATACACACCTACTAAAAATGGTGATTTTCCATGGCTACGTGAAATAGCCACAGGGTAATATCTAGGATCATTCTATACTGTATGATGGATCTATATTATATCTATATAATTTAATATCTATGGATCTATGGATTTTATTGTCATTTCTCATAATGCAACAATGAATATATATATATAATAAGGTATATATATAATATGGTATAATTATAATATGGTATAATTACAATATGGTATAAATAATATGGTATAATATGGTATAATATCCAGATATATATTTTTTAGGTATCATGACATGTAGATATTTAATATCTCATAATACCAGATTATATCATAAAATTATACCTGGAAATATGTTTTTTTCAAATATATTACTAAACAATATGTTCATATCATGTTATCTGATTATTGTGATAATTATAATATGTTAATTTGTACAAAAATATCTAAGTCACGCTAATCACACAATCAAATAACATTGATGCTGTTGATGATCAAACAAGATATGAACAATGTTCTATGTACATATACAGCATATATATTTATATATTAAAGACCTTCCCAGGGGTCACGCTACGATTTCAGAAGCTATAAAAATCGGGGCTGTATCTTCACTTTCGTATCCCATCACTCCCCACTTTCGAAGCTTACACCGCTAGAATAATCATCGACCTAACCTTGATGTCTGATCTGAATCCCCACATGTCTCAGAGAATCTCCTCAATGTTGCTGATAAAAGTCATGTAAAATCACCATTGTTTCATGGTCATAACATGTGTAACATGTGTTTTCACAATTTTATCTCATTTCCACTTTCCACACCATTTTTGCATGAACATATGGTAAATTTCCGTGTAAATCACCATTGTTCGATGCTCAAAGGGTGTCATCCCGAACGAATCCGCGGCCTGGCCAACATCTCATCATTCTGGGCCATCAAAGCGCCAACCTCTGCACCCTCCTGGCGGAGTCAATTCGTGGGGACCCACCCAAAGATAGAAATCTTGGGATTTCACTTGGGATTTCACTGGGGACTTGATTTAAGATTTTTTTCAAGCAGAATCATGGCAAAGCCAAGTCACATCCGATGGAAATGGGGGCAAATCATGTTTCTATATTTTTGGGCTTGCTATCAGTTATTCCAAATGAATCTAGCTGGATATATGGGTAGTAACAAACATTAAAACAGCACGCTTCCAAAAAGAATGAATGTCCCTCTGGTAAGCCAACTAACAATGTCCTCAATCGTGGGCTCCGGCACACCATGTATATCATTTAATTATCTTACTTACAGCACCAATAAAGGTTGTAAAAGGTGTGTTAGTGGGAAAAGGACATCAACAAGCATGGCACTGGAAAAACTCAGCGTCCTAAGGACACTGTGATTGCCCAAATCACTAGAGGATTTGAAAGACATTCTGCGTTCAAAATGGCGATTTGACCAAGATGACAAGGATGCAATCAACCTATATCAACATGTGGATGCAATCAATCCCAAAATTGAGAGGGTAATCGAACAAAAATACTCATTTCATATGGATTTCTCCAATCAAAATCGAAAGTCACCGGCCAATATGGGGATCTAATGATGAAAATTGAGATGTCGCCAAGAAACACTGGATTCACGCTGCAAAAATTTGGACTGAATCAGCAATCTCAGGAGATTTTAGCAATCTATGGCTTTGACTCGAAATTCTGCGACTTCAGTTGTCCTAAAATAGCTGGTGATTGGATGTTTACTCTCCGGTGTCATCAAACGTGGCTGGCTGGAACATCACCCATTTACTTCGTGGATTTTCCCATTAAAAGCTCCATTCTGTGGGTGGATTTCCAGTTGCCATGTTTGATGACCGGAGGGTATTCCTCCAAAGATACCCTCTGGTAAACTAACATAGCTATGGAAAATCACCATTTTTAATGGGAAAATCCACTATAAATGGCCATTTTCAATAGCTATTTTGACATAACCAGAGGGTAAATTCATACGTTTTGTCTCGTCCCCGATTTCAACCAAGCCGAAGGCCCGTGAGGTCGTAAATCTCTCAGAGTTCGTATTCATCAGGCAATATGGGGGTTTCCATCAATGGTGGTACTCCAAAATGGATGGTTCATAATTAACGGGATGATAACTAGGGGTACCCCCATTTTAGGAAACCCATGGAAACCCCAATATCAACCATTGATCATTCATACTGGATGGGCCAGCGAAATCCTGCACCAGTTGGTCGATGGTAAACATCCCTTTAGCATCCCATTATATATTTACAGTGTTTCAGGAATCCCAAAAACCATTGCTTATCCGGCTTTCTTTGATAATAGGCTACCCCAACAATCTAATGATTCATCATCCGTTTCCCCGAAAAAAAACCTGCCATTTGATGGGTATCCTCATTTTCAGACACGCCCCAAATCCATGTTTGACTGATGCTGAAATCCCAATGTTTGACTGTTGAACTGATTTAAACATGTCTATTTTCATGATGAAATCATATAAAATCATGGTTTTTCATCGTTTTTCCATGGTTTTCCATGGTTTTTCATGGCGACACCCACCATTGATTTCTCCACCGACTTCCGGGTTCCCACCCGTTACGAAAGTCCGCGTCCTCTGTTTGAAAAGGCCTACGAGTTGACCGAAACAAAGATGGTGACTTGAGTCATTGATCAACAGTATATCTATATACACACATATTAGTACACATATATGTATATATACTGTATATATATATATGTATAATATATTTACATGTTATACTATATATATTATTAGGTATTGTATTAGATATGATAGTATATATTATATTATATGTTATATTATATATTGTATTAGAAATGATCGTATACATTATATTATATTATATTATATTGTATTATATTACTGTATATTATATTATATTATATCATATAATATATTGTAATATATTATATTACATATCCGATTATATTATTATGTTCATCATGTTTTGTCCAACACATGCACAAGAGATGTGTGTTCCACCAAAAAAAAAGGTAAGCATAACGCAAAAATAACATCCAGAGGGACCCAACCTAAAGCTACTCCACCAGCATCCACCAGCTGCTTCTTGGACAGCACTTTTCATGACCCATGTCTGAAAAATGAAATCATAGGGATCTGACTTACTCAAAACTCATGACAAACACCTGTTGAAAAATATTCTTAAAACTAGTTCAGGGCCAAGCCCATTGATTTAAATTTTTGAGCACCATACAGGGATATACTAAGTCATGGGGCTTATTTTGGGAAACTTATTTTCAGAAAATCCCAAAAATGGATGAACATGGATGAAATCTAGGGCTACCCTCATGACTTTGGAAACCTCCATCAGAACGTGCCGGTTTTGTTTGACCAGGGACCCCCACCGTCGTTCTCCACGGCTCCGTTCCAGCTCCTGAGCAATGGGGGAAAAAAAGAACGGAGAACGGATGGATGTGGACATGTCTTTCATGATGATATACATATATATATATAATGTATGTATATGTATATGTATGTATGTATGTATGTATATATATATATGTATGTATGTATGTATATATATATATATATGTATATATATATATATATGTATATGTATGTATGTATGTATGTATGTATGTATGTATGTATGTATGTATGTGTGTATATATATATATATATGTATGTATGTATGTATGTATGTATGTATCATATATATATATATGTATATGTATGTATGTATGTATGTATGTGTGTATGTATGTATGTATGTATGTATGTATGTATGTGTATGTATATGTATATGTATATGTATATGTATATGTATATGTATATGTGTATATGTGTATGTATGTATGTATGTATGTATGTATGTATGTATGTATGTATGTATGTATGTATGTATGTATGTATGTATGTATATATGTATATGTATGTATATATAGATTACATGCTATTACTATCACTATCATTATTGTCATTGTGTTCGACTATCACTCCTATTATCTAATATTCTTACTGTCAGGATGCTTATTGTCGAATTGTGGTTCCAGAAGATAAACAAGTAAAACATGACGATGAAATATGATTAACCATGGTAGATCATGGGCATATTCATGTAACGATTCATGTATATATTTTTTCCACAGGCACGATGAAGCTAAAGCTGCGGCCTTGCATGGAATTCTGGTCTGTAGCCCATTAATTTGCAAAGTCCGGCCCTGCACAGGCTCCCATTGTGTTCACCACCATGGAGAGAGCTCTCTGCCAGAAATTGCCATCAATGTGCATGGTCTCATCCACTTTGTGTTCATGGAGAGATGCTAAAAACCCACCAGCCAAACCCCCGCAAAAAGCGGGGGGGTACTCTTTCAAATAACTGGTGGCCCAAAAACCTGCCTCATTCACGCCAATCGAAGTACCCTTTGGTATTTCACTGGCTAACTGCCATTGACGCAATACAGGGATCATTCTGTGCAAATTAAGGAGTAGCAACCCAGTTGGTTTCCTACTGGGCGCTCCCCACAATCCCTGAGACACCTCAATGAAATTGAATTCTGGCCAGCTCATCAGGAAGGAGAGAAGCGGCAGCCTCCAAATGCTCGCCAGTGAGGGGTCTGATGGTGGAGCCGGGTGTTCTAGCCCGCCAACGCCGCCTTGAATGGCTAAATGAATCAAGAGCTCCAAAGTAAACATCAGCAAAAGATTGCCCGTATCAACCTGAAGCACTTCTCTGAGGGCCATAGAAGCCCTACCCCATAGCTCCTCGCACGTACGAACAATGCGGGGACCATGATGCGTTCCATGATCACCAGGCTGCCGCGAAGTCGCTGGGCGTCCTCGAGCTTGTGACCACGTCTCGCAGGGAGGGCCTGCGAAAGCTCCCACCACGTAGCGCGCTTTCACAGCATTGACCCAGAAGCGTCTGACTTCTGGCCGAGCCACGTCGCCCCACTCTTGATTGACCATGATGTCAACCGAGATCGTGTGGATGATCATGTCGGGGTACTGCTGCTGGGCCAGGTCGACATAGTGCTGAAAGTCACCAGCCCTGCGCCGCCCGGAAAACGCGTGAATGATGAAGCGTTCTTTAGCCATGGGTCGATGCACCCGCCAGAAAGGGGCTCGCTCCGAGCCCTTCATGCTACCTTCACTGCACATCTGCTCAAAGTCTGCAGTGGTGGGCAGCGTGGACTCTACCCCATCGCCCTGCTCATAACGCACCAAGAAGTCCCACGCATGCACTGATTGCAAGCTCTGCAGGAAGTGCTTGATGTCAAAGTCGGCAATGGCCAAGGCTTCAATGTCCTGGTCCGTCAGCTCGTGGAGCAAATAGGCCAGCGTCGCTTGGCATCGTCCCCACGTGATCGGAGTGTCAACCAAGGCATTGACAATGGCTGCCTTGATCTGTTGCTTGTCTTCCAGATCAAGCACTGCCATATAGATTCTTTCAGCCGTCTCCAAATCATGAAGAGGAATAGGATCACCGCAAACTGGCGGAAGTTGAGGCCCCGCTGCACGTAGTGGAGGTAAAACACCATCATGACTTTGTTGCAAAGCACGGTCAACACGCCAACCCCACCCACCAACTGGTCGGCAAAGCTTCTTCCGGCCCCATAGCTGTTCACGACAACTGTCAGCATGTCGGAGATGTGCTTGTAGTTTGCCATGTGTGAAGTATTCTCGCATGCACGCTTCACAACGCGTGGAGTCAAAAAGGAGCCTTTCTTGAGCAACCTGATTGTGAGCCTTGAACATGTGCGCACCTAGGCCCCCTCGGCTTCGAAAAACCTTCTGACATGTCATGCAAGCATGGATTTGGGCTTGTGGCATCTCATGGTGTGGCTTACTACACCTGGTGGTGAAATCCTCTGGTTGCACCTGCTGAAAGATCTCACACATCTCCAGGTGAAAACGGTGTACTCGATGCTCTTTTCGGCGTTGAAGTACTGCATGCGCACCCGCTCTGCGAACCAAACGACGCCAGTAGGATGTGTGATGGAGTAAAATGTCTTCCCATGCGCCAAAACATTCCTCTGGCTTCGGCAACGTTGAAGAACGCGAGAGTTGATGCCACATCCAGCTAAGGTCATCATGTAGCAGGCTTCGCCATTCTTCGTCCTCATTCAGCAGTCCCCACGGGACCAAATGTCGACAGCGGTACAAAGTGCCAAGGTACCGCAATCTGGAGAGCCTCAAAAGTTCTGTAGGGCTGTTGATCTCAACGTGGGTCAAGATGTTGTCATCTGTGAGGTGCGCATCAGGAGGGTGTTTCCCCAGACGTCGAAACAAACGCATCAACGCATTGTGAACGTAGGTCTTGGTGGCCTGATCTTTCAATGTCCAGGATTCCGTTCCGTAGCAAAATCGACTCATGACCAACGTATGGAAGATCTCAAGCCGTCTGCATTGCAAAAGAACTGGATTGTGAAGAAGGTGGCGCCGGTGCTGCGAGAACGCTTGCTGTGCAATTCCCACTCGACGCCTGGCTTCTTTTCGATTGTCAGGGCGGTGATGAATCATACATCCAAGATGAGAATAGGAGCTCACAATGCGCACTTTCTTGAGCCCTTGTTCACCAATGATGTGCAGCATCCCATCAGAGTGAGGACCGAAATATTGAATTTTCTTCTTCCTCGACCCTTTGCCCTGTAAAGCCAGCAAAATTTCTGACTTCCCTGGTTGTAGATTTGGGGAAAGGCCATGTGTCTCACAAAGTGCAAGCAAATGCCCTGTAGATTGGGAAATCTTCTGCTCCAGGCGCCCCACATCTGCATCTGACACGCAGATGCAGGTATCGTCCATCCACGTTGGACCTAAGAATCCTTGATGTGCTTCTGGAGTGGGATTCAGAGCACCTGGGGCTTGTAACCCTGCAGCAACAGGGATTTCTTCCGCCAGTCCAAGATTGCGCAGGGCCTGTTGGAGGTCATGTAAAATGCGGCCCCAAAGATAGGAGAAGATGACATCCGCAAAGCAGTCTCCCGGTCTGCTCCCCAATGTGGTTCGTACCACATCACATTGCCCTTTGACCTTGAAGAAGGTGTCCTCATGCAACGCCTTGATGGTGTTGCGCATGTGAGCTGGAAGTTGCGCTTGTTCAAGGGCCGCAGGTTCAGCAAGATGCCGGTGCAAGTCGTGCATGATCTCTGGCGAGAGGCCCAAGCGCACTCCCACATAAGCCACTAAATCATCGTCAATCGGCCCACCCAAAACCAAGGGCCTGAGGATCCGATAGAACGCTTCGGTCAAGTCGAGGTAAAGCATCGCGACATTGTGCCCTCGCCGCCACCTTGATCGCAGGAAGGCTCTTCCAATATGTACACCAAAGTTCACCGGTGCCTTGGGGCGCCCGCCTAGTTGTTCTCCTTGAAGATAGCGCTCGAACAACGACGTCTGGTGCTGGCGGATGCTTCGGTGTATGCTCTTGCCCACATGACTTGACACCAAAATGCTCCGGTATGACGTGCATAGATCCCGCGGCCCCTTCGACTTCCAGACGGGGTGTAAGACCCCGCCCTTGTGGTCGAGGGATTCCTGACCATGTGTTGTGAGTTTGAGCAGCTGTCCATAAGTTTTCCGCGCCATCAAAGAAGGAACAGCTCGGCAAAAGGCCGGGTGCATGCCGTCCAGACCTGTTGCCTTCGAGGGGTTGATGCGGCGAAATGCTGCTTCCAGGTCCAGAAGCCTTGGTATCTCTCGAGCATCAATCTGGAAAGCATCTTGTCGAAGCCTTTGGAGATTGTCGATCCAGAGCTCCCGCTGCTCATGATCCTGAAGTCTGGTACCGCCCTCCATCTGTTGGAAGAAGGTGAGCCATGTCTCGATGCTCTCACTAGGTAAGCGACAGGGTTCACCTTCAGAATTGCGCACAAATGGAAGAGTGCCAACTTTGAGCTTTTTGAGGTTCGTCGGCCCCAACAATGGTCGGATCTCATGCAGGATCTGTGACGCAGAAGCTTGCTGAGGGATTCTGCAAAAACTTGTTGAAGAGCATGTTGCCTGGCTTGGCTAAGAGCCTTTTTCAAGGTCATGGCCTGTAGTCGATGGCTCGCCACAAGCTTCAAATTGCAAAGCATGAGGAAAGTCTCATAGTGCCAGGCTGCCTCCCCCAGTCTCTCAACTTCCGGCTGCTTTCCTGATTTCCACGCTTGAAAAACTACAATAAGTCGTTCATCTCGTCGACGTCGAGCTAAATCTTGGAGTTTCTTCTTGGCCCCGAGCTTTGCTTCTTGGATCTGCCAAATTTGCTCCGTGATGAAAGGCTTCTTGGGTTGATCACGACCTTTGGGACATTCTCTGGAGAGATTTGATCGCATTTGTTCATTGAAATTTGAGACCTGCGTTTCAATGTCTACATGCCACTGTGCTGGTTCATAGGCAGTAAGCACTTTCCTCACAGTCTCTTTGGAGAGTTTGTTGTGATCAAACGTTCTCTGTGCCAGAGCCTTCGTGAATGATCTGGCCATCCATTCACGCCATTGCATCTCAACGGCAGTGGGTTCATGGTCCCAATGTGCCAACCCCAAATCAAAATCGGGAATAACCTTTGACAACGTACATGAACGTGAGAAACTCAAAGGAATGAGAACATAGTCAATGCAAAACTTGTCAGTTCCCGAGGGATTCGTCCATGTGTGCATCTGTCCCTGGTGGGCATCCGTGGTACATGGCATGTGAAGGGCATGCTCTGTGATGACTTGGCGCAGAAGTGGTGTACTGCTCGATGAAGGAAGTCCTTCGCAATGCACCGCCTCCCCATCAAATACACCAGGCGCCGCATTGGCATCAATCATGATGAACAAAGGCTCATCTTGTTGCCTACCAAACAGAAGGTCTGAGAGAGATTGCCACCATGCTTCTCGATCTGAAAACGCGATGCCACTATGCGGCGCATACGCCACAACCAGCCAAGCCTTCCACCAAAAAGTCTCAACTCGAACCATGAGGATCCTCGAATCCTTGTGCACGATTTGAAAGTCTCCTTTCTCAAAGAAACATGGTCTGCCTCTTGCATAGGCATATGGTTGATGCAAGTTGATCCAAAGTTCCACCCCTTGTTGATGTTGTGCACAGCCTCCCCCAAGACGATAAATGCCGTCAACACAGGAGCAAATTTCCGGCGCCTTTGTCTCTTGGAGTCCAAGGAAATTCAAACGTTGTTCCTTGAATTGTCGCCGAATGTAGTCCACTTTACCTCCATATCCGTCAGGATTGCGGCTCATGGAGTTGACATTGGCTGTACACATGCTGACTCGAAAGTCCACAGCGTGCCATGTAGGTGGACTTGGTGTTCGTCTTTGACATTCTTCGTCTGCTGGAAGTGGTAAATTTGGTGGTGGAGCTGCCAGTCCTTGACCAGTGAAACGAGGAAGATCTGGATGAGGGCTCACAACCATCCAAAGGTGCCCAATAGCTTGTCTCCATTTTCGCATGCCAAGCCTTGGTCTTGGGCAATAGAAACTTCTTTCTCGCTCCTTTTTCGCAAGCCAATCACAAATCTCGTTCCACATTTCTCCAGCATGGCCTGGAACATGATCATAAAGGACGCCTTGTGAGCCTAGGGCGGCTTCGACTGCTTGGTGAGCTCCACGAAGAAGGGTAAAGGTTTCCTCCTCAAGCGTGCTTGCGCCAACAGTGCCGCAGGCTTGGCCTAAGGCGGTGCGCGAGTCCGATCTGAAGCATGTTGGGATGCTCCAATTTTGGCTTAATCGCCAAAAAGCAGACCACGCCAATGCCTCTTTCTCTGCAACATCGGCACCTAGTCTCTGGGCTCCTATGTGCATATTGTTCTCTTGGTCGTAAATGACACTCTGAGCTGTCCATCCAATGAATCGGAGGCCCCAAGGTTCATAGCGCTCTCCCAAAACAAGGTACGCCCATGAGTCTCCACTTCCTTCAAGCTCCGCACGCAAGGGAGGCATCCTTTTCAGAGCCCCAAGTGAGGACCCATCTGTGTAGATCAAGAGCCGATTCATTTCTGCAAATGGAATAGAAGGATCACACGCAGACACAGCTTGTTGCAGCCCGTCCGGCAAATCCAAACCTTCAAAGTCTTGTCGAAGAAGATCATGATGAGATTGAAAAAGCTCCTGGATGTCTGCATTGTTGATGCCGATATCAATAGTGTGATCCCCAGGCGGTGTGTTTGGCTGGCAAAAGAAAGGCTCTAGTCCCACAGGACCCTCTTGTCGTGCAGGCCAAATTGGAGTGGCTCTCAATTTTCCTTGGGGTCGTTGTAATTCAACTTTCTGATCACGGAAAAGGACTTTGTGAACATCAGGGTAAACTTGAAGTTGAACCTGAATAACAGCCCTCCGAAACCCCAGCTGGTAGAGGAAACGCATGATCTCTTGTTCTGTGAGCAGCTTGTCGCTCGAATGGAGAGTGATCCCATCCTTGTCCTCTGTGTTGTCCTCTGTCTCCATGTTGACTAGGACATAGTGGTGACCATAAAGAGAGTGACAAGGAAAGCAAACAACAGAGTCTCGCTCAGCACAAACTACTGGTCTGCAGGCAAGACCAAACTCTTTCAGCACCAATCTGCAATCTTCTTCATTTGCACCTGATGCAACCTCAATGAAGCTCGGGTGAATTTCTCGCGCAGCTGCCCAAACAACTTTGAATGCTGCTTTGCACGAGGCACCGCTCGGGCCATGTGCTTCCGTGGTTTCGAGGAGATCTTGTAGGATGATCTTCTGCCGTGTCTGTCCTTTTTGAAGGAAACTACTGGCTGAGGATCGTGCGGCTTCATGGCTAGATGCTGCACGTGTCATGATGTCGCGAAGGTGATTTCGGATCATGATGAAGCTGTCTCCATTCCGCGTTGGAAAAACAGTTGTGTGATCTAGTTGATCATCTCCGTGCCATGCCATGCAGTCCACAAGACTTGTAATCATGTTCATGTCCAAGATGCCCGCGATGGCGAGAAGATCCTCTTTGCGCAATGGTCTGGGTCCAGTCTGAACAAAGGAAGTCGATGGCGTTCGTGAATTCATGGGATCAATCACATTGACATGGATGCTTCGCTCATGTTCACGTTGGTGCTGAACAAGCAATACATGGGGGACTCTACCTTGTTCTTGGCCATCGATGTTCCTCGGCTGAGGATGTATCAAGTAAAAGTCAATTTCCGAATCAGGATCAACTCGATCATCCCACGCTTCAGCCAAACGATCCGGCCAGTTCCACACATCAGCCAAAAGTCTGGCTGGTCGAGGAGCATCACAGCGTGGAAAACGATCATGATCAGAATACCAAACATTCACATACAAAACCCTTCCTTCCTCCTCTATTTCTGTTGCTGCCTGTTGCATCCAGACAGGTTGAAGAACTTGAAGGAAGCGAGCAACCTCTCGAAAGATGAGCTCAGGACGCCCTTGTTCTGGAGGGGGTTGAATCTCATTCTCCAAGTCTGCAGGTTCTCGTAGGTCTTGATCTCCAACTTTGCAGTGCAACGGGTGTTCTTGGTGGGACTTTGAAAGGAACTCCGGCCATGGGTCAAAAGCAGGCCGACTCACTCCTTGCACTTGCATGAGTGACATTGCATCTCGATCGTAGTCCAAGTCTTCAGCACTGGGAATGTAGTTGAACGTGTCCAGAATCGGCATGTCTGATACGTCCAAACCATTGGGAAAATTCTCCAGAAGTGCAGGGATATTGGCCGGTGAATAGCCTCTTCGCAAGCACTGAGCAACTTCTCGTGTGTAATACGAGTCCAGTCCACCCGCCGCTGGAGGGACTGCAACGCGCACGTTGTCTCCATGGTGCAAATCAATGAGAGTCCGTCGATGCGTCGCGACCCTGATATGATTATGCCAAAGAAGACATGTATGTTGAACATGCTGGCAATGTGCTTGTAGTCCAAGTAGGGCTAAAAGAGTCTTTCTCGATGCTGTTTTGGGAAGGAGCTTCACACGTCTCACGATCTCAGGCGCAAGTGACGGGAGACCATTGTGAAACTCAACATCAAGAAGGACAAGCTGAAAAGTGGATCCCTCCCAAACATCGGCTGGTTGCTGCGCAATCAGAGGTCTTGTCTGAGCCAGCCGTAGATCTTCAGGAGAATGCCAAACAGTGTGAACATGGGCCACATCATGTATACTGAGGCAACTCTGGAACGCAATATCCTTGTGAAATTTCTCATAGGTCTGCCAGCGAGCACGACAGTGTACTGGGTCTTTGTCCAGAAAATAAACAATCACTGAACGTCGGACTTCACCACTATCCGATTCACTGCTGGAAGACTCTGGTTGTGGCTCCTCATCTTCCTCATTTGCGGCTGCTTCGATCTCAATTTCAATCTCATGGAGTTCACCTTGCTGTGCAACTTCAGGGTTGTCGGCAATCGCGTCAGCATCATCTGGTGAAAGCCGTTCACCAACAGGCTGACCATTCCTTGGTGTAGACATCCAAGACGTTTCATCAGAATCATCTTCGTCATCTGATGCGTGTTGGAGTGGTTTCATAAAAGATCGCAGAGAAAAAGAACTCTCATCGCCCACATAGAATTCTACCTTATCTGCAAAATGAACTCGCCGATCTCCTGGTCCACGAAGTGTAGATCGTGGTCTCAAACTCCTGGTTGTTGCAATTGGGCTGGACCACGACCTGGATTGCATCTCCCATTCCAAGTCCAGTCCAGCAATTGATGCCGACCACTCTGAAAGATAGGTTGACTCTTCTAGAATGCTGTGGCTCCAGTTCAAAAGAACCGCAAGAGAGCCGCCAAAATGCCGTTGACAAGTCTCTGTGAAGTCTACTTGCCCGGCTAGCCAAAAGGCGCCGAGGATGGCCCTGCAGTTCCAGGCTTTTCCGCACCATCGCCCTCTCGCCCTTCTTCGATGCGTGGGCGCTTGGCTTTGCTCTCGCCTGCATCCACAATGGCTGCCTCTGCTTTTTGTTGCATCTCGCCCAAATTCATGACCATGTGGTTGATACTCTCCTGGAGGTGTTCGGCTGAGACAACTTTCTCCGGCATCTCTTCGTCGGAGATTTCGACCGCCTCTTCTTCGTCCAAATCCTCCAAGGCTTGTTTCTTTGCTTCCACATCGTCCTTGGTCTGCTGCAACCTTTCTTTGGCTAATCTGACTTTTTCTGCAAGATCTTGGTCGTCCTTTGCAAACTTCTCTGCGAAGGTCTTCCATCTCTTCAGTGAATCGGCAATGTAGTGTCTCCATGATGCATGAAGCTTCAAGCGCGCCTTTTCTGCTTCTTTGAGCTTCTTTCTTGCATGCCCCATCTTGTCGACCGCCTTGTTGAGTCCCTTGGTCGTAGGAACTGGTGTGGAGTGCTCCGAGACGATATGTTGAACACTGCTGGGAACGCTGGTGTTCGATTCCGACAAAGCTGTGGCCAGCTTTACCAGTTTCTCTTGAGCTCCTGACGGAGCTTCCGAATCTGCAACTGACGGGCCACCAGCATAATTTGGGTTCCAGGGCGGCTCCGGAGCCGGAGTCAACTGTTCTGCATTCTCCTCTTTCTTCTTCTTCTTGCCCTTCCCCCTCGGGGTACTTCCACGCTGGCGTCGTTGCGGAGCGTAGTTTCGTTGATAACCTTCTTGCCACTGAGAATTGCTGCTCCAGCCAGAATCTGCCTCCCATGACGCATATTTCCAGCTTGTTGAAGTCTGAGTTCTCCTTGGACTCTTTGATGGATTTTTTTGTGGAACATAGGTGCTGTCCATGCCATGTGTCCACAGGATTCCACACTTCGCACACTTGTCTGAGTGCGCCTTGTTGGTTCTCCAACACACTTTGCAACGCCAGTCCACCACAGACTGCACCATTGCTGCAGAGATATTCTGCAGAAAGGCTCTGTCGCCGGAATGGTGTGCACTCAAAAGGCCAAGAATCCTCCTTAACCCTTCCCTGGAAAGGAGCCTCTTGCCGGTTCGTTGCAAATGCCAGAGCTGGCGAGCTTTGGCCCTGAGACGCCTCCCCCTTCTCCGCGCTGTTGGTGTAATGGCCAAGGATGATCACCAAGAAATATCCAAGGAAAAAGCCCATAAACACCCCAAGCCCAGGAGGATGAAGATCACCTGGTTGTAGAGCTCGAGCACCAAGAACTTGCAAAGCAAAGCCCCAGCGCAACGAGCGACGAATTGAAGGCCAAATGGGAAAGGCCCGCAGGTCCGTAGAAAGAGCGAAGGACCCGCTAAGGCAGATGGAATGCAAGGTCGTGGGGAAACCCTGCCTAGCCAAAGCCTTCATGTATATATATATATATATATCCAATGGTATATCGGGGATATTTCATACAACAAGGACACGTGGCTTGGCTTCTAAGGCGTGGTGACTGGTTCTGGCATGTGACACTCCCCATGGAACCACTGAAATACCATCTGGTAATTTAACATAGCTATTGAACATCACCATTTATAGTGAATTTTCCCATGAAAAATGGTGATTTTCAATAGCTATGTTAAATTACCAGAGGGTAACTGGTTGGTGGTGCAATAACCGTCTTGAAACATGATGGAGTTCGTCAATGGGTTTCGGATGACATCCCATATATGAAATGGACAATAACAATCATGTTCCAAAGCACCAACCAGTCATTAACCATTATTAACATTTTTTAACCATTATTAACCATATATTAACCATATATTAACCATATATTAACCATTATTAACCATTCTCAACCATTATTAACCAGTCATGTAAAATTCCATGGTTCCAAACCTCCAAGCAGTTTTAAGCCAACCATGTCTTTGAATCCTCAGTTTCCTCAGTTTATCTCTGTGGATCCCTATGAAACGATCAGGATCATCAAGCAACACCAGGCTTTTGAAACTCAACTACTACAACAGCTATCTGGAAGCTATCTGGTGAGTTGTTTTAGTAGTTGAAAAAAGCTCATTTTGGAAAAACTCAACTACACTCTGGCTAGTTTTTTCGAAAAAATCTGAAACCTCTGAATTTCCCAATTCAGATGACACAGGACACCAAACCAAACCATTTCTTTCTGATGATTCTGATGATATTCCCGTCTTTGTGGAGGATTGGCAAGCCAGCTATCCATAGCTATCCAAGGGGCCTCAAAGGTGACTCCCCCAGGTAATAGCTTTTCCGGCCAGCCCGGCGATCATTGCTTGTTGGTGCTTCATAAGCCAAAAAACAAACGGATTACTATCTGGTTATGACTAACATAGCCATGGAAAATCACCATGCTATTAATAGGTAAACCATCTATTTCTATGGGCCATCTATACCATGGCTATGTTAAATAACCAAAGGGTAAATATGGGGCCTTTTATATGCTTGGGTGGTGAACTCTATCCAACTTTCAGGCTCTTTTCAAATCAAAACCATAACGATGGAGTCCATGCGGGTTGGGTGAACACCCATTTACCCTCTGGTTATGTCAAAATAGCTATTGAACATGGCCATTGCAATAGTGAGTTTCCCATGAAAAATGGTGATTTTCCATAGTTATGTTAGTGTACCAGAGGGTAGCAAAAAAAAAACGTTTTTTTTCAACTCCAGCTAGTTGGATGTGCCTCCCTGGCAGTGCAAGTTGTTCATCATTATCTGTTCAAGCCACTGGTAACTGCAATATAACCCATACGCTGTAAATGGGACATACAAAACAAGATCAAACAAGAAAAACACCATGGAAAAAAAAACGAACATGATGAGGAGTTGTCCCAATATTTTCAGACAAAAACATCTGCCATCATTGCCGACCAACGCTTGAATCATGTCATCCGTGCAAACGCTTTGGGTATCTCAAGAGCAGTTCATGAAGGCCAGCACATGATACAAACTGGTGTATTTCATATGTTTATTACCCATTGTGATATACAAGCAAGTTGCCTGAAGGAGCTGACAATTGCAGCTCCGCGCCTGGGCGATTCATGGACCCTTTCATGAATCGAAATGGGGACTGATAGGGCTCCCAAATTTTCAGCAAGCATTTCCATGTCTGACAACTAAACTGTTTGTGATTCCCCTAATCCGTTCACCATCATTTTGTCGCGACATCTTGCTACACTGTGGTGCCTTTTTGTTATTCGACGTGGGTTCGTTCAAAGGCACCATCAACTGCAACTATAGAATGCTATAGATCTATATCTACCATAAAATCCATAAACCCTAACCAACAATAAATCACCAATTTGTTGGTTGAATCCCTCTTCTGCCCCAATTGTACTGGCTAACTCTCATTTTATGCCATTGCCCCAATGGGGAAAAGGGACACCATGGGGCCTAAATGCCCAGGACTTTGCTTGCAACCGTTGAGCCCTGCAAAATCCATCGTTCATCACATGAAATACTGGTGGTATATGATTGTTTTATAGCTATCCCGTTAAATTATGGTTTAAGTTCGAAATTCCCAAGCCAATAAACCACAGTCACCACAACCAACCAACCAACAGTTTTCATCCCCGAAACCTACAGCCTGTTGATGTTGACAGATCTATCCACTCCCGAACAACATGTTCAAATAGCAATGGGAAATCTCCTAGTTTGCTGAATGCTTTAGTAGGAAGAAACATCGAACTAAATGGGTGATTTCCAGCAAATCATGTTTGATTACAATGACAAGAGGTACTAGCTCATGGGATGCAAGACTTGCAGTATTGTTTTGACCACAATCCATTTGAAGGTATGTCCACATTTTAAGCGGTTGCATCTATAATAATGTCATACTCTGGATTTAAAACCAGTCGTGCGAAGTCGCTACTGTTGTTTCTTCATGGAGAAACCCAGTGCATTATGATCATCTCCAACCCAATTTAATGAAAAACCAAGAGAATCAAGACCAACTGAGCTATCACATGCTATACCTATGACCCTAGGCATCAACATCTAACCCAAAAAAAACACCCAAGTTGGGTGCAGTTTCCCCAGCTAAAATGTCACCAAACCCAGGGGCCTGAGCCAAGCGTTTCTCAAGGCGTTTGCACTCCCAGCGTGCCAGGTCCAAGTCATCCTGGCACCAAGTCATTCGCTCAGCATATATATATATATATACGGTGTCTATACATATATACTATACTGTATATATACTGTATATCTGTAAATATATATATATATATATACTGTATATATATATATATACACTGTATATATATATACACTGTATATATATATATATCGTGTATATATATATATATCGTGTATATATATATATATACATACATACACATACTGTATATGAATCACTGGCGTCTCTAGTGGACCATGGACCTTGTCCCCCTTGGGATTCATTGCTATGCTCATCACTTAGTATTCTCTATCCAATGTCCATCCACCAGTCGGTCTCAAACCAAAGCCTTGTGAATTACTTATGTGGCCTTGGAATTTCATGCAGAAAATCATCATCAATATCGTCCGTAAACGGGAAAATTGATGGGTGTCTTTGGTATACCATTCGATCTACCATGATTGACACATCTGTTGGAACAAATGGGAAGTTGCATCTTCTAAAAGTTAACCAGCGAGTGAGAAAGGGATAGCTACAGACCCAGGGAACTGTCAATTTGGGGATACCTAAACCTTGACCTATAAAATCACAAAACTGAGAGGAGTGTTTCTTTCCATGTATGTTTCTGTAGTATTCCCAGTTTCAGTAAAAATTTGAATAGTATGTATATATATATATGTATACATGCATGTTGCACAGATTATGTATATACATACATATCATTATGTGTATATATATCTATACACACCAATTGTATACATATTTATGTATTAAACACTATATATATATATCATATTTCCCTATGAAAATTGCCATTGCCACTACAACCACTCAGTGACCCTTGCCACGTGAAACCCCGTTTCACCTCATCAGCAATCTCAGCCATGGGGGTCGAGACCTTAGGGGAAAATCGACAGGACCCCCGAAAAAAAACAATGTCTGGTTGGTGGTATACCTACCCCTCTGAAAAATATGAAAGTCAGTTGGGATTAATAGTCCCAATATATGGAACAATAAAATTCATGTTCCAAACCACCAACCAGGTGATTCAATGCATGCATCTATGGAGCCTGAAATTGGGGAGCTGTTACCAACTAATCTTATCCCCCTACTATGAAAAATACCCCCCCCATGTTTGGGACCTCAAGTCATGGCTAGAAGAATAGGGATCATATGGATCATATGGAGAATTATGGTTAATTTAGCATCAAATTTGGAGGTGCCCTAGATTTTTTGGTGAAGCTGGCCATGGATCGGTCGTGATGAATTCTGTCTAGATGCTATATGGATGTGTAGATGAATCGAATAGACTCTAATATTTTACAATATAATATGATATGATATAGTATGTTATATATAATACATAATCAATTATATATAATATATTATATAATGTATATAATATATAATATATAATATATCATATATTATGTATATTATATAATATATAATATATATTCTATTTTATATAATATATTATATATTTTCTATAATAAATGATGCATAATATAATATATATATATATGATAATAAATAATATATAAATATATAAATATATAAATGTATAATATATAATATATAATATATAATATATAATATTTAATATATAATATATAATATATAATATATAATATTTAATATATAATATATAATTGTAAAATATATAATATATAATATATAGCATATAATATATGATATATAATAAAGAATATACAATAATTATATATTTTTCATATGGATTGATATTATAACATATTATATTCTATGAAAGGATATTATATGAAAGGATATTATATGATATGAAGTGAAGTTATGTGATATGATATGATATACGTATATATATATATATACAAGATAATTATATAATCATAAATAATCCAAGGCCATCATATGACCGCCATGATGAAACGGATCGAAATTCTGGTTGTTGTAACCCCATCGGCCGTATGGTGGAGGTCGGCCGTAAGGTGCATCTAGACTCTTCACTGGATACACAGCATCAAAATCCTGTTCCAAGGGTCTTCCTATCAAAATGCTTTGAGTCATGGATGCTCATACCCCCAGTCACGTGGTGTTGCCCAAAGATGGGATATGAATCTTAATAGGACACATGATTAAGCATGATTAAGCAGTGCATTTGGTGGGTACCCTAATTATTCTTCTGGCTAGCTCAGATATCATACTTAAAAAACTGGTTTCAAGCCTTGGCAACCATGGTCTTCAATAACTTACCAGCTGGAGTGTTCATCCAACTACCTTTTGGTTTAATCATCAATAGATAGGTTGTGACGCATTCCGACAAAAATCCATGGCCAATCTTAGATACCCTGCAAACACATATTGTTTCTGCTCTGTGCATTCCTCCATTCAAGGTAAAAAAAACATCTGTAACAACTGAGTTACTTGGATGTGCAGCCCATTTACATCCATGGCTAACAACCATCATGCGATAACCAGGCAAAATAAAAACATGGGAAAAACATATGGGATATACATGGGATATACATGGACATGCACGGATACATAGTATATTATATATTATATATATTATATTATATCATATTATATAATATTATATTATATTATATAATATTAAATCATATTATATCATATCATGTCATATCAAATCATATTATATATTATATTATATATATATATTAATTATATTATATATATAGTATATATATATATATTAAATTATATATATATATATTTATTATAGAGATGGATATACAGCACTATAGTGCCCAGAAACCAAGTACTCAACCCCTCCCGTTTCGCCAGACGAAGCAAGGTTTGTTCCCAACCCCCCTGGGGGCCCCCAGGCCCCGGCCTTGCGCTGCACATTGCCCGTTTCAAGCGTGGCGGTGTCAAGCTCAGCCTCAGGGCGTGGGGTAATCTTTTCCAGCCCAGAAATTGGAGTTGGATGGGATTTGTTTATATAAACATGTTATAACAAATACGGGAAATAGATGGGGATAGATGGGGATAGGTAGTTTTGGGATATCTAATCGTAGGATATGTATGAGATATTTATGGGATATCTACAAGCAACATCACGTCAGTCACGTTTAGATCTCAATCCAACCCAGACTTGGTCCAGAACATGAGAAGATGTCTAAAGAAAAACAACAGGAAACCCTCAAAATTACTTTCTTTGAGTGATCCCCGCCCTGATCCATTATTCTGCCATAGTCTCTGACATACCATCTGGAAGTCATTCTTTCTGGCATTTATTCTCACATCTTTTCTGGCATTCTATCCGGCATCTATTCTGACATACCTTCTGCCATATATTCTGACATTCTTTCTGGCATTCTATCTGGTATATCTTCAGAGATTCTTTGTGGTTGAGGTCCGGCCGGGAACACTTTGATCCGGAGCTTGCGGTGAAGGTCCGGCCGGGAACACTCGGAGGAAGGCAGGCCAGCTCACATAAAATCTAACAACCCTCACCTGACAGGTGGGGAATAAGTGGATTTAAATTTACCCTCTGGTAAACAAACAGTTTGCTATTGAAAATGGCCATAGAAATAGTGAGTTTTCCCATTAAAAATTGTGTTTTTCCATAGCAAATTGTTAGTTTACCAGAGGGTCAATGGGGCTTCCCCGGTCGGTTTAACGTGAGTCAAGTCTAGTCAGTCGTCGTCATCCGTAGTCGGGTTAGTCGGATGAGTCGGGTTAGTCTCAGTCGGTTATCCCCAAATTGGTACGTATTTCTTGCCATGAAAATCCAAACTTCATAGTTGGTAATATCATGTAATAATCATGTAATATCCTCCAGTTCTTGACATACTATCCATCTTCTATTGTTGCTAAGATCATATGAACTATCATCATATTCCCGTGATATTTGCATAAAATGCCCGTTTTCACAAGCCATGTTTATCGATCTTTCAATGTGAAAACCCTCTATGGAAGGTTGGATCAAGATCCTTGATTCTGCTGAAACCTTCCATAGAATGGCTGGTTAGCTGGTCAAGCTCATTCATGGTAAACCCTCGTTGTTCGTGGTTTGATGGTCATGGTTCAATCAGGACTTTTCGCTTCAAAAATGCAAATCAGGGCTTAGTAAATGTCATAATTTTTCACATCACCCAAAAAGAACGGGAATATAATATAATATATATATAATATAATCTCCAACAGATACTTTTTCAGGTGATGTTCAAAATCCCCAAACCAGGACATAGATTTGTTTATTGTTAAATCACGATGGTACACCATTTTTCGTGGTCAATTGGTCCCAATTGTTCATATCTTTTTCTGATGTGCCGGGTCAAACCATTGCTTTGTGAAATAGTAAAATCCATTCATATCCCATGAAATATTCAGTAACATACCATTAATATCCAATTCTATCCCATAAATATTCAAATCCCATACTATCCCAATAAATCCCAGTAAGTCCCAATATACGCCATAAATCCCAGTAAGTCCCAATATACGCCATGTCTATCTCGCTAAAATCCCTTAAATCTTATAAAATCCAACTTTTGGTGAAGATGTCACCAACTAAAATCGCAAGTCAAATCTTCAGTAATCCCAATTGTCCATAGATTATATAATGGATTATAATAGTAATAGACTATTTCATACATCACAGTGAATACAATGTGGGGTAAAACAATGTCATGTTTACCATCCCCCAGTCATCACCATAAATACATAGGTGGTATAAACTCACCATTCCCAGGTGGTAAAAATGACATTGTTTTACCCACATTAACTAAATTATAAGTATAGATTATTACTATTGACCATATATTACCCATATATTAACCAGACCATATATACATACATATATGTATATCATATATATATATCATACATATATTAACCAGACTATATATATATATATATTAACAATATATTAACCAGACCATATATATTAACCATATATTACCCACATCTCCCATGAAACTTGCTCCACTTCGCCCCTGCATCGCCCATGAATCGCTCCAGTTCGTGCGCCTCCTGCAGCTTCTTGCGCCGCGCCAAGAGCCGTGTGGCTTCCTGCTGCACCGCTTGCTGGTTGCGGTTCTCCGCCTAGGGATTGGCAGGGAAATAGCGTAGGTAAACCATAGGTTTCAAATATGTTTTCTATTGCTTGAAAAACTACAAATCATGTTTATGTTATGGGATAGTTATCATGTTATTACTATGTGCTTATCTAAAGATATCTGAAGTCTATAGGATACGTAGTTTATGTTCTTGAATCATTAAATATGAATTTGATCTATATAATGTCATTATCATGTATATTATAATTATATACATATACATTATACTTACATATGTATCAGTTTATAGTTATTAAGGGCATTGAATATGTAGCAATGCCTGACAAGATGGGACCGTTTCGATTCGGATCTTACGAAGTACTACTGACTATGATCCTTTCGGGAGTTGGATGGCTGGTGAACACCTTGAAACGCCCTGGAACCAAAACCTGATCTGATGAAGATCTCATGAAGACCCCAAGATTTTTCTGAAAAATGAATGAAGATGAAAGAAGCAACCATAAAAACACCATCTAAATATCAGTAGTCAAAAAAATATATATATATACACAATAATATTTATATATATATATACAATAATATTTATATATATATAGAGTATATATATATATATTAATAATAAATAATAATAATACTAATTAATAATAGTATTTATATACATTGGCACCCTTCTTCATCCAGCCATCCTGTTCTGAATCGCCATTGGACAATCGGCACCTCCAGGCTTTGGACCTCTTCTTCCAGGGACTCCACGTTTCGTTGCCGCAGATCACGTTCCAAGAGCCGCACCTGGCGTGGATCAACGGACGGATCGACGTGGGGCCCTGGGGCCCTGGCCGGCCTTGACACCGACCGACAGGTGCAATGTGAGTTGTGAGTTCAAGGGTCATCATGTCAGACTTAGACGATCTTACATGATCTTAGATGTTATACTGCTGGATCATCTTAGATCATTTTAGATCATGGTCTCTTCTTACATTGGTAGTGTACCATTTATTATATATAGGTTCCATTTGCTTGTCAGCGTACTTGCGGTCCTTGACTTCAATAAACCCCTTAAACTAATCTGTGCCCTAAAATCCAGGACCCCCACACCAATTCATGGTTTGCCTTTGAAGTGAGGAACATAAAAGCTTCCTTCTACGGCATTCCCAATGGTCAGGCGTTCATCATGTTTGTTCAGTTTCTTCTTTTTGTTGTTTCAAAACCCCAATTTGGAGTGTGAAACATGTCCCATTTCCCATTCTTGGAGCGTGACAACTTGCATTCTGGCAGGTCAAATCCAATTTCTGTGCTTCTGTTGCTTCAACCTCATGGCTAACCCTAGACACACCTCAAACAACCTCAAACAATCCTGTCATGTATGATCTGTATGATAATATGATACAATATATGCATATATATATGATGAAGAGGCAAGCCCAAAAATAAACTATTCCCAATTGGGCTTTGTCATTGGGTATTACATCTATTTGGATCCCCCATCGAATTTTAGGGGAGACGTTGTGACCCCTGGTCTGTAAGGCATAAAAAGGATTCACAAGCTTGGGGCTATAGAATGAGGTTGCTGAGCTCCATTTTTCTCGAAAATAGCCTTAGCTACAAAATGCCCCTTCGTTTCAACAACCTTGACATAGGGGGAGGTTTTCCCTTGTTACAAAATGCCCCTTCAATTTCAACAACTGTATCATACAAGGACATACCCTTTGCTGCAAAATGCCAATCTCATTTTCAAGGACTGCATATGCAAAGGAACATCGTTGCTACAAAATGCAACGTTGTTTTCAACATCATCCACCAAGATTCATCAAGCATCATCATTCATCACAGATCAATATAGATCAATACAGATCAATACATATCATGCATATTCATGCATCATCATGCAGAATTGTTCTGTTTGAATCTGCTTGGTCCTTTTCATTGTATTGCGGCAGCTCTGCAACGGATTGCTTGAACCACATCTAAGCTACAAAAGGCCCGTTTGATTTTTATAAGCCAGTATGAAGCTCATCATGTCATGCTACAAAATGCCACTGCGGTTTTCATGATGGGCTAACATGACTAAAATGACTCCTTTATAAAATGATATTCACAAGTTTAAGCTACAAAATCTTGGACCTGGATTTCATCTCAGGGTTAGCCTGACTAAAATGGAAGCCTCTGTATAGTGCTTGTGGCCACCAACTCTGTAGCTTGAATTTGCTGGGGGATCTATTTGGGATGATTCAACATGACCCCCCCGGTTGGTCACTTGAATGTGCAGCCTTGGGTTTCCCACATAAAAAACCGTACCATATCCCTCCACAAAAATTGCAAAAAGAACATCATGAAAAGTCATTCCCCCATTCACCACTCATTTTACCCTCTGGTAAACTAACATAGCTATGGAAAATCACCATTTTTAATGGGAAATTTCACTATAAATGACCATTTTCAATAGCTATTTGTATGTTTACCAGAGGGTACCTACAGTATCATGATAGTGTATACCCCCAGGTTAATTGATTTGACCCTCAAGTGTTGCTACCGTGTAGTCCCTCCAGAATTTCAACTAAAACCAAATTAGTTACGAAGCAATGACTGGCGGAAAGATTTCTGTGCATCCCATCTGGGCCCATCTGGGGGTTTTTTGAGTCACTGACCCGACAGAAAAACCCAATCCCAAGTATCAGTCCAGTGGCATCGCGATGTGAGGTCGTGATCAATTTCTGCAGATTATAGCATTATATAATTATATATATATATTAAATTATCTCCTGATACTCTCATGAAATGGTTGGTTTATTACCCTACCAATTGGTGATGAATTCATTTAAAATATTAGATGTTAAGTAAAAGAGACATCATTGTTTTCCAAAACATGGGTCCAAATAAACCCATGTACAGTAACTTGTGCTTTACCCTGGCTTTGACATAATCTATGGTTGGTGTCTCTTAGTCTTCAATTCATCCAGTGCAAACCATTGGTTGCTGGCTGAACAAACAAATAAAAAATGAATCATGTTAAATCCCCATGCTTTCTTGCGGGTGATATCTGGAATTTGCTGGTTATGTATGTGAACCTCATTTTTTGCTGGTGATAGTGATACCCCTATGTTACGTTTGTGCGTGAATCTGATATAATCTGATAATGTTGATGTGTTTAATCACCCATGTTTCTTGGTTAAATCACCTATTATCATTGGTGATACAGTAAATTTCAGAACACCCGAAACGGATGGGTCAAAATCGGCAGTTCCCAAGACTAGATCGTTGATTTCTTTAGGCATACCCGAAATCTAGAAATCTGTCGTCCCCTGGTTCACAATTTTTGACCAGCCAATGAAGTTTGCTAGTTTCTGATTCCAAGTTTTTACTGGTGATATCTGATATCATCTACAGTATCCCCACTTCAGATCCATGAAAATTATCAAGGTTCCTGGGTAAATCACCATGTTGGTAAAACATATCCATTAAAATCACATAAGATCACCCAACAAAAACACACGCATCTGAATGTATGGCATCATAATTTCGCCCGAAAAGTTTGGCCGCTGGGAAGAGTCCCAATCCATTCACCATCATTCCAGTCATGGCCGTTACATAATTCCTCCACAAAACATTGAACACATCCATGAAAATGACCATTGTTGGACTGTTGGGCAAATCATCTTGTTAATGTTAGGTACCCTCTGGTAAACTAACATAGCTATTGAAAATGGCCATAGAAATAGTGAGTTTTCCCATTTAAAATGGTGATTTTCCATAGTTATGTTAGTTTACCAGAGGGTAAATCACCATTTTCCTATGGTTTTTCCTATGATTTTCCCATTGAAACCTTCATTTTCCTAGGTAATGTTAGGTAAATCACCATTCTTGTTGGGAAAAACATACTATGGCCTGGAGGCGCAGGTTCTCCCGTTCAGAGTGCTGCGTCTCCAGCTGACGCTGTAAGGCTTCGCCCTGGAGACGCAAAACCTGCGGCGGTTTTAACCCGGCTTTTCCTGACACGATAAGTCATAGCAACCCCTGTGACAAGAGATAGAAAAGGTTGAATGCATCACTAAGATTGGGATATTGGGATGCAATGGCATTTGTTGCTCTTGTCCATCTTTCCTGCGGTTGCTATAGGGAGAGTTGCTGATTCGTACAAAGATTCTCCCTTACCAAGCAATTGTGGGATTCAACCCAAAAAAGTGTGGGGAGACGGTTGAGTTGTTTTTCACCAAAATGTTTGGTGACATGACAAGAAATCAATTCTTAAGTCAAGTAAAATCACCCGATTGGCTGGTTCAAAACTCTATTTTGCATGGTAAAATCAATTACTGTAAAATTCAGTGGATTGGTTTAAGGGAAAATTTACAGGAAACCATAGATTTTCCCATTAAATATGGGGTAAACCAATCCATTGAAAAATCACATTTTTGGAGGGCTGAATTTTCTGGAGAAACATTCTTCAGAGCAGCGCCGCCTTTAACACCTCCTTGGGACTTTCGGGCGTCGCCTGACGGGTGAAAAAAATGTTTGAATTTTCACGGGAAAGCCATGTTGTTTGGTGATTCCAGCACATGTCAAAGACATGGCTGAGATCATCTGGTTGGTGGTTGAGCCTACCCTCTGAAAAATATGAGTCAGTTGGGATCATGACAGTCCCAATATATGGAAAAATCAAATTGTTGTTCCAAACCACCAACCAGAATTGGGTTGAGAAAATGTTGAAAAGGAAAGTGCCAAGCAGCGAAAAGCTTGCTGGGAAGCTTTTAAGGTCCCAAACGATGTGCCTTTGATCACCACGGAACAGAAGGTTTTCAACCATTGGATTTTGGGGTGCCAGGTTTTAAGGTAACCCCAGGTACCGGCCAGGGGCCTTTTTGTAGGGGTTATAGAGCCAACTGGGATGCATGCGACAGAAGAGATTGCTGTTTTTTTGCTAAAATATTAGCCCAAAATCTCAAAAATATTCAGGCATTCAAAATATTCAAATTTAAATACTGCAGGTATCCCTAACCACTTGGTGTCAGCCCTTCGACACATTTTGCCACCGGCGATTCGCAGGTGACCAAGTTTATGATCGCGGCGATGGTATCCATTTCGTCTTTTCGTGTCGTTTCCGATGCGATTTTTTTGGGTTGCAGCAAGGCAAGCTCTGCAAGCCGTTGAAAACTGATTTTGGAACCAAACTGGTCTTGGAAAGCACCAATATTGAAAGGTTAACTATACATATAGTATACATATATGGGGACTCAAAGATGTTGTTTCATGTCGTGTCAGATGCGCAGCTATGCGCAGCCGCCCCCTCGCTTCACAGGGAACGTTCGTTCGTTTGAGGTCCGGCAGTCCTGACCAAGTCACTGTGGAAAGCGTGGATCCAAAGGATCAATTTAATGGGGTTGATCAACGACATGGGGGTAAAACAATGTCATGTTTACCATCCCCCAGTCATCACCATAAATAGGTGATATGGTTACCATTCCCAGTCATGGGTGGTAAAAATGACATTGTTTTACCCCCTTTACAGTAATTGAACGATATATATCAGAAATATTCAGATATTGCATGGAATATGTATACAACCAGTCCAACAGCCCCCACGAAGTTGTTGCATATTGTTGCTAGACCCCAAATTTGTTGTCCCCAATTCTTACACTGAGCAGACTGATGATTCTTTCACCCTTTGGTTTGATGCTATTCCCTCCATTGTTGGTTGTAGTTAGTTCCATGTTTGCCGCTGAAAAACCACCCACCCATCTCTTTCGGGTCAACTGGTGCATGTCTACCCATTGATCTTGGGAACGGGTGAGCGGAATCCTTCACTAACAGTTTCGCAGGTATATTATATGGGAATATATGGGAGTGTCTGAAAATAACTATACCCCCTATGCTAATTCTAAAAGTACACATCATGATAACCATGGGAGTTTGGGCGACACCTCGTTTTCAGACAAACCCACATATATATAATATATATATATATATTGTATATATATATAACTGCATATGTTATATGTTTGTATTTTATCTTCTGGTAATTTAACAATTTGCGAACCAGAACATCACTTTTTTTAAAAAAAGTGTGCTCCTAACAAACACTTAAGGGGTGGTAAAATGTGGTAAACCAACGGTGAATAGAGAGGCAAATGACCAACCAACTCCTTGTGGCGAGAAATCTACAGCTTGGATCAATGGATTCATGGGAAAATCCCATGGTCTCCGGGGATGTTCCCTCAGCCCTGTTAGTTGGTCCTCACTGAAGCGCCAAACCTGGGCCGCTTTGCCGTTGGATTCATCAAGTTTTTGTTAGATTCTATATATATCATATATAATATTATATCTGGTTGGTGGTTTTAACCATCTTGAAAAATATGAAAGTCAATGGGAAGGATTGTCCCATATATTATGGAAAATAAAACATGTTTGAAACCACCAATCAGATATAGAATTATATGGAATCCTAGTGATATCTATAGCTTCTAGTTGATTCTAGATTTCCGCAACTCTGCTTGGCATATATTGGCATGGCTGTTGATTTCCAAGTTGTGGGAACACGGCATACCCTCTGGTAATTTAACATAGCTATTGAAAATGGCTATTTATAATAGGTAAATCAACTATAAATGGGCCATTTTCAATAGCTATGTTAGTTTACCAGAGGGTATCTGTAAACAATGCTGGTATTCGGTGCTGATTGCCACCCAAAACTCTTGGGAGGTATGGGTTTGACACACCTGGCTGCGCTGATAGCAGCTGGTTGGTTGAAGCTAGACGAAAGGAAGTCTCAAGAAATGGTGTTTCTCTCAAATGTGTGCATGAACCCCTGATATTTCTCGGCATAGTTGTTCCCTTCGAAACCTCCCTAAAATGTTTGCCCAGTGACATGTTATCTTTATTTGTTGAACTACACATGCCAGTTGTAGATACTCGGGCGGACCGGGGAAAAAATCCCCCAGTTTTGAGAAAAGGCCATCCATTGGATATACCCCAATGACTTGACTGTCACTACACCTGTTCCCTCTCCTGCTATCCCTAATTTGGCTGGTTTGAATGCCCAAGTTCTGAAGCCATGTACCCGTTGTTAATCTGTTAATTTTATGGAAATATCAGATATGGCTTACTCTTAAAACACATCTACTGGGAAAATCCTTACCCTCTGGTTATTGAACATAGCTCTGGAAAATGGCCATTTGTGGATGATTTTCTCATGATCATTTTCCGGACTCAAAAACTGGTGACTTTCCGGTTCGCAAACCGTTGATCACAACCAGGGGGTACTCATGAGAAATGCTGCCTTATAATAAATTTATATAAATTTATACGAGGTAAGTTAGGTTATAAGCAGGTTCACTGGATGATGATCATGATGATTTACCTATTAATACTGGTGATTTTCCGTAGCTCACCGTTAAACCCGAGGCGTTTGAGTCAATGTTTATGGCCGAGCGTCGCTCGACCGTCAAGGCATCGCTGAAGTCGGCAGCCACCTGGTCAGCAATTGGATGACACTTCTACTATTTAGGGATGCTTTGTTTGGTGCAGTTGTGATAGTGTGTAGGAGAAAAGGCGTTTTTTTTCGTTTTATTGGTTTTTTATGTCTGGTTTCCTGAGGATTTTCTTGGTGGAAGTTTCAAGGATTCATCGGATTCATGGTTTATAGGTGCCGTGGTTTCCTTCAACATCCTCACAAGGGAGAGTGAACCAAGTGAGCCAAGCAAACATGAGGATGTTTGCTAACTAAACCAGGCGTTTCGTGCAAGACAAATTGAGCGTGATCTAAAAAAATGTGGTAAAGGAACAAAAACTGTTACTAAGAAACTGAGATGGTATAACCAACAAAACTGGGGTGACGGTTGACTTACCGCGGAAATCAATTGATACTGTGCAGGAAAGCAGATTCTTAGGACATGAGATTGGTAAATTTCATAAACAGGCTTCGCGGGTGTACTTTATTTTTGGCCTCGTACTTTATTTTTTCGAAGGCCCCCCCAAAAAAATCTCAGTCTAGGGAGCTAGGACCCTTTAAGACGACAGAATTCGCTGTTCGGCCCTGATTTGAAACGAACCCTATTCTTGCGGGCTGTGGGCTTTAATGATGAACGGCGGATATCCGTAAAGATGGTATAGGTACGCCATGGCACGTCTTTTTCCACCGTGGCTGTGATATCGGCGATACCAGGTACCTGAAAGTATGGCCAAGCATGGCCCAACTCAGGTGACTCTAAAGTTCATTTCGCTCATTGTGGCTGCAACTACTGCATCTGTAGATTTGGCTGGAGCCAGCTGATTTCTTCAACATCTTGTGATGTTTAGATTTGAATTGCTGTGTCAAAGATGTCCTTCAGGTCGTGCTCAGCTGCCAAATCTGAGATGTATCACCGCAGGTTCTGAGTTCGTCCGGCTTTGGGACTCACATGAAGCATCTTCGCTTACAATGACACGAAGCTGCAGCCATTGCCTCCCACCTCGAAAGACACCAATGGGAAACAACGGAAAGAAAAGGATCCGGCCAAAGAAAACTTACATCAACTGACCAACTCCGAACCAAAGCGATCAACTGACGGCCTTCAGAAACCAGGCAAACGCTTCGGCGAAAGTGCCAGGCACTGTTTCGGGAGCTGGAAGCTGTGTGGGTTCTTCGATGACCGGATCAACCGGTGCGGAGTGTGCCAAGAGCTTTGTGTGCTCCAGCAAGTCTGGATACCTGGGCGGATCGTTGGAGGTTTGCCCACTGAGAGCCCTTGGGAAACAAGTCGAAATACGTCGAAATTATTGCGTGAAAAACAAATGAACCACAGGCAAGCCCAACATCTTTTGCGAGCAAATACTTCATAGATCTTCATAGCAAGACTTCGCTACTGATTTAAGCTTGTATCATAGTAGAGAGCTGCATGATCATCAACAACCGCAAGCAAGGCAGTGGGCAATCACCCCTAGCTCTGGTGAGAGACACACGCAAACAGCTACACCTGATATAAGATCTTATCAAGGTCGGTTGCTTGGTGGTTGGGGGTTGCTGGTTTTCAGTGCTAGGATTTAGGACACCACATGTCGTGATGAAGGGTTTCTGGAATCCCACACAGCAACACCAGTTCATCAACCATGCAGGTCTGAAACATAAAAAATAATGAGCACTGCAACTACAGGTCCCTATCTCTGATAGCTGGATGATAGATTATAGTTTGACCCCATTTATCCGGTACTTCATACTTAGAAGTAGTTGAAATCATGTTAACCCTATGTACATCTGGCAGAATCCCTTTGCAGTTTTGATCCATGATACGCCCGCTCCAACTCCATGATCGCAAGAGTGGCAGCTGTTTTGTCATCCAGCAGAGACTGCAAAGAAAACGTGTTGCAGTTCGCACCTGACAACTCTCAGCAGGACAACAAAACACTGCAAGTAACAAACACGTCACGTACCAAGCTGGGAAAAACATATCATCTTAATTTTGCCAGGTGACGAAGGGGGAGCTGTGCAGGCAGAATACCATCTCTGCTAAAGCCCATCTTTGCCAGAATTGCGGCCCGAAAAGGATTGGGCACCGTGTCTCGCCCTGGCACCATCGAATGTGCACCATGCAGCATCCCTTGCCAGTACCTTGGGCAAGCAACTCACAAGATTTTGAAATGTGGTCTACAGGCGCAAAAAAGAAACACTTCAATCTGAATCAATGACAGCTATCGATACTTGTATGCAAGACACGTATCGAAAAGGATGTGAAAATGAGTCAAGTGCTAAAGTGATGCTACATGTGCATACATGTGCCAAGTGAGTGATTTGCATGATGCGAGACTGACTTGTAAAACAAAGGTACTCCACGCGGTTTTTCTTCATTGCTTCCTCCTCTTCGTGCGTTGGCGGCGTGCCATCTTCATGGTTCCTGGCAACAAATTTGGAATCTTCCATTGCACCAGCAACAAAGTGCTCGGTCAGGGCGAGCAAGTCCTGCCACACTGTGGTTGCAGGTCGGGTATCCACCTGGATCTACTTGGATCCCAAGGAAAACATAGGAAAACACATATCAGTAAAAGGTAGTATAAGTATGTATAAGTACAATTAAGTATAATGGCGAAGAGCGAGAGTACAAACAACGGAGGATCTTCTCTAGTTTGAATCAGTTTGCACTCCAGCTGCTGATGCAGAATGCATTTGTAGCTGCACGGTTTTGCAAGAGATGATCGCATCAAGTCTTGAGTGAAGATGTACTTGAAATCCTGGTTTTGTTATAACTAGTTATGGAAGTTATGTTAGTTAATCATTGTTAACAACTACTTCTAACTATGTGTTAACTATGTTTTAACTATGTGTTAACTATGTTTTAACTATGTAGAACTAAGTATAAGTGTTATGTTAAGTTAACATAAGTTAGTATCATAATTGTTTTTTAGCTAACTCAACTTAACTTCCCTAAATATTTAGCGAAGTTAGCAGAGTTAGCTATATCAAAAATATGGTTTGGAGAAAGTAAACTTTTGATCTAGACTGCAACAAATTTTGAAGCAAAAGGAAAAATAATTTGGAAAAAACATGATATAATTGATTTATGTGGAAAGGTTCTTTGTGTTTGGTAGCAAGTTTTGATTTTAACAGAATGTTTTTTTCTTGCTTTTTCTGTCAAACAACAATGAAATGCATAGGGGCAACATCATGGCATACAAATCGAAAGCCTATTGGCTGCCCATGCCATGCATTGCATTATATTGCTTTGAGACAGCCAAGTTGTTCAAACCAATTGGTGTGCCAATCTCCTGCCATTCTATGCAACTGGTTCAGCCATGGTCTCCATCAAGGAAGCCATTGAAATTCAGTACCAAGAGGAGAAGCCAGTGCTCATCCCACATAGCCTCATTTTGAACCATGAAGGTCAGAAGTATCTCAAAGTGAGACCAACATCCCAGCCAATTATTTGCCTTCTCCATGGTGGGCAGCCAAAGAGGAATGCCAGCTTGTCACAGCTGGAGCCATTGGGGCAACTCATTGAAGCCAGAAACGAAGAGATCAAGAAAGTCCATTGTGAAGATCCAGGTGATGGAAACAATAATTTGTTTGACCAGCAGGAAGCAGATCCACCAGCCAAGAAAAAAAGGATTGCTGCACCATCCCCATGTGTGGTGACCATCACTGTGGGTGACAAACTTGTGGATTGCCTGGTATCTGGCAAGAGGCCAGCCAGATCTGACCTTGCAGTTCTGCTGGAGCCAGACCACTTGGACCCAGTGATTTGCCACTTGAGGCCAGGCACTACCACTGCTTTGGAGCAGCCCACCAAATCCCACAAGACCAAGAAGTGAGGCAGGTTGTAGCATACCAATTAAGGGCATTTTGTGAGGAAATGGAAGAAAAGAGCTGCAGCCAAACCCTTTATGGCTACCCATACAGTCAGTTTGCTGCCAGCATAGGGTGAAGCTCTCAGTTTGCCATTCATTTCCCAAAGCCAAGCAAATGGCTCCCCATGGCAAGAAATATTTGTGTGTTTTTTGTACCACATATGTCCCATGAAACCAAATTCAATTCGCTATGCCATTGATCTGCAACTGCCATGGCTGTGTCCCAAAATGTGTTTGAAGAGGCCCAAGCCACCAAAGTTGACACAGATGGCATCTGAAAAATGCTGGCAAAACTGGAAAAGATGCTACCTAAGCCAGGGTTGCAAGGAAACATCAATTGAAATTGATGCCATTAGCCAACATTGTCCACATCAAGGCTAAAGGGTCACCAATGCCATGGTTAGCTTTTATCCACCAGTGGCAATTCCAGCCATGGAAACAATATTGCCCATGAGTTTCCCAATCCAGATTGTTCATTGGTGCCATTTTGGTGGTGCAGGCAGACCAAAGACCAGGGTGATGCCAACCTACCCATCTCCCACCTGACCATTAACATTTCAATCTTGACCAATGATGCGCCTATTGACAAGGACCAGCCATTGCTTTACAACATGGCCACCAATGATGGGCCACCAGAAGCTGAGGCAAAGGCAAAGGCTAAGGGCCAGAAAGGGAATGCCACATAGTTTAGTATATAATTTCAGTAGTATAATTTAAATTTCCAGCTGAATAAAATGCTTGCTTTTGCTGCTACTGTGGCAAATGTGCACAGCACAAAGCCAATGCAGCCATACATTGTCAAACTGATTCACTGTCCATGTCAGCCATGCACCAAAAGCCTTCATGGCTACCCATGTATAGAGCATGGCAGCCATGTGCCAGTGCCATAACTGCTGCCCAGGCCCAAGCCATGAACAGGGCCAGTGCCACAAGGCCAAGTAGAAATAGGATAGAAAAAAATGATACCAGGAGGTATAAAGTCCTGGTGTGGACCAATGGGTGCCAAACATGGTTCCTTGGCACCAATGTGGTACCTTGCTGTTTTACAGCCAATTAGTTTCAGTTCACATCCTGTTTGGCTGGGGCTAGCCAGGCCCCAGGTGGATCCAATGGTCTTAGCCAGCTGGGATGACAGGCCATGGGGGATGCTCCATGCAGGTGATTTTCCAGAACCAGATCTATGCCCAAAGGCAATTTTAATCCATACAGCATTTTTCCCAAATAAACCTGTGACACCACTTTTTTGCTTTCCACATGGTGCTGTTTCCAGGCAGGGGCTACCACCCAGGAGACCACCACATCTGCTACAAAACCTTTGCTAGGGCCCACCACCAGCCCAGAAAGACCAAGATGAAGGCCTAGAAGGCCATGAAGGCCCAGAAGGCAATGAAGGCCATGAAGGTGATGAAGGGCATGAAGGCCATGCCAGCCATGAAAGCCATGAAGACCAGCACCACCATGAGAGCCATGAAGGCCAAGTGAGAGGGCATGTACCATATATATATAAATATAAATATAAATGCACATATATATATATGTATATATGCCATTGTGTTTCTTTTAAAACCAATGCATTTTTTGGCAAGACCAGGGCCAGACCCTGGCCATGCAGAATGTGTGTGCAAAAGGTGCATGGGTCCTGGGATGGGATGGGGTAGTAATGAAAGTAAGCCATCTTGTCCATGGTTTTTCCCATGTATACAGTTTCAAAGGTAGCCTGTTGGCTTCCCATGGCTTCCTATTGTTTGCAAAGGCCTCTATGGCTTCCCATGTCATGCCAGGCAGTAATACCACCACACCAGTACCACAATGCAGGTATTCCAATTTCAAAACAAGGTACTATACCATGATTTTCTAAAGGTTTTATTCTCCAAGTTTGAAGCCTTCCAACTGTTTTTTTTGTACTAAATGTCCACCATATCCATGATTGATTTTTTCTTATATCAACCATAGCCATTCCAGTGCTTAGGCAACAAGTCAGAGACCCATCCAATAGCTCACTGCAGTCATGGGAAACCCTTCCAGCTCACCAGAAGGAGTGAACTAAGTGGCCACTGACCCCAATAACATTGATGCCAACTACCAGTTTATACAGTGGCCAAGATTGGCAGCCTGGCCCTCCTGGTCAGATCCATCACAGCTGGAGGGCCAGGCTGCCAATCTTGGCCACTGTACTGTTATTGGGTTCAGTGGCCACTTGGTTCACTCAGTTCACTCCTTCTGGTGAGCTGGGAGGGTTTCCCATGACTGCAGTGAACTATTGGATGGGTCTCTGACTTGGTGTCTAAGAACTGGGACCCCATAAGAGATGGGATCCCAATGAATAGAGGCCAACATCTATGCCAGCAATGTTGGAAAAAGGTGCACAATAATATCTAAAAATAAAAATCTGTTTCAATTTGACTAGTATTTGTGTCTTGCAGATACATTGGAAGCCTTGTCATATAATACAACCACTGTGGGTATAATGTATCATTATCATTTTTATTATATGCACATTGTATAGTAAACACAAAACTGCATACTGTTTGAAAACAATATCAATCATGTATTGTTTTGTGGAGTTGGTTTGGGTTTGAATGTGTTCAAAAACTGAAAATTTTAAAGTATTGTTTTTTTTTAAAAAAAAAATCTGGGTTTCACCTCAAATTATGGATCTTGGCCATAATTTTACAAAAAAAACATTGAAAAACAAATAGGTTTGGCTGTTGAATATGAAGTTTGGTGGCAAAAACAAATAGGTTCAGCAGCTGAACCAAAACTCAGCACTTCAGAATGTTAGGTTCAGCAGCTGAACCTAAAATCAACACTTTTGGGCTTTAGGTTCAGCAGCTGAACCTAAAAGCAAGATTTTGGGAGTTAGGTTCAGCAGCTGAACCTAAAATCAGGATTTTTGAGATTTAGGTTCAGCAGCTGAACCTAAAAATTAAATTGTGAAATTTAGGTTCAGCAGCTGAACCTATTTGTTTCTATCTTTTTTTTATTTTTTTGGGGCTTTTGAGCCTAGAATGTCAAATTTGAGATAATAGTTTTAGTTGTTAAAGAAAACTTTAAATAAGCAAATGCATTAATTTAATATGAGCCAACAAGTGAATTTAAGATCAAACTCATTTATTTTTGATTTTAATTAAAGTTATTTTTTGAAATATTTTGTCGATATTTCGATACAACTAAAATTATTTATTTTTCATATATATGATTATTTGTTAAATATACAGTTTTGCCAATATATTATATATATATATTTACATACCTGGTTTAGAATTGTAATTGATACTCTTTGATAATATTGGATATATACAAAATATTGAAATATGCAAATATATTTTGAAAGCCTACATGGCATCCCATATTACAATACAATTAAAGCCTATATGGCCACCCATACCATGTACTTTGCAAAAAGGCCTTGTGGCCTCCCATACCATGATATATCAAAAACCATACATGGCATCACATGAATGTAAAGACAACAATATATGTAATATTCCATCTATGTTTGATATCATTGTGTTTCAATTACTTTGGTCTTTGGACACCCAGTGTTATTATCATTGCATATATATGATATTCCAACCAACAAGAAATGTTTATGATATGATTATTTTTTGGTTCAAGCACCAATAAGATCAGTTATGTATACGCAACCAAATCCATTGACCACCACAGGTGACCACCAATGCCATTGTCTAGTTCACCTAGGATCTAGAGAGGTCCCAACAATCCTTCCTCCAAAGGGGTCAGGCCAGTCCAAAGGACTTGGCAGTCCAAAGGACTTGGCAGTCCAACGCATACAGCCTTGTCCACCACTACAACCAAGAGAATTAGAACCAGATAGGTTCCATGATGGGCACTTGGAGGGCTGAGCCTCAGTTCGACAACTTCGTTCACACAGCAGCGGCCATTGTGGAGACCCATGTGAGGGACTTGCGCCAGCCAGACTGGTGGACCAGGAGATAATTTCACCATTCCCAGATGCAAGCATCCAGCAGGCCAAACAGAAAGCTTGCTGCCAAAAGCCTTTTGGCTTCCCATGTGCCCATGTTTTTGCCATTCGTAATCCAGCTGTGTGTTTACAGCTGGTGTATACCTCTTGCTTTTAACAAAAGCAACATGGCTTCCCATGTTGAGCATGTTGCTTCCAGCTTAGCAAAAGCCTTTTGGCCTCCCATGTGCCTTCCATGGTTTTTCTTGAACCACCAATGCCATATTCTTCCCAATCTTTGATTGCTACACAGAAGAAAACCCATATGGCCTTCCATGTTCCCAGCTTCACTTTCAATAGCTATGTGGCATTCCATGAAACTTCTATATCCCCCCATTGCATGACCCATTTGAATAGCATATGCATTTCCATGATGATAAACCATATGGGTAAACCATATGGGTTTCCATGGTGACAATCAAAACCAATTTTATGTTTACATATGATCATGTGTTTTGACTTTTTTGTGGAAGCCATTCCAAAGCCCCAAGCTCGCCTGTGCCACCACCTGTAGGTGCATCCATCTCCTGCCCAGTGCAGCCATGGCTCCTAAGCTTTCCACCATGAAAGCCATGAAGACCAGCATGAAGGTCGCCATGAATTCCATGAAGGCCACCAAGATGGAGTCCAAGAAAGACACCAGCAAGTCTGCCATGCCAGAGGGTGATGGAACCAAGCCACTTGGGCCACTGCTGCGTCTTTGCTGCAGCACCAAGGGATGCACCAGTTGGATTTGGGGTTGGCGTCTTTGGGTGCTCCCACACTGCCAGGTGTGCATGACACCATGGAGGACCAGCTTCATGAAGAATGGCTTGGAGATCCACCAGCCCAAGCCCATGAAGACCAAGATGCCAGAGATGAAGGCCATGAAGGGGACCAAAAGAGCATTGCCCAAAGCGATGCCCAAGATGAAGGTCCAGAAAGCCATGAAAGCCCAGAAGGCCATGAAGTGACAGCTAGGACTTGGGCATCCACCAATGTATACCTTTCCACTTTGTCTGTGCGTGCAAAATATGCATTGCTGCTGGGATGGGGTGGGGCGGCCATGACAGCCACCTTGGCTTCCCATATGTACATGTTGTTTGTACCCCTTGTTTTTCCAGAATCTTTATTTTGCAGCCAATGCATGTGGGTTTCCATCTTCCAGATCGCAAAAGCCACCTTGGCTTCCCATATCTGCATACTGTTTTTTCTTCCACCTATTCATTTTTGGAAACTACCTTGACATATTACAATCTTTTAGGTTGCAAAAGCCATCCTTGGCTTCCCATATCATGCCAAACAATCTCTGGAAATGCCACCACGCTAGTGCCACAATGCAACTATTCCAATGTTAAGTCTTTCACAAAGACCATGTTTCTTTCCATATTCAAATCCAAGAAGACCACATTCCCAAATTCAAAACCTTCCAGCTATTTGTTGCAATAACAAATTCCAAATTCCAAATTTCAGATGCAAACCATATCCATTGTTGATTTTCTCCTTTTATCATCCACAGCCATTCCAGGCCTTAAACATACAGACAGAGACCCATCCCATCATCACTGCAGCTATGGGAAACTTGCATCAAAGACTTATTTTGTCTATGGTATGCTGATAGCATCACAGGCCCACAAACACTTTTTGGCATAAATCGCACATGCACCATATCATGGTAAACAAACCTTGGGGAAAATGTTTTCCATGGATGCATGTAGTGATAGTTTCCCAGTAGAACATATGGGCACCACCCACAAGCTTTCATCCACAGCCATGTGACCAAACCCAAGCCAAAGAGAGGATGCCACTGCACTCCTTTGAGCCACCAGCCATGGGGAAGACTTTATGCCACAGAATCCATGCCCATTGGAAGGACCTCTTTTTCCACCCAGTGCCACTGGGTTGAAAGCAGGGTTTGCCCCTCAGAGGGAGGTAGGGTGGGAGGGGTGGCCCAACCTGTGACCTGACTGGGCCACCCCAAACAAGGAGGGCTGCCATTCAGCTCTCCATCGCCAAATGACTCATAGCTGCCACCATGGCACTGCACATGTGGGTCAGGCACCTGCAACTTGATGCTTCCGTCACTGGCTGCCAAGCAGGGTGCAGGCTGTCAGCACCCTTGCATGGCAGCCAGTGACTGGAAGCCAAGTAAATACCCAACAGGGTGCAAACCATTGAGGGTGCCATTTTTGACATGGCAACCACATTGGTTGACCTGTGCACTGTGGACCATTGATGCCTTGGAGAAGCACCATGCCAAATGCCACATTGGAAGCTCCACTGGCTTCATTCCCATGGGCAAAATGTTTTAATCAGTTCCATGCACCAAGAATTATCTTACAAGACAGCAGCTACTGTGGTGCTACCTTGCCAAAATTATCGCCAAGCTTGGAAAAAAGATAGCTGCTGCTCACTTGTTCCATGAGTTTACAGCAAAAGCGTCTCAGCTACCCATGATTTTTTTGAAAATTAAGCTTCTGAACATGAAAAAAAACATGTGTGTCCATGGTGCAAGTCTACATATATTAATTTTAAAAGCAGCTTTTCCACTAAAACTAACAATTTTCATCATGCAGCGGAATGACACTAAAGGCAAGCCGAAAAAAAAGTTATACAATGTTAGTAACTAACATAACTTCCATAACTAGTTATAACAAGACCAGGATTTCAAGTAGCAATGAAATGTAAAAGCGTTCTGGAAAGGCTGCTTACCGCTTACCTGCAAACTAACGCGTGCATCCTGGACCTCTTCAGTGTCAGGCAAACAAGTTCAACCCTGCATTTTCTACCTGCGTTCGGTTCTGAACCGCTAGGCATTTCTGAGTATCGCAAATATTAAGTTGAGACACCTCTCGCGCATGGTATCAAGTCTTTCCAAACCTGCCTCAGTGATGCAGCCCGCATCGAGGTCTGCCATGGCACGAATCGAGCCCGAAGGGAGCCCGAAGGAATTGATGGCAAAAGAATTAGCCTGAGCTCTTCTGGATGGAAGGAAACAAGCAAACAATCAACGATTTGAACAGTGCAGCATACATCCGTGGGCTCCTGACTCATTCTTGGTACCCTAGTCTACCAAAAAAAATGTATGGTGAGGAATTTCAGCCAACATCAAACGCTACTCAACAAGAGGGAAAAAGACTGTACGGCTTTAGTGTCTTTCCAGACCAGCAAAGCGATAACCTTCAAGCTCGCTGATAAATCCAAAAGACTCCACAAGTGGCATGAGCGCACAAGCAATGCCTGCGTGTCGAAGAGTTCCCGCGTAGGTTGCCAGGGTTCTCAGAGCCATGGCGGCGCAATGGTCATTGGATGCCATATCTATGGCGAACGTCTCCGCAACCTTCATGGCGGTTCCAAGCCCACAGGCGGTAAAGCTTGCACACTCCTCCAGCGAAGACTGGTCCGCCGACAGCGAGGCCGTTGATTCTGTGTGGGACTTTGGCGACAGTTTCAACGCCCCTGGAGGCGGAACGGCCATCATCGGCTCTGAGTCGAAATCGTCGCCCTTCCTGGACTGGTTTTGCAAAGTTTCAAGTGACCCTGCACTTATGCATCAACACAATCGGAAGAACGCCCCCAGAGTCCACAGACATTCCTTGTTCTGTTGAAACCCAAAATAGATATAATGCGCATATGGTATTCTTATCGGAATACTGCATAACAATATGAGTACATGTATAGACTAGATATATCCACATACAATATCTGTACTTGGACCCATAACACTGTATATATAATATATACTAGAGAGAGAGAGAGATTGCGTTGTGTATTCACATTCATTCCCCAATCTTCCTCAAGAATACCGTCCCACAGAATTATTGCTGGATCTTTTGAAAAGCTTCACAAAGGGAGCGCTCCAGTGGTTCACTCCCACATCTGTGGGAGTCAGGGATCCTAGTTTCCAGACCAGACTTCCCACTATAACACCACAGACCATCTGTGTGACGTCTGTGATGTCAAGCTTGATCAGTTCGGCCAGATGGTCCCAAAGGTCCTGCAGCTATCCGAGCTATCCGGACCATGGACACCCGACACCCTTGCCAGGGAATAGGCCACTATTGGATTGATCGCATTGACGGTCTGCTTCACAAAAGCCTAGGCCAATTACATCTCTTTGGTACACATAGATTTGGGGATACAAAACCGTGCAACCTGCTCGAGGTACGGCGTTGCTTTTGCTTAAAGAGAATTTGAGAATTCAGATTTTGCAAAAGCCTTGTTCTTCGCTTTTCAGAAGGTCGTGTCCCATATTGCCCCCCAACTCTCACTCCTTTGTGGGGTACCGGGAATACAGTCCTCTTCACGGAATGCCCATTTTTGCAAAGCCGGAGCATTCCTGTTTTTGGCTGCTTGTGCCATGTTTGCCCAATTCTGCCACATCAAAGTGCACAAAGGGGTCGGCAACCTTGAAAATCTGGGATGCAATCGAATGTGCTCAATGACATCTGACTTCATGAATGTTTCAACAAGTGAAGTATGAAACGTCTGAGGGAGCAATGTGCCAATCTCCTTTCAAGAAACAAATGGACCAGAAATTCAAGCGTGACAACGCATAAATCTTCCAGCATGACGCCTTTCCTAATCCAGTACAGGGGCATGACATGTCATGTCAAATGTCATGACTTGCCGATAACTCAACCAAGCTTCCTGGACTTTGCCATTTCCAAGGCAGTCCGCAACAGCTGTTCCTCGCCCATCTTCATCTTTGAAAAAAGTGCTAGCATGGCGTTGCGCGCCTGGGTGCGGAGCAGGGCCTCTTCATGGGCCGTGTAGGCCATTGCCACTCTGAGGATCGGGATGTCGCTGTCTGTCATCAGGAATGGCAGCGTCTCCACGTCTATTCGCATGCTGACTGTTTTGAGACAAGAGACGAAGTTCATCCGATTCTCCTGACGCTGAAATACAGATGAATCAAAAAGAAAGAATTGAGTTTGCGAAAGAGCTCTATTGCGGGTCAGATGGATTGAGCCATTGTAACAGAACTTGCTTCGCGCCGCAAGGGGCACAACTTGCACAACTTCCCAGCTCCTCAATTCGAAGATCTGGCTCACCAGACCACAACACATCCAGCTCGCGCCCAATGATCAACCGTTGGAAGACATCCTCCTGCGGTCTTTGTCATTCCAGGGATTCCAGAGCAACATCGAACATGTATTGGATGTGGGCATGCGAATTGGTCATTTTGGCGCCAAGCTCCAATCATGAACAACTTTGAAATCATGATGGGAGAAGCAATAGGCGACTTTGCATGTCAATACAGTAGGCATATGATCTCATTTTTCTGCATGTGTGTGAATGTGTGCCCCTGTGTCTCACAAAGCTGTCCTCCACATTCAGCAGGATTAGGCACAGCGACTGCCACGCCTGTGCGCGTATGATCTCGGGAGTTGAGCTCGCTAGCAGTGCTTCTACTAGAATACTCAACCCCCTCTTCTCCAAGAAAGATGCCACGACTGCATCATCCTCCCTGGCTCCAAACAATGCACGCGCCAGGTCATGCAGGCTTTGGATCACCAGGTTGGCTTCATGGGGCGTGTGGGGCCAATGTTCCTTGAACTCCTGATGTCCATACGACAACGGAAACTTCAAGGAGGACAGCAGTCCCTCCATGCCCTCTTTTGTCAATGTCTCTTGCGACTGCAAAGGCTCATTTGGCTCTTGCAATGACGGCACAGACTCCGCGACGTAGGTGAGCCAGCCGCTAATTGTCTCTAACATAGGCTCGAACATTACCACGTAGAGAGACAGGTGTTCTGTCGCAACGCAGTTTATTTGAAACCTGCTTGAGCCCAAGCTGCAAACGAGCACTTGGGTTTCAGCCTGACCAGAAAAGCTCAGAGGCTCAGGCCACGTGAGGTGAAGCCCCGTGGCAACAAAGTCAGAATTTGGAGTTGGATGACATGATTTTCTTGATCCGCCCTTCCTTTGATGCAAAGCTTTTCCAGCTCTATGGCGGTGGAAACTCCCCTGGACCCATGTCGTCATAGGAGTCATAGCTGGGCATGGAAAATCCTCGGGAAAAACATCGAACTAAACGATCATTTTGCAATGGTTGATGATAGATTAGATAGTTGATTAAAAGTCAGTTGATTATAGTTGATTAAAACATCTATGGTTGATGATAGTTGATTAAAAGATATTAAAAGTCAGTTACCAACTCCATCCCATCGCGTCTACCTCGACTTGCCGCAGGAATTGCGACATCTGCTGCAACGCAGGTTGGACCTGGCGCGGTCGAACAAACATCGGTGGGACCCAGCATTTTTTATTCATTGGATTGGTTTGAGGGAAAATTGAAACTGGAACCCCCTGCCTGTATTTGACTGGGAAAACCATGGTTTCCGATTAAGATTCCTAACAAAACCAATCCAATGATTTATTGTTTGAATTGAGATCAAATTGACATGAATCAAATATAACCGGGATATGTAAATTATAGTTAACTCACTTGTCTGAAATTATTTTATCTGTATCTAGTTAACATGAAATTACCATGTATCAATTGCTGATTGATGGTTTATGAGTCATTGAGGAACATCAACCCCACATCTGGTTGAAATAAAAACATATTTGAAACCACCAACCAGATTATCAAATTACCATCATAAACCACCAACCAAATAATCAAATTATTAACATCACAAACCACAAACAAGATCATCAAATAGATAACTTAATTAACATCACATTAACATGTATATCATCAAATGAGCCATGGTCAATACTCACTATATGGTTGATGGTCATCCCATCCATAATAAGGATGGTTATTATAAATCCCTATGAACCATTGGATGACTAGCCCCTATTAATGGTTATTAACCATGAGTATTGACCATAGCTCAAATATGGTTGGATACTCTTCCATTTTTCCGGAGACACAAATTGGACCACAGCCCCCACCCTCTAGGAATGCTAACTTCAACCAACCATGTTTCGGGGACCTTCGGGAGCCGCAACGGCAGGAACGAGACAAACTCCGAATGCAAACCACGCAAAGTTCTGACAAAATAGTGGTGATACTGTGATACCTGATATGCATCCATCATCATCATATATCATCATCATCATCATCATCATCATCATCTTCATCATCTTCATCATCCAAAATCCAAAATCCAACAAATACACATCCAACAGTTCCCAAGATCTTCAAGACATCTTGGTACGTCCCGTATTGGGTCACCGTTCGAGGTCGTTCCCTGGTCGCCTCAGCACAGTATTGATCGCACAAGAGCAACAGCGAGGCCCAAAAGGCCGAATATTCCATGAGGCGCTGGTCAAAGCGCTCCTCGCAAACTCGCAAACAAATCGTGTTTTTTTTTGGAACCCGGGCAGTTGAAGCTGGAAATATGCAACCATCAAATGTCACCATCGAATAGAATCTTGGAAATATGTTTGGAAGATGAGTTCAGCTGGCTTTTCTTTTTGAAAGTATCTTAGTTAAACTACCTACTTAATTAGACCCTCCAAATCCCTCCAAGTACCCATAAAAATACGTTTGGATGATGCTTTTTGATGAAGTGCTGGTGATTTCCAATTTGAGAAGGGAGTTGTTTCACCATCAAAAAGAAGGGAATATCAAAGTTGAGTTGTGCCATTTATGGGGGGATTTAACCATCCATGATAGGTGTTGTGATGAATAGTTGGTGATTTAACTACTGAAGAACGGGTGAACGGAGTTTGGGCTTAGAAAATCATGCTATACCCTCTGGTAATTTAACATAGCTATTGAAAATCACCATTTTTAATGGGAAAATCCACTATAAATGGCCATTTTCAATAGCTATTTTGACATAACCAGAGGCTATACCCTACTCCCAAATTGGATAATTAGTTGAGATCAATCAGGGGCCCATCCCCATTTTTGGTCATCTCGTTGGGACGGGAAATTCCATCCATCTCTGCCATGGCTAAACCCATGGTTTAACTGTGTACCCTCTGGTAAACATACAAAAAGCTATTGAAAATGGCCATTTATAGTGAAATTTCCCATGAAAAATTGTGATTTTCCATAGTTGTTTGTATGTTTACCAAAGGGTAACTGTGTAAGATGACGAAAAATATCCAAATGGAACAGTTGTTTTTTTTAATGGCCAAGAACGGGAATCGTAAATGGAAGTGGATTCCTTGAAAACTCCATGGAAAACTCAACATCTTCAGAAGAACGTTAATAATATTAATCTGGTTGGTGGTATACCCACCCCTCTGAAAAATGTGAAAGTCAGTTGGGATGATTATTCCCAATATATGGAAAAATAAAAAATGTTCCAAACCACCAATCAATAATAATTATGCACCGTTTCCACACACACCCATATACTTGATATACCTTGATATCCTTGACTTGTATGTGGATATGCTCCAACAATTTAACAATTTGCGTATACTCCGATTTGTGTAGCAAGAATCCTAGTTTTTCCCTGCTAATCCCCCTATTGATTATTTATACATGATACTGCTTCCCGATGTAACGTTGGTGTTTTTTCCCAGAGGATCCATGTATGGAATATTTACCTACATTGACCCCTAAAGTAATCTAAAATAATCCCAATGTAGGTAAATATTCCATACATGGATCCTTAGGGTTTGTCAGTAATTGTATAGGTCAAAACTCCGATGACTTCTGGCTATTTCTGGTGAAATGTTCGTTCTAATGGTAGAATCTGGAAAGATTTGCTGCTCCATGAACGTCCAACCACAGCCATATTCCATGAGCAGTGTTAAAAAAACCTATGATTTTCCGATATACTTCTGCTGCTTGATTACCCTCTGGTTATGTCAAAATAGCTATTGAAAATGGCCATTTATAGTGAATTTTCCCATTAAAAATGGTGATGTTCCATAGTTTTTTGTATGTGTACCAGAGATTAATAGGATTTCCCATAATGCATTGTGATAATCCCCAATTGATATTGGATAGTAATAGTATAACCCCATGCAATGATCAATAGGGATTTTGGTAAGAAAACATATCCATTATTCGTTGGTGAAAAATCATAGTTTGATTGGTGAAAGTCGCATGAAGATCCCATCTTTATCATTTTTCATGGTTAAATCACCCATCTTCACCCCATGTTTGATGGATTTTCAGTAACAAATCCATCAGTTTTCATAGTTTTCATGCTTAGTCCCAATGTTCCTCCATTTTTCATAGGTAAAATCCACATTTTTCATAGGTAAAATCCACATGTTCCACCATGTTTCATGGTTTTCACCCCAATTGTCCGCCATTTTTCGGTGAAAAAAAATCCAAATCTCCTTGAGGCGGTGGCTCTTGGAAGCATAGCGCAGCAAAGACTGGGCGTGGTCCTTGCCGGTTGAGCCAACGTTAGATGGGAAAGTTAGTTGGGATTTAACCATGGTTAATAGTGATTAATAGTGATTAATAGTGGTTAATAGTGATTAATACCTGAAAGTTAAGGGACATTTCACCATTTAACCATCAATGGCCATTTCAGTGACATCAAAATGGTGGTTTAATATGGTTTAATGGGACTGTCATGGGATATAAATATATATCTGGTTGGTGGTTGAGCCCTACCCATCTGAAAAATGATGGACGAAAGTCAGTTGGGATGATGATGACATTCCCAATATGATGGGAAAAATAATCCAAGTTTTCCAAACCACCAACCAGTATGTTTAATGCAGAAATTTGGGATTTACCATGATTTAACCATCAATCACCCTGTTTCATGGAGGTTTTAGTGGGAAAATCATCTACAAATTTGGATTTTACATGATTTAAGCCTCAAACGTGGTGCAACGATTGGGATTTACCCTCGGGATCCCTCTGGTTATTCAAACAGTTTGCTATGCTATAGATGGCCCATGAAAATAGATTATAAATAATGATTTTTGCCGAGCTTAAGAATTGTGATGTTCCATAGCTACGTTAAATAACCAGATGGTAATCATGAGAAATGCTGACTTATGGTTCATGTATACCAGGCAAGTTGGTTTATAAGCAGGTTCTACAGTTAAGTGGGGTGTATTTCATTGAATATAAGTAGATGGGTCTGTACACCAGCTTTACCAGCTTTTCTGATCCTAAATTTGATCCTCTTTGGTATGGCCATTTTTGCATGGTGAGATTGCCCGAGCGTGGCCACCCCACAACATACGAAAAATTGGATGTGAAGGAGTGAGAATTTAATCCATGATGGGGGTGTTGGGATCTAGTGATATACCTGGCCTGGTAAACATACAAATAGCTATTATACAAATGCCCAGTCGAAATAGTGGATTTACCCATTAAAAAAAGGTGGATCTTTCCATAGTGACGTTAGTTTACCAGAGGGTAAATTTTTATTGTGCAAACAAATGCTATCTTCCCATGCAAAATTGGGGCCATAACATCCCACAAATACACTATCCCATTAATAGCAACGGTTTTCCCGTTTGTCTGAAAATATGCCTCTTAATCCACTGGTTAATCATAATTGAACATAATTGTCCTGTTTGTTCATGGCAATTGAAAGGGCAAATCGCGTTTTCAGACACACCCAAATCTCATAGTGTGGGCTATATATTCCATTCTATTCTCATTATATAGTTGGTTAAATCCCGATTGGTTGGTGTGTAATTCCCTATTCTTGGTTGGTCATTCCAGACCCCCCCCATTAAAAATATATACAAATTATTACTGGTTGGTGGTATACCCACCCCTCTGAAAAATGTGAAAGTCAGTTGGGATGATTCTTCCCAATATATGGAAAAATAAAAGCCATGTTCCAAACCACCAACCAGAATATATTGAAATCCATGATTCCATTGTCAAATCCCAGTGTCTTGATGGTTATCTCAAGCTAAATCACTAAATCCCCCAAAAAAGTCAAGAAATGGCTGGCAACATCCCAAATCCTGCTGGTTTCGCTGTTGTTTTTCTACAACATGGGCCATTTCATCGCCACCCAACTTGCAACTCCTTGGACCGTGCCAACTCCTTAACGGTGCCTTCAATGTGGCCTCAGTAGGGCAGAGGTTCACAGACTTAGCGCCAAAAAAAATATGTAAAAAGTCTACCCTCTGGTAAACATACAAAAAACTATGGAAAGATCCACCATTTTTCATGGGAAAATCCACTATTGCCATGGCCATTTTCAATAGCTACGTTAAATTACCAGAGGGTAACATCTAAATGTCTAAATGATATAAATTGTCAGTTAGTCAGAGTGGCTTTAACATGGTTTAACTAGTTTAACTAGTTTAACTATCCCTAGCCTTCCAGTTGTCTCTGAGATAGGTAATATATTATATATACTATTCATTGGACTAAGCTATTTGATGGGTTTATGGCAGATGTATATATAGCATCAATGGGCCAATGGGGGTTATAAGCTAACTTAAGGATATCCATGGTTGTCCAATAATACCCCAGCCTTCCAATGGCCTCTGAGACAGGTAAGCGCCTGTCTAACGAAACATGATTCTGAGTTACCCATCTTGAAAAGGTTCGCCTGGAGGGTGCGCGAAAACATCAAAGAAAACCCTCCAGTAAACTGAAATAGCTCTGGAAAATGGCCCCATTTTTAGCTGATTTCCCATGAACACCACCATTTATAGGGTATTGTCCATAGCTATGTGAAATTGCCAGATGGTAAGTTTCTTCCTTCAGCTGCTCTCTTATCCTGAACACGTTGCTTGTTGGAAACCTAGGGAAAAAGGAACGGCCAAAAGCACGCTGACGAAGAAGAGGGGGAAAATGGAACAAGAAAAGGAAGGTGAAGGAAAAGGAGGACACAGGAAAGCAACAACTTAGAAGGAAAGAGAAACCTTGGTGAAAGGACGGTGCCTAAAACCAGTCTGATCCCTCTCAATCCGACATTCTGTTCCTGCTATGAGGTTTCGTTTTAAGAATTGCCCCCCCCACCAATTTCATCCAAGGATTGCCATAGTCATAACAAGGTCGTTTGCCATCACAAAACTTGCTGGCTGTTTGGCCAGAATTTCCATGCATTTCCATGATGGGTTGTGCAATGCTGCAAATGCGTGTATCAATTATATAGCTAGCTGGTTTGACCATCTTGAAAAATATTAGTCAATGGGAAGGATTATCCCATATATAATGGAACATAAAAAATGTTTGAAACCACCAATCAGATACAATTATAAACACCTTTTAAAACTGCATTCTCGCCCCTTCTATGCCCCCCAAATTGCAACCTGGAGCCCGAAAACTGCCAAAGTACCCGACAAATATTAGATGCTTGTGTCATGTTTGGTATCAACATGTAGCAATACCCCCAACATCCTATGCTTATGTCCATACTTTCAAGTCATCATCATTTTCAAGTGTTGCCCTCCAGGTCCACCCTTAGCACCTTTTTTTCGGTGTCTTTTCTTTTTTTCGGCTGCCAAGGCACTCCAAAAGGACGTGCACTGGCGCAAGATGTCACTCACCTGATGGAGTTCGTACCTCGCCGTGGGACCGTGGATTAGGAAAAACCATAGGATTTGGGGATACCGAATCACCAAACATAAGAGAAACCATATGTTTTTGATATTTCATCTACCATCTCGTTATTTAACATAGCCATGGAAAATCACCATTTTTAATAGGTAAACGATCTATTTCTATGGGCCATCTATACCATGGCGAACTGTTAAATAACCAGAGGGTATGTTCTGAGATTGTGACTGATAAACCCTTAATGTGCTGTTGAGATTTCAACCATCAAACATTCAAACAAATATGGATGTTCCATACCATGCTGCTTTGAATCAAGTACCCATACGTACCCCAAAATTTGATTGCTTATCATCATGATATTCTCTATTAGACTGAAAATATGTGGAAAATATTGTAGGGCAGCCCCCATTTTCAGACACACCCAAATCCACTCCATTTATTGGTTAAACATCCCTACTGTACTTTTTCATGGTCAAAATCCATAAACTTACCATTGTTAAAACCACCATTCATGTCTTAAAAATATCAATAAATATCACTTCGCTGCCATTCTCATGGTGAAATCCTCAATGTTCTCTGGATGTTTTTGGTGAAATCCCACAGGTTTTTTCAGTGGTCTGTCATGCTTCAAATCACCATGTTCCACCTTTTTTCATGGTCAAAAACACCTGTTCCACCTTTGGCAAACAAAAACCATCAAGTCACTTACCCTCTGGTAAATTAACAGTTCAACCCTGGCAGTCATCGGGGTTAGAAGATGAGTTTCATAGTTTCAATTAAAACTAGGCTATGTTCACCATTTTTCATGGGAAAATCCACTATTTCTATGGCCATTTTCAATAGTTATGTTAGTTATGTTAATTTACCAGAGGGTAACAACCATTCATAACCATTCACCACCATTAAATAAATCATCATTAACCATCATTAACCATTGCTATTTTCAGGGTCGTTTTTTGCCAATGATACCATGTTGGTTGATGATAATTCTATGGGGGATATACTATCCAATGATGTTCAAACTTATATAGATTATACTGGGTAAATTAAAATATTTCACTAACCTGAATGGTTCGGCCATTTGGGATGATTTCCCTAACATAAACCATGATTCCAGGGTTCGGGAGAACAGTGAGGTCGTTATAATTTACCCAGATTATACCAACCTAGGGTCTATGTTAATTTACCAGATCGTAAATCCGCCACCAAGTCACAGGGCCCGCAGCAAGGGATGTGCGGCGGCGGCGGCTGCGGCGGCGGTCTCGTAGCGAGGTCCGCCTGGCTAAGGCTGGACGGGTCGTCGTCGCGTTGAGCCGGCAAATGGCAGTGGAAACATGTGGAAAAATCGTGGAAAATTTGGATTTCACCATGAAAAAATGGTGGAACATATGGAAAAATCAACATTCTACCATGAAAATTAGGATTTGTTTCATGAAGAAAAGGTGGAACATGGGGATTCAAACTCAAACTAACAATCATGATTGTTGATGTATATTATATACTGTATATACTGAGTAAGTTGGTGTCTAACCAAGCAAACTATGGTTTATGATGGGTAAGCGAAGTAGTTAGATGGGGTAAACCATGGTAAACCAACTTATGAATGTGAGGGGGCCTTCTTAAAGGTAAATCAAGAAATCATCTATAGCAGTCCCCAACAAGATTGAATAGTCAAAACATGTAAAAACATACCAACATGGCAGCAAATTGCTGTTCTATCTTTTTAGGGTTACACTAATGAATCAACAAAGGGAAAATCATGCCAAACATAACGACCTAATCGGCAAAAACTGGAAATGATCCAGTTTAACTGGAAATATTCATAAGAAGTACATGAATTGCCCGGATCTTGACAAATCAAGAACTGGCAATTCTCAAATGGATATCATCCGTATTTATAGATGATATTCCCTGCGTAGCAAAGCTTCCTCCTTGGCTAGTTCGGGGACTTTTCCAGCCAGCCATGTTTCATTTCCGGAGCTTAGATGAACGATTTTGTTTTTTACAAGGTGGTGCCCCCTAGATAGCTAAGTTGGTTTATAACTCCAATAACTATGGTTTATAGGTGATATATCTATAGTTAATGGGATTATAAACCAACTTATAACTGGGGGGCACCACCTTGTAAGTAACTATGGTTCATTTCTACCATGGACTGGCACGTAAGAAACATGTGTCAGTGTCCGTCTGAACAAAGAAACACATTTGCCTAATCCATCTCTTGAGGTCCCACTACCAAAGACCTCCATGGCTGACCCCTCTTCCAACATCTTCCAAGCAACAATTTCAAAAAACCTCTCCAAACCACCAAAAAAACATCAAAAAAAACCCTCACAAAAAACAGAAATATGCAGAAATCAAAATCATATATGGCAGTGTGTGAAAAACCTTGTACCCCTGTAGTTCACATTAAATAGCTGGGATTTATGGATGTTCAACCCCCTAAAAATGGTATTAATAGGTATTGATCCATAGCCATATGATCAAAACACATACCCTCTGGTAATTTAACGTAGCTATTGAAAATGGCCATTTATAGTGGATTTTCCCATTGAAAATGGTGATTTTCCATAGCTATGTTAAATTACCAGAGGGTATCCTCAGCTACCGCAGATCCCCACCATCACTGCCCGGACCTACCGGTCTCAGCGCCAGTTCCCCGGTGTAGAACGGCGCCCCCGCGGCCGTCGCCGTGGCGCCGGTGCCGGCGGTGCCGGCCACGGAGGGCGTCTCCGGCGTCAGCGACACGGGACCCGAAGAGGGCGTGGCGTTGGAGTCGGCGCGCCGGGGCTCCTCCTGGGGACCAAATGGGAATCTAACCACATGGGTTTATACTATATCATCTGGGTAAATTATAATAATTCACCAACCTGAATTAAGGCCATTTGGGAATGATTTCCCTTATTAACCATGATTCCCAGTGAGGTCGCAGTGAGGTCGTTATAATTTACCCAGATATCATAGAATAGGTTATATAAATATATATATTAGAATAACTATAGTTGATGGAAGGTTTATATTTTGGAAAAATATGGGATATCCGATATGGTATATAAATTTAGTGTTTTAATAAGTTATAAGTTATAAGGATAACCCAATGTGCTAGAATTTGTATTATAATGTTAAGACCCTCCCACGGACGATGGTAGGGATAGACTGGGGATTGTGGGGAGATTCATAGAAATAGAGATTTGTAAGCAAATGGGGATATAACGGGATATTCATATCATGGGGATTTATAATATTACCAAGAACAATAGGGATATTTGGATGGATATGAAAATAGGCTATTAATGGGATATTCAGGGCATAATTAATGCGATTTACTGAGATACAATGGGAATAGAACGGGCATATAGTGGGGTAGCACCATGTGATGTGGGGCTGCTTGGTTGACACACCCCAGGAATACTATAGTTAAACCGTTATAAGCATCATACAGCCTACTTATTTGAGTTATAAACCAACTTAGTTCTCTAAGGGGGCCTTCCCATTTAAGCTAATGGTCCCAGGTAACTTGATTTGATCATCGAAGTAGAGCGAAAACAACAGTAGATTCGGATATTTATGGATTTTTTGACCAGTTGGAACAAGCACATGTTTCACATGTTGATTTCTGAGTAATTTTCAAATCACCCACCTTTTCTGAATGCTGAAATCAATTGCAGGTGGCACATATGTCGCCATTAAATCCATTAAATATTCGGAAGATTGGTCAACAATGATGGGACAACGCAATGACTGATAACAACAATAGCTGGTTGGTGGTTTCAACCCCTCTGAAAAATATTAGTCAGTTGGGATTATTATTCCTAATATATGGAAAAAATAAAAAATGTTTGAAACCACCTGTGATCGCATGACCTTTTTTGGGATCCCAATTCTAGATGGCTAGTGATCCAACCGAGTCGTCTTCCTTCATCCCCATATTTTTGTGTCACATTCCCACAGTCCACTCAAAAATGTTGGGATTTTCTCCACCAAGCAAATGGATAACGTTTTTTGATCCAATCGGGACTTGGTAATCTAATATGGCTATGGTTTAGATGTCGTATTGAGTTCGATGGGAAACATATTAAAGCATACCACAATTTTGACATATCTTAACATTGTGCATGTTCAGTTTGCAAACTGTACAATTACCAGAAATGATGGATGATTAACGGTTATACATCCCATTGTACATCCCATTATATATATATACATATACCATTATGTCGCTAATTATATAAAGGTATCATTACTTTAGAACTCCCCATGGAAAAACCCAAATTTTAAACCCAGTCCGAATCCATGCAATTGCGATGTTTCAAGACTTCAGTGGACCCAGGTGTCATTCCAAGCGTGCGCCCGAGCTTCCACGATGTAGCCATTCCGAGCACCCGTCGCATCGGCTTTGCCTTGCCGCCAGCTTTGTCGCGGCGAGAAAGTGGCCCATTTCGCATGTGAAAAAATGAACTTTGTGTTGTGGGAATATAGAATTGGGTATGTGTATACATATATATATTATTGAATATTATTGATATATCATCAATAGTTCACCAATGGGATTATATGTCATGGATTATCATGGGATATACTTTGGACTATATATCATTCTAATGCTTAACATTATTTCACGAAAACTCACCAATCCAAATGGCAAGGTCATTGTGGTATAGTTTCCCGGAGCTATCTCTAGATATCCTACGAAAAAAGGTAGGTAAACCGTTGATGAGTTTCCTGCTGGAAAATCGTGGAGTCTTTTTGGATGCCATTGATTGATTATAATATTTCACTACCCTGAATTAAGGCCATAAAAGGGGATGATTCCCCTTACTAACTATGATTAACTATGATTATAGTGAGGGAGAACAGTGAGGTCGTTATAATTTACCCAGATTAGTGGCACTATTTCGTCGAATTTGGATCAGACACCGTCTTCGCTGCTGGTGCTCTTGCTTTCTGGCCTCAGCGTCTGGCGTCCACACTGTGCTGCAACAGATTCCGGCTTGCGCTGACTCGCAAGGCTAGATACATCAGGTTTCATAAGTGATCCCGTGAAATTGATGAGATAATGCAATAAACATCAATAAATCATACAATGTGGGGCCCCCCAGTTATAAGTTGGTTTATAAACCCCATTAACTATAGTTATAAGTGCTTGATCTGAAAAAAACTTGGTGTTCATAAGTAGTCCATGATATCACAGCTGTTGAATTCTGTTAACCCATCCCCACATCTGACCAGAACTCCGAGTTTGGCATCAGGTAAAACTCAGATGCATCGAGGAAATCTCCATCGGCTGCCTTTAGATGTCCAGATATCTAATTATTAATATACAGTAAATACATTTATAGAGGTATAATTATTTATTATAATCTGCGATATACAGTATTTAATCTGTTTGAGGTGCATTTGAGTAATTTTCTCTCTGTCACAATATGTTCATGTCACACCATCCGAATCCGACAAATTGCCCAGAAACCTGACTTCCAAACGACCAAAAGACACCAATTGAGCCATGAAAAATACTGCGATTCCATCTCATGAAATACCACTTGGTTTTTTAATCGGCTTTTCTAGAAAAAGGATTTTTGTTCACAACCATGAATTAGGACCTAATAGGATAAAAACATGGTCGGTTAGTTCATAATCCCAACAACCATCAACAAATATCAACAACCCAGGTAGTAGGTGCTATAATTCCCTATGTTATCACCAATCAACCCAGCTAATTTCTTGGTAAAAGAATCAGAAACAATCATCAACATCATCAACCCCCAATGACTCACCATAAATTTATAGGTATAAACTTACCATTCCCGGCGTTTTAAGTCAGTGATCCCAGTGATCCCTTAATCCCAGCGGCAAGGGAGGCTCCAAGGATTGGGGCGCGGCCATGCCAGGACCTCATCCCCCAAAAATGGAGAAGTAACATGTATGTATATATATATTATATTAAATTATATATAGCTTTGTTTGTTCTACATAATATAGTGTCCCTATATATATAATAACTACATATATATATAATATGAATTATTAGCCCGTTTCGAATCCTTTCGAAACATCTGTTCAATCAAAACTACAGGAAATTGAAGGTATCTGATTACCTGCTGCGTGGCGGGAAGAGCATGGATATTTTGTTCGGGAAAGGTTTGAAGGTCAGACGTATGGGGCTGTGAAATAGATTCCCAACCGGATGTTTGGCCATGAAACGGTGCTCCCAATCTTAAGTCTTAAGCACTATTCATCGGGCTTGGTCGAGCATACGGTCGCTGGAAATGATCAGATATTGAGACAGGCTCTCTTACGTAGCTATGTAATGCTATGTATACGTAGCTCAACAAATGCCTGCTGGTTAGCCCCATTCATTGGATTAGAGCGACTGGTCTGGGATTACCACCATTGTAAAATGCCCCGGGTCAACAGCAATTGCTCATGGGTTATCCACCCATTTCTGTTGACATCCCCATCAAGCACCTAAAAGTCCGGTTTAGACAAGCAAACCAGATGTCTTTCCCTTTCATTATGCTTCGTTTTCACCAGTGCATCAAGCTCCCTTTCTGTCCAGCAACTCATGAAAAGCAGCTCCACCAGTTCTTGACTTTTTTCCTGGTGCCAGTCGCATAAGGAGACAACGGCCGAAGATGACACAGGAATAGAACAAGCGACGAAGCAGAAAAATGTGTTGCCCCCGTAGGACCGATAAAACGGTCATTTTTTGCTGGGAATTTTTGTTTCTTTTTGAGGCAATACTAAACTCAATTCGGCGGTTTTGAACCACACCACACCAATGATGAAACGACCCCCCGATTAGTAAAGCCACTCTTGGACCCCCAGATTTTTTGTTTCACAAATTTAATCCTCCATGGATGCTAATTCCAAGCTGACATGAAGCTCATTTCATCAAAACAATTTCCTCTTGGATGCTACTATGCAGCATTATGCAGCTATATAATTCCGAGAGAATTGACACTGAATGCCGATTTGCACCCAATTCCAGCAACATTTATTATATGTATTCCTCATCTATGGTCGGAGGTTGATCCGGGGTAGCCATTAGCCCTAACCATTGGTCAAAAAAAAAAAACACTCACTTGGATGATTTTGGGGTCCATGGATGTCCATGGTAGGAAACCATCAACCAACGAGAATGGGATTTGTAGGGCACGGGAAAACGATCAGCAAATGTGGATTCTCTAAACTGCCAAGCACAAGACATCTCCTGATCTGTTCCAGGAGGGTAAACAAAGTCCCACAAGGGAAATCTATGGAAATCTATCCTCCCGCTATGCATGGAATAAAGCATGGTTGGTATATTATCCCATATGCTCCATGTATAGTATATTTACCTACATTTGGGCCATTTATGGGGTAAATGTTGGTAAATATTCCATACATGGAGCATATGGGTATAAGGCACACGGGCAGAAAAAACAACACCCGCTGTGTGTTTTGGTATCCCCCACCATCAACGACAACGACCACCGTGCCCCTCGCCGAGGTGCGTCTGCAGTGCCGTTCCCCTTGGACATTTGCTCGCAGAAATCCACCAAACCATCCAGCAATGCTTGCCTACGGGTGTCGAAAAATCCCCGATTCGTCGGGATTTAGATAACTTAGATATAGATAACTTAGATAAACTATAGGATATTAGATAACTAGGATTTAAATTTTGAGTTTCTATTCATTTTAAGTGTTTCTGTTGTTTTTCAGATGTTTCCAACATGGATCCAGTCATGCTGAGCATCCAGTCAGGGTTTGTTTGATACGTTTCAAACCTCTGGGCCAAGGGATCCGCCAAGAAAAAACGGGGAGTACTCATCGAAGTGATGTTTTCTATTACATAGTGGGAAACCACCATCCTGATAATGCACATTAAAAAAAATAAACATGTGAATAGCCTTCATGTTTCCTTTTTTTCCCACTAGTTCATGAATATTCTCCAAGACATTCCTTAGAAAGGTTTCATTTCAGGGGTGCTTGTGGGATGATTCCCCCCGCGCAAAGGGGAGGTCGTCATCCAGATTTCTGATGTTCCTTGGTGCTTTGTCCATAGTCCATAGTTAATCTTAGATACCAAAAAATCGATTTTAGACATAGATATAGACACATATATATATATATAGATATAGGTATAGATATCTTCCTACAGCTGGTATATTCTTATATAGCGAAAAATGTTTTTGAAGTCAGCAATCTACTGAACCAAGGTTTACCCAGCCGATGAAATCCGGACAGAGTCAACCCAGAATGCCCCTCTGACTGTACTGGTGAATCATCAACGGTTGACGAATTTTGCCAATAAACCTTGCCAGAAACGGGATGCACATGCCATCGGTCATTCATTGGTTTAGGAAACTCCGGAAGCCCCTTACACACATATATATAGTGCATAATATATATATATATATAATTATATATATATATATTTATATCCCATCATTACTAAGGTCCTCTGGCCCTCAAATTCCATTTTCAGACACGCCCAAATCCATTGGTCATGAAATCCCATCATTATATAATAACTATAGCCCTTACATGAAAGTACTAATCCTATGATTCTATATGTATATATATAAATATATATATGCATATTATATATATATATGTATATATGTATATATATATATATATTTATATATATGTATATATATAGATATATTACATACCTGACACCCAAATAACCCTTGTTTTTGAGATTTTGACCCGTAAAATGAGAGATTAATCATCCAAAATACAAGTCACTCGGATTCCAGCTGTAGAGATATATTCAACAAATCCAGTTTGTTTGTTTTTCCGGGAAGATACTTAATGATTTCCTGCTTACTTGAGTCATCCCCTCTCAAGTGGAGTAGGTGAATATCACATATCTGGCTGATGGAATTATAACAATTCACTAAGCTGAAAATAGCTGAAACTTGCGGCCATTTGGGGATGATTCTCCTCATTCCCATCATCATTCCAGTGATGATCAGTGATGTCACGTAGAGTGAGGTCGTTATATTTATAGAATCCAAACAAATAGAGGTTGGTGTTTACCAACAAAAATCCCAAGTTTTTCAGACCAGATTGATGACCCTTTTTTTATTGGTGACTGCCATTTATGCATACATATACATATACCTTGGTACCTAAATAAACCTTGTTTTGGTCACTTGGGTTCCAGGTAAATATATGTATACATATATATATACATACACATATTGTATATATATACATACACGGAGGACATGAAAATACTGAAATACTTGAGGAAATCATGGGCTTCAATACTAAAATAGCCTAATGACTTGAATGATTTGGGGTCTATCCCCATGAGTTAGGAAAAATCCATATACGTATATATATAGTACATACATATGACACTAAGTTTAGTTTCATAAAGGTCAATATCCGATAGATACAATAGTATATAGATATAATAGTATATAGATACAATAGTATTTTTCGATACAATGTTAATATACTATGTACTAATATACTTGCCATTCCATATTATATATATATGAGATTTTCCCTGAATCCTAACCATCATCTATGTTGAAGTCGCAGTGAGGTCACTATAATTTACCCAGAGATATTATATATATATACATATAGATATAGACCTTGGTACCAAATACATGTTGGGGGCATACATTTTTTGACATCGCATGATATGTATATATATATATAGAGTTTTATATATCTATATAGTTATGTATATATATAGTTATATATATATATACAATTATAAATATATATATATAATTATATATATGGGGGTTCCTAAAATGGGTGTACCCCCACTGATCATCCATATAAATATAGGATTTTCATGGATTTTCCATGGAAACCCTCCATTTTTGGTACCTCCTCTGATCCGCTTGATGGGTGATGGCATCATGTCGTAGCGAGGACCGCTCCGGCCGCACCGCCTGCCATGGAAAACCGGGAGGATTTGACCATCAAAAACCAGGGATTTGACCATCACCAGTAGATTAACAGTTGGACCCTGGTAGTTGTTGGGGTTGGAAGATGAGTGAAACCTCTAAAAACGGGTGATTTTCAGGGTCAACAAGTTAATTTACCAAGGATTTAACATGATTTCATCCAAAAAATAGGGTTTTTATGGGATTTTGAGCATCAAAAAAAGTGGAAACCAATGATTCTAATTGAGATTTAAGCAGCCGAAAATGGCGATCTTTCACTTGACCAATAAATAATGGATATGGGGTGTATCATGGTGCAGCCAGAAATGGTGGAATGTGATGATAGACCATCAGATTCTGAAGTATCCCGAATTGTGTTGATATACTGTATACAGATATCACAGAAACTTTGGCCCTCCATACCATCAGGAATCAGGATACCAAGATATGTTCGATCTATGTTCGAACAACAACCATGTGGAAAAATTACCATCTGGTAATCAAACGTGGCAAATAATTGGAAATCTCCCATTTACAGATGATTTTCCCCATTTTTCACTGACGGACTGAAACTCGGAATGCCGACCAGTTTTTTTGAATCGGAATTAAGAATGCCTAGGTTGCTACCTTGGAATACATCCCAGATTTCAGTGTTTGAGGCCTGGAGCGACAATTGCAATTTGCATCAAGATGCACGATGTCTTATGAACATCCAGTCTCCAAAACATAAACTGACAGTAGGACACCTCCCTGATCTTAGTTGGCTGTCGGGATCACTATTCCAGGCTATTTGTTTGCTGATCCACATCATTATCCAATATTATCCATACGTATCATCATGGGTATATCTTCTAACATTGGTATTACATATTCTTATATCCTCATTATCGAATATTATCCAATAGTATCCAATATTATCCAATATTATCCATATCAAACCAATATTACCATCTAGTTACTGCACTTAACATAGCTATGGACAATCCCCATGTTTGATAGGCAAATCATCATAAATCATCTATAAATGGCCCCAGGTTCCATTTTTTATCATAGCTATGTGAAATAACAAGAGGGTAAAGAATATAATGTATTTTTATATATATTATATTCTATATGTATTGTTCTATAGAACAAAAAAACATGTCATTCTTGAGGGAGACACCAACAAATCGACTCCCATCGACTCCGCCTCAGTGAGCAAACGCTCTTGTTGTGCCTGGTGAACAGTGGAACTGGAACCATCGGGATTTATGATGATTTATCCAATGACTAGTGGATATTCAGAAAGATATTCGCAAATATATAATTATACATATATATAATATATCTCTATATATATATGGGTAAATTATAAAAGTTAACTAACCTGAATGGTTCGGCCATTTGGGGATGATTTCCCTAACATAAACCATGATTCCAGGGTTCGGTCGCAGTGAGGTCGTTATAATTTACCCAGCTAGATGGATACTCAGATGGATAATCCATCTGAACATGAGCGGACATAAAGATTAGTACGACATCACTGATGAATAGTTGCATCCAAAGGGACTGAATCTTTCAGAACGTTTCAAGTTTCCCAAGTCATGTCGTTCAATATTTCCGGAAAACATCATTTAAAAATAATGGTTCAAATATGTTTAAATCAAGATTTTTGCTATAGTTGTCCATGATTCCATAACTAAAAAAACTCACTATACCACCATTTTCCATGGGAAAACTCTGCCTGCCGTTGGTGCGGCCTGCGAGATCAGTTCCCCCATCTGTTTGGCCAACTCATCGCAGAGTCGCCGCGTGGTGTCGCCATCCGCGGTCATTTCTTGGATCCAACCTGCAGAGCTTCTCAGGTTGACGTTTGACGAGTGGCCCTTATGTGCTGGGTGAGAAAACACCATGAAAACCATGGGAAAACCATGGGAAAAACATGGTAAACCATGGTAAAACCATGGTAAAACCATGGTAAAACCATGGTAAAACCATGGTAAAACCATGGTAAAACACCATGATATCATGGAGATGTGGGAACGCTTTGACACTTTTGGCCACCAAAATATCTGCTTTACCATGGAGAATGAAGGATTTCACCCTAAAAGAGAGCCCACCAGCCATGTTCAAAATGCTGGATGTGACAGGACCAGGGGTTGGGAGGACTTGGAATATCTTTCCCTTCACGGATGGGGGATCACCTTTGTCTCAACCGGTTTTGCTGCGAAAGTCGAAACAGGAAACCATGGTTTTCACCATCAAATTGGTTGGTGAAAAAACCTGAGGCGAAACCCGGTTGGATGATTTTTCCCTTCATCCACTTCGATTTTTCATGTGGTTGGATGAACCAACCATGGAACTGTTTACCTACCGAAATCATGCAGCTATGAGTCAAATTGTTCGAACCCCCCATTTTGCCATTCCCATTTTGGGATGATATTCAGTTTTAATATGTTTTAATAACCAACATATACCAAAGAAAACATGTTGCCTTTGAACTGTGTGGGTGTATGCAGGTGTATGGGGAAACTTGAATGGTTTTGACCCAGGCGATATCACCAGCGGCAGGCTGGCAGGGTCGCCTTCCACCATTCCCAGCAGATCCACACCCAAGTCTGGTTGAGCTTCCTGGCGTGAATTTTAGCACATTTTGAAGGCTGAATGACGCTGTTCTGAGGTCGTTAGAATTCAGGCAGGTGAAGCAAAAATGTCGAACTGTTGTGCCTTTAATTGCCTAGGTTTACCCAGATGATTTTATAGTTCTAACAATTCACATGCATTGCATGGATGTTACTAGTGGGAAATCGCAAAATTGATGTCAACCCCGCATGAATGTCAAGCCTGGTTGATTAATCGAGGGGGGTCCCTCCACATAGTGATGATTGCTACCAAAATGGTACCCTCCCAGTCAAACAGCCCAGGTAGATAGCAAAACCCTGGGTTTACATTAGTAACTTTGAGGGGGCATCAAAATCAGGTGATAAAAATAATACCAACCATTTATAGATTCCCATAAATGTGAAGGGTTTCCATTTGGGGGGGACAATCCCACCTGGGTACTACACATGTTTCATAAGTTTTATTAATTATTTCATGATTATGTACATATGTGACATATCACATGTGTGTATTCCCAGTTTTGTTGTATATACATATCCATAGGGGTTGCCCTAAAAAGATGTCGAACTGTTTTTCCAGGAGGTTGGTCGACAATAAGTCACCCTAATTTCCAGGTTTCCAACTGTTCTATCTATTTGAGAGGTGTCAAAAATTGTCCAGACGGTATAAGACCACTCTGGATAAATTATAGATAATTCACTAACCTGAAATCAGAACTTTTTGGGATAGCTACCCCTACCAACCATCATGTACAATGACATTGCGATGTTAGGTCGCTATACTTTACCCAAACCAATAATAACCAATACATACCAATACAATATCACGTTCATGTTCAAAATGCTTACATTATTCCACGAGTATGTTTGTATCTCCAGTATTTTTTGTATCTATCTTTACATCAAATTATATGGTGGTTTCCAAGAATGGAGGATCCGTAGAAAAAAAACACAAAAAACGTGGGTTGCAATACTAAGTCATAATCTAAAATTCAATGGATTGGTTTAAGGGAAAATTTACAGGAAAGCCCCATATTTAATGGGAAAATCTATGGTTTCCTGTAAATTTTCCCTTAAACCAATCCAATCTAAAATAGTCTAATGACTTGGATGATTTGGGGTACCCCCATTCTAGACTTGGATACTCATCCCATCTCATATCTTCGATCATGACTTATGGGATTCATAGAAGCCCACATATTAGAGGTTTCCAAGCAACTAATGGGAAACCTCCATATAATACGTATATATATATATATGACAATAGATCATCCACATTGTATATATATATATTATATACATATTATATGTATAATATGACAATAGATCATCCAATAAATGGATATATTCATATTTGTTAATATTTATTTATACCATATATATATACCATATTATTTTAGATCATCCTATATATATAACATAATGTGACAATATATGGAGTATTGTATTATAATACAATATTGATTATTTACTATTAAAAAAAAACTATAAGTATTCTTATTATATATATAATAAAACACTATTAAATACACTATATCATTTTAGAAAACCTCCACTTTAGATCATCCCCATCCTATTATTTTCGATCTTTGGTCTTGAACAAAAAGCAGCTGAGTTACGGTCTCCCGGCCTGCACTTTCGTTCTTGATTTGTTGGGAAAATTCACTGGTTTACCCTCTGGTAAACTAACATAGCTATTGAAAATCACCATTTTCAATGGGAAAACTCACTATAAATGGCCATTTTCAATAGCTATGTTAAATTACCAGAGGGTAAGCCCCATGATCTTAATGGGAAACTCTATGGTTTCCGGTTAAAAAAAATATTGATTTTCCCTTAAACCAATCCATTGAAGATCATTGAATGGTGGATCATGATGCTGCCTTTCTGACAGTCGCAATTTACCCTTGGTACGATGGTACCATGGCGTGAATCCCGAATCGAGCCCTGGTGATGTCAAATCTGCATCTAAAAATTCTGGTAGTATCAGATTATTTGGATGTCAAATTAGAGTATTAATATGTATTAATTGTAGTGATTAGTATGCATCTAATAGTTATTGGATGAGTCAAATTATCATCTAAACTAGTCGTAGTATCTGTCCAATTGACTCATCCCCAACTGATAAAGTGACAACTTTTGGAGAAGTAAAAACAGTTTGATCAATGGAAAATCCACCATTTGCGGATCGTTTCCAAACGAGAAAAACCCGTGGTATTTCCATATGTGTATAATTATATATATATCATATATATATATGTCATGTCCATAGCTTTTGGTATGTGGCTCCACGCTAGTCCCATCGCTCAAAAAGCTCAACGCGCCTGACCATATTGTGAGACCACCTTCAAGGCGTGCTGCCAAAGCATGTATGCCTCGAGGGATGGGCCGTCCTTTGGATGTTGAATATAGGGGGGATGGGATTTCCATGGATTACCCGGCCTGGTCAACGTTGAAAAAGTTTGCGAACTGGAAAAGGGCCCATAGAAATAGATCATTGACCTATTAAAAATGCTGATTTTCCATAGTTTTTGTATGTTTACCAGGCCGGGTATGCATCAATATGCACTGCAACACAGATTTGGTCCTTGGTTATAGCAAAAAAACATAAAAAAACAAACACTGACGCCGCCTGTAACGGCCCTGCTGTTTTTTCACCTCTTCATTCGCTGCTTTTTTGTGTGTCGCATGACCCTCACAGCGTTTTCTTGTTCTGCCCATTTGTTGAGTAGCTCATTTTCTCCTAAGTCTTTGAGCTGGTGCTTTCCAAGCGTATTGGATCGCCAGACAAAACTGTACACATACTCGGCAATTTTTTTCATTCAGCAGTCCATTGGGCGTCTTAGAACACAGTTCCTTTGGGATATACCGTTTCAAGGCTGACCATTTCTTGTCAATGCACTGCGTGCCATGCGTCTTGTGTCCGCGTTTACGCGTTTTACGCGTAAATTCTATTTGACATGACTGACCTGAAAACATTTTCGGCCCAAGGACTTACTGTGACTGGCCCATGATCTGTTTCCATCTGCAAAAATATGAGACTTTGGCAACGTACGTTCTAACAACTGACCTCACAGGCTTTACTTTACTTACTTGAACGTAGATTTTAAAAAAAAAAAACATGTGACAACGTAGAATCCACAGCGTGTAAGGTGACAGAAGACGTCCCAAAAAGTACGTAACACACCCCCTCCACATGTTACACCGTAGCATCAAGAGCGTCTGGCAAGTGAAGAGGGGCATGTTGCAGCGTAGCATCAAGAGCGTCTGGCAAGTGACAAGAGACATGTTGCAGCGTAGCACCAAGAGCGTCTGGCAAGTGACAAGAGACATGTTGCAGCGTAGCACCAAGAGCGTCTAGCATATTACAGCGTACCCCTTGCCCACCCCCCCCCACCCCTCCACCCCACCCGGTTCCCCAAGAAAATCACACTATCCTTCGCGCACAAGTTCTAACTGACGTGCAATACTTCTAACTGACGGGCAAAGCGACATGAGCGTAGCATCAAGTGCGGGTACAACTTCAATTGACGTGAACGGCACAGCAAAAAGTGTCACATTCCCCAGGGCCGGTAGGGGCGTCGTGAGCAACAAACAAACACTTACATTTTGGGGTATCTGATAATTTACACTCATACCAATTTGGATGGACATCACAAACATCTCACACATCCCAGACATCTCACTTGGTGGATTGACACTATGTAACCCATATGTACTAATGGCTATATGTATGTATATATTGATATATATATATATATGTATATGTGTGTATATGTATATATATGTATATGTATATATATATATGTATATATGTATATATGTATATGTATATGTGTGTATATGTATATATATGTATACATATATATGTAGCTCACTGTATATACATGCATATATAATTGTATATGTATATATGTATGTATATATATATATATACATACACACTATATTTATTCACTAACCTGAAATGTTCGATCACACTTGGGATAGGAAAAACCCCAATCCTAACCACTGTTCCATAAATGTGTCGTGAAGTCCTTGTAATTAATTGAGATTTTCCCGTTATCTATCTATATATATATTAATATATATATATATTATTATTATTATAGTATACAGTGTATAAATATATATTTATTATACATACTATACACCGTGAAATCCCATCAGACTCCCCATATGAGCAAACGGACATTTGGGAAATAGTTTGGTAGCTACAATACCGCACTCTTTGCTGGGTCGCCATAGCCTACTCGCCCTTGCCATGCTGGATTACCCGTGTTAGATGATCTACTACAGGACAGAACATATCATATCCATTTGTACTGTACATTCATCCATCAAATCGGCTTGACTTTTCCATTGCCAGTTTTGAATTCCAAAGGGTAGCTCATTGGTTGAAAATCCCAACATATAATATATTATTCCTATACGTCTTATGTCTAGTCTGATAGAACTATAAAATTTCAGGGCATTGCCACCAGTTGTAGTTTCTGGATTCCCAAACATAACTTATAATATGTCAATCGACGAACAAATGATCAAACATTGACCATCTACCACTAAACCTGATTCGATTCCCTGGTTGATCAACATGTTCCCCCATCAAAACGGCGACAGGTTCGATATAAATTGACCCATTTTCGTTCAACCAAATCCATGATTCGTGAAACCATTAAAATCCATGGTGACATCCCAATGTTCATGGTAAAAATTGGTAAAACATCATGGTAAACTAACATAGCTATTGAAAATGGCCATTTATAGTGGATTTACCCATCAAAAATGGTGATTTTCCATAGTTACGTTAGTTTACCAGAGGGTAAAACATCATGGTAAAATATCTAGAAACATCTCACTCAACATCTGCCCAATGTTCATAGAAAATACCGCGGTGCGGTCGCCGCTCCGCCTGCGTGATGGTTTGCCGAATCATGGCAGACAGCCGGGGGTGGCTCTGACGACACGCTAAACAGGCCAGCTGCAGAGAGCGACCCAGGGACATCCTCGGCGAATGTCGCTATGGCCTGGATGAATAAAGCCCGTTTACGGTTGTTGAATTGGGAAAATACCATTAAAAAAAGGATCAGATAATGACTAATAATAAGGGAATACCCCCCTAATTTAATTAATTTTCATAAACCATGGTTTAGTCTCATCCGGGGTTGACATTACGGTATCTCTATCATTCTCTACCTATCCTATCCTAACTATCGATCATATCATCACCCCAGAGCCAAATTGATCATACTGTGTTGCCAAACAATCCCCAGTGTTATAAATAGCTATATATAACCCATATAGTTATTTGGGATTTATATAACTATATCTGTGTCTGAATCTCCGTTGTTTGTTGCCAAACAATCCCTAGAAATCGCTCCATTTTTTCGATGTCTGTGGGAGATGGATCCCCCGAAAACCTCGATAGATGATTCATCAATGGTATAGTGGGAGAATAATGGGAGAATAGTGGTACCCATAGGATCCATGGTGCTGGTATATATTCTAACATTGGGGGTATATTGATGGGATCCATGTTACTAGTACCATATATAGCATACATGGATCCTATGGGTAAGAACTTTCTCATGATAACGGTATAATATGTATAATGTAGGTAAAACAATGTCATTTTTACCACCCGTGACTGGGAATGGTAAGTTTATGCCACCTATAAAAATGGTGATTTTCCTGGGGGATGGTAAACATGACATGATATCCCACAATGGCCATACAATCTGGGTAAATTATAATATTTCACTACCCTGAATTAAGGCCATTTTGGGATGATTCCCCTTACTAACTATAATTTACCCAGATACAATGGCAAGGTCCAAGGCGCTGTAACTTTAAGAGCTGCTTCAGGTCCAACGGCAGCTGCCGCCGCCCCTCTGCCACTACCAGCGCCTGCGTCGCCGCCGCGGCCGCGTCGCTGCTGCCGGACCCGCTGACGGTGACCGTGGACCCGCTGACGGTGGCGGGGGGGGCCGCCACACGGGCGGCGGACAACCCGGCCTGGGGGAAAAGGTCTCCAAAGGTGTAGAGTTTCAAGGGATGTGAGAGACACGGTTTCTTTTGAATGACCCATCTATATATGTATGATATGTATATATATGTATATATTATGTAAATGTACATTATATCTACATATGGCTTTTGACCCCGAAAAGGTATATTTGGTAACCGCACATGGTGCATTGAGTATCATGATATAAATCATTGTGGTTTGGTACTGAACGGATAGATTGATGATGACGAATGTGTATACGTGGCAGGGGGCACCTTGCAAAGAGATGGCCTTCCATGAAATCTTGGACAATTTAATGACAACATTTTCACCATTGACCCAAGCTCTTACACGCATGATGATTCTGTGTAGCATGATCATAGTTTTAACATAAAGACTTAATCGTTTTATTTTTAATGTACTAAATCTGTTGTCTTAAGAATGCTAGTGCCTAGCAACCCTATCACTCACAAGTGCTGAACATTTTATATGAACAAAAAGGTTCATATTGGCACATATTGGCACATATTGGCACATATTGGCACAAACTTCTACCTAGCATACCAACACTCTAGCCGGCTCGACTCAGACACTGCTCCACATAGTGGAGATGCCATGACTCGGTTTGTTGACTCCTTAAAGTTCAATTGCTGTGGGATATGGTATAGTATAAGTATTAAAATATTTATAATGCATATAACCTTACCCATCTGAGCCAGGAAAAGCTTTTGCAACATCTAGGTGTGGCTGCAATCCGTTTTGCATGTCTCAAGTTTCAACACTTGAATTTCCAGATGAGCGAAAACCTCAACCAACAAAAAACTCGAAGCGCGGTCGCCTCTGACAGCCAGAGATGCTCCAAACACTCTTTCAGCGAGAGCCTTTCGTTGGCGTTCACTTTCAGCAACTTCCTGGAGCTGAGCGGCGCTGATGGTTGAAACATGTTTAAAAAAAACAAGATGTGCTTAGAGAAAAATTGGGAATATGTATGGAATATGATAAATATGTATGAAATCATTAAATGATGAGTTGAATTTAGGAATATGTCATCAAATTTTGAAGGCATGGAAAATGATCTGTAAACCTATTGAAACCAGCGACCCTTTCGACATGTCGAAACAAATCCCAGAAAAGGGGGCAATCAATCCTCTTTTTAAGGAGGTCTATTATTTTCATTTCAGGTGCCCGGCTTGAATATGTTGCTTGGTACACGACTCTTGGGACGACCACCTATTTCAGATAGAAATGGGACGATTCTTTGGGAATCAAACATGGACATTTTTGACGTCACCTGTAAATGCATCAAATTTGAAACAACTCTTTTCTATGGCAAGGTTAGATTGCCAGAGGGTATCCACATACAAAAATACACACTATACTATACACGTATGCACACTGTATGTATAATATATACATATATATATACTAATATACCATCATGTACATATATGAATGCTGGGGACAAACATAGACATGGAAAAAAACCTCTGGTGTCAGAAAATGATGTCCTGGTATATGTGGTATGATGGTATATGAGTATATATTAACCATATATTAACCACATATTAACCATATATTAACCATATATTAACCATATATTAACCATATATTAACCATACATTAACCATATATTAACCATATATTAACCATATATTAATAGTATATTCCCAACCAATGGTAGGTTGATGTTTCATGCTAGATTTTTGAACCACAGATTTTCTACGGCCCAGTGCCTGATGAGATCCTTGGCTTCGTCCGAAGGTTCATTCTTCGGGTGGCTGAGATCAAAGACGCCCGCCTTGATCCTCGGCGGGAAAAACATTGTTGAGCCACGTAGGAAGTTCAACAACGGATTGTTTGGCAAATCGCAAAAAAACACCAGGCTGCACTGACTGTCACTTATCTGGGCAAATTGTAATAATTCACTAACCTGAATAGTTCGGCCATAAAAGGGGATGATTTCCCTAACACAAACCATGATTCCCAGTGAGGGAGAACAGTGAGGTCGTGATGAAATTTACCCAGATTTATTTGACATCTTTTAATATGGGTATGGATCAATACCTATTATATAATACCATTTTTAGGGGGTTATTCACATCCATAAATCCCAGCCATTTTGATGTGAACAAAAAAGGGGTACTATTGGTTTTGACACACTGCCATATATGGTCATAGTGTTTGATAATGGTTAATTATGAGTTAAGAATGCTTAATGATGGCTTAATAATGGTTAATGATGGCTTAATAATGGCTGTCACTTATTTGAGATCTTTTAATACCCAGATAACTTCTAAAGTTTCAAACTGAAACTTATATATACATATATATATATACACTGCTGGTTGTAAATCCCAATGGTATCCAATGAATTCCCATTGTATCCTATGAAACCTGTATTAAAACATATTAAAACCCAATTAAATTAATATGTTCCCTCAGGTCAGGTCAGGTGCAACTCTGATCATTTCCACCGAAGCCAAGTCGCTGCTCATTGGCACGCTCCCCTGGCGCGACTGCCCCGCGATGTCCCATATGGAGGTTTCCTAAGTTTCCTAAGTCATGGGCTATCCCAAGCCCCAAGTTATCATCCATTTTTTTTTATAGAGAAGTCATACCCTCTGGTAATTTAACATAGAGAACTGGAAAATCACCATATTTCATGGGAAAAACCACTATAAATCACCATTTTCAATAGCTATTTTGACATAACCAGAGGGTATATGTTCCATAAAAAAAGTCATAAAATGGGTATGGATCAATACCTATGAAAATACCATTTTTAGTGGGATGAACATCCATAAATCCCAGCTATTTTGGGTTTCACTAGGTACCAGGGTTTTGACCCATCCCCATATGTTCCATAAAAAAAATCATAAAATAAACCATCCAACTATTGGGGATCCCCCAGCTATAGAAACTTATGAGTGCAGCATCGCATCTCCGGCACCAGCGAAACATCTGAGCTGCGAAAAAACCAGCAACAAATCCTGGTTGGTTAGGGACAAAATTCCTAGTTCATGAAGAAAATCCCAGAATTCATATATATATATATATATATATTCATATCCAGGGTAGATTGGGTAGATTGGTTGTCCCAATTCAGAAAAAATCTTAATATCCAAAGGTAATATCCAATTATTCATACCAATTCCTAGTTCTATGGGTAGGTTAATAATTCTGGTTGGTGGTTTGCACCCCTCTGAAAAATGATGGACAACTCGTCAGTTGGGATGATTTTCCATTCCCAACTGAATGGAACATCATAAAAATCCATGGTTCCAGTCACCACCAACCAGTGATTATAAGCCATTTATATGTGGGGATAATAATAAATAACCCATATTAACCCATTCATATAGGGCATTTATTGATAAAGGTTCCAGTCACCACCAACCAGTACTTCTATGGGTAGATCGCAGCCACCTTTCCTCCATTGACCTCCAACCCGGCCTTTAAAGGGATATCGACCATACAGCATGACATAGAGCCTTTGGCGTCGGTGAACCGGCGCAAGCAATGTCTATGGTGAGGCAAAATGATAGCCTTTGTTGCTTGAAATAGGTTGAAATAGCTCCAATAACTACAGTAGGGTTTATGATATCATATATCATATATCTATAGTATTCATTAGTATTCTATATTTAATGGGGGGTTATAAAACAGGAAACATAACTGGGGGGCACCAGCTATGTCAACCCTTCCAGGCTCTCTGACACCAAACCCATACTCAATTGGGGCGAAAAATCATAACTGGGACGATGTACATTGAAAGCAATATATGATTCCCAATTACTGTGATGGTTAATGGCATCGATCGACCTTGCCAGCAACTCAAACAGGAAAACCATACACAAGCACCTATAAAACCATTATATAAATAACATTGAAAAATGATCTAGAATGGTTTTGCAGTGGATACATGTGGTTACTAGTATCAATTGCAACAAGTATACCAATTTGAGTGCAAACCCATGTATAAAGAAAATTGCGAACTCATTGGTTTTCTTGTGCTTGTTTTGTGGTGGATCCAACCCCCTTGTTGCGCCCTTTGCAGCTAGCGACAGCACGCCCAGACTCCATAGGTCTACGCGCTCATCGTACGCGTCCCTGAGAAAATTCGCGGGATTTCACCATGAATTCCTTGAGATTAGTGATTTGTTGGGGATGGGTACAATAGGAATCTACCATCCCACATATATATATATATATAATTATATGCGTGTATATACATATATATATATATGATTGCAAAGTTGATTTTACTACCAAACATAGGAGTTTTGATCACCGAAGAATGGATTTAGGTCTGTCCCAAAATGGAGTATACCTCAAACTGGCATCTTTGGACAACGAAAATGGGCTCCAATCGACACACCAAATTTGTTTGTTTTCCTTCGCCAAATCCTTCTGGTATGTTTCTGCTTGTGCATGTATATATATATATAATTATATATATATATACATGTAATCATATCAATTAAAAATGAACAAGAAAATCATCAGGTTTCACCATCATTTGCAATCTGATCTGGAAGTGTCCAAAAATGACACCCCAAGTATTAATTCAATGTCAGGATACCGTAATGACTCTTGAAACCATCAAAACTGGTTATCATGTTTTTCTAAAACTCATAGAGTATTGCATCTGGTGATGTTGGGGTTCAACTTTTGGTTTCAACCCCAACTGTTTCCCAACTGTTTGATACATTTGGGTATGTCTGAAAATGGGAGATGGGCCCCCAAATAGTCATCAAGATCATCAAGTACTCGGGACAAAGCATGATAAACATAGATAGACCATCAATGTCTGTTGTTGTTCCCCCAAATGTTCAAACAACCCATTGAAGTATCCCGTTTTCAGAAAAGTTTAAACCGTCATTTACCTCAGTAAAGTGCCATGTGACCATCATTTGTATGGGCTTCATCTCCATTTCCACTGCAAGCTGCCGCTTTCCTAAAATAGGGGGGATATCCCTATATGTCAAGAAATTTGAATGGGATTCTCCATTGTAAACCATCCAGCTATATCCATTTGGTACCCCCATGACTATGAAAATCCACTGTCAGCAATGCATCTGAGTGGCTTGCCACGGCCCATGAGCATCTCGGGCGCCCAATATTGCGGAGTTCCCACTAAACTCTTCAACTCCTAAGTCTTGAGGAAATGCAGGTTTTTTTTGAAGATCGAGAGATGGAGCTATTGATAGCTATCGTGTTTTTGTTGGATTGTAGGATAGTTTTGAACATATGTAAAATAATAGGAATATAATAAACACAATACATCTGGATCTAGATCTATAGCTCAATCTAAATATTATATATATATATATATATGTATGTGTATATATATATATTATAACCAATCTTATCCAACCTTATCTTGTCTTATCTATCTATATATAGCCTATCTAACCTTATCTTATCTGGTCTGCAGATGTATACACTTAATCACCTAAAGCAATCAATCCATCCACCCACCCATCCATCCACCCAGCGTCCCTTGGTTGGTTGCCATGAAACCAGGATGCTAGTTCCATGAGATGTTCCCCATATGTTTCCGTCCAACTTTTTGGCACCGTTTTGGGGGGTTACCCTCTGGTTATGTCAACAGTTTGCGAACTGGAAAATGGCCCAGTCGAAATAGTTGATTTGCCCATTGAAAATGGTGATTTATAGTGGATTTACCCATTGAAAATCGTGATTTATAGTTGATTTACCCATTGAAAATTGTGATGTTTGATAGTTATGTAAATGTTTACCAGAGGGTAATATATCATAATATATCCCATATTCCTGGACCCATCGCTCCTCCTCTCGGTATTTGGACAGACCATAGTCCGCAATTTTGATGTCGAGCAAAACGCAGTCCTGGACCGGCGACCAGGCTCCAACCACCGAAAGAAATGGGGGATGAACCCCAGAAATTTGCAATGTGAATGGGGAAAACAATGACAAAACCATATGAAACCCATCGAATTTGGGAGTACCGAACTGTCAAACCATGTCAAACCCAAGTCATGGATTCCAGGGCTGAAATGGATTGGTCGAAGGATCTTTCTAGTAAAAGCCTGGAATCATGGGATGTTGGGTCTGAAAAAATGAAAAACACTTGCGTCTGAAAATGGAGTATACCATGGTATACCCATGGTATACCCCCAGAATGTTTATGGGAGAGAATGATGATTAACCCAGTCGACAACAAGTGGGGTATGTACCCCCAGTTGTGGCCATTGAGCCATTGAATCATGGGGGAAATGAATGAACATGAGATATTTTAAGCATTTTTAAGCCCATCAAATTGATGTTTGATTACTGGAGGGTATATACTCCCATCCCCCTAGTTATGGACCAACACAAAAAATCAGATCTTGGGCACCTAGGCTCTGCGCTGAGACGATTTCTTACAGTCACTGAATGCCACAGCCTCTTTCCAGGCCCCCAAATCCACATGAGGAATCCTCATGTGTCATTGAAACATATTGAAACATTGCCAGAAGAGTGGGGGTATACCCCAGTTTCAGGTATCAATCCCAAATTTGCATGATTCATTTGGTGAAATCCACCGTGTTTGATGCTTAAAAAACGTTTGATGATTAAATTAATGGTGAAATCCCTATTGTTCACAGTCAAATCCCCGTCTGATGATTAAATCATGTTATATAGTTACCCCCTGGTAAATTAATATAGACCCTGAAAATGACCAATTTATAGTGGTTTCACTAGTCTTCCAACCCCAACAACTACCAGGGTCTATGTTAATTTACTGGAGGGTAAATCCTCATTTTCTGAATATGGGTATGGGTCAATACCTATAGATACATTTTTAGGGGGATGAACATCCATTTACCAGCTATTTTGATGTTCACCAGGGGTACAAGGTTTTGACACACTGCCATATGTCATCATTGAAATCCCCATTTTGGATGCGTCCCCCCATCTCCTGGTTGGGAGGCTCAGCTGGTCTACTGGTGGAGATCAAGATGTTCTCCTGAAGGAAATCCCAAGGTTTTCCCATGGGAAAATCCACAGAAAATCATGGGCTCATCATGGCTCTAGCCAGAAAACATGATGGTTTTAGGCTTTAGGCCGTGATTTGCCCATGGCTTGTTGCCAAAGATGGGCATCAAATGGCATCAAGTCATAAAGTTGGGAAATAACATCCTGAGTGGTGGCTCTGGAACCTGTGGCACTTTCTATGATGTAAGCATTTATGATATTTGTGATACCCTCTGGTTATGTCAATAGTTTGCGAACTGGAAAATGGCCCAGTCGAAATAGTTGATTTACCAGAGGGTAATGGTTAAATATGGTTAAATTACCAGATAATTACCTATTATAATAACCAGAAGGCAATTTATAGTGGATTTTCCCAGCTATAACATGGTGATTTTTCCAGTGAAATCAAGGTCGACGGTCAACTCCCTGAGTCTTGGCCTGCGAAAAAACCCGCAACTTGATCGTAAAAAATCTTCAATACTCCAAAGCATCCTTGAAATCCCACAAAATCATCAAAATTCGCCAAACATCACCAAAAAATCCTCAAACATCATCAAGTCATCACCAAAACATCCTCAAACATTTGCCCCAAAATCAGCCAAGATTTCGAGAATTCCTGCCCAAAAAACAACATCATCGGAAAGTCCCGAAATTTCACCAAAATTTTCCCAAAAGAATCCCCAACGAAAATCATCCGTCGCTCCGGTTTCAGGTCGCGATGGGCGATGTGCTTTCCGTGCAGAAAGGATAGACCCGAGATGATCTGGCGCATCACCTGGGGCGTTTCCAGGCTGTTTCCCCATTCATGGTGGATGTCGAATTGGTAAAATGAACAAAAAGACCTTCTCAGCAAACCTCATTGCACCCACTGAGAGCTGCAGACAGTCAAAGAGGTCCAGCTTCTCCAGTTGAGCGGATTTCAGCAATGCTGTGAGACTGTCTTCTTGAAGCAAACATTCTATGACTGTGACCTATGACCTGCAATGTGACTGTTTTCAATTGCAATGTGACTCTTCATGACCTTGAGTGAATGACAGAATGACAGTTCAAACATCAGCAAAGTGGTGATCCTGTTAAGACTTGTTTTGGTCGTAAAAGAAGCTCGCACAACATCGGACAGTTGGCTTTCCGTGAAAGATGACCATCCCGACCCTGTTATGACAAACACCACTGCCATGGCCATAATGCCATAGCCACAGAATGCCACAGTTATCTGCCACAGATTCACATTGTTTTTATTGGTCCATTTCTCAGTGTCCCGCGTCGCTTCGTGAATTAATGCAAAGCTAGACTACTGGGTCGCTTGGCAGCTCCTGAAAGTTCAATATTAAGCACTCCCGGAAAGCGCGGGACGGCAGAGTGCTTACTGAGATCCTACAGTGAGGATCTATTCGGTCCACTCTGCATATCACAATTACTTGCCTGATGACCTCCTGAGAACATGTTCATTTCCTTTTGTTCTTTTTTGGGGAATTGTTTCATTGAAAGACGGTTTCTGCTCAATTTCATGCAAGAGTTCCAGGATTGCTTCCAAGTGTCCGACCTTATACAGTTCTCTGCTTTTCACACTATGTGGATTCACATTTCCATATTTTACCCGCAGGTTCTGATGGAGTTCTTCCTCTATCTGGTATGCTCTTCTTGTGTTCTGATAGAGATGAATGGCTTCGACCTTTTCCAGAACCATTGGCTTAAACGTACTTTCGTATTTTTTCAATCTGCTGGTCCTGGCCAAAATTGAGGGGTACTGGCTGGCCCCGACCTTTAACATTGTAGCTGTCCTGGATTTGAGACGCAAGACATGAATGACACCACAAGCACCATCAGATAGTGGAAAGTTGTATGCTTTCATTTCCTCGTCAATTTTGAGCCATAGTACGTTTATTGCCCAAGGCATTTTGAAGTGATCTTCGGAATGAATGACGGCATAGTATAGGCTGGATCTCAGGAGATGTGGTTTGCGGAGGTTTGGCTCCAGTGGCTCCGGATGTGAAGGCGCTAGGCGACGATCATAGTTCAGCACCTGTCATACACAATGACAGGTGCTGAACTATGATCGTCGCCTAGCGCCTTCACAATGTTTAGATCTGATCCCATCCCTTTTTTCATGCATTTTGATAACTACATGGTTAAATTTTAAAAAAAGATTAGTCCAAGGCACTGCTTGTACGAGTTCTTGGGTGGATAAACTCCACCAATCCAGTGCTTCCGGCATGGGGCCTTTGAAAGGCCACAACTTTTTATAGATCCTCAGAAGATTTTGCCACTCTGAATCTGAATAAACACACTCGTGTTTCTGATTGGCAATGACATGCCGTGTCTCCTTGTCAAACTTTTCCATTGTCTGTGTACTACCTTGTACACTCAGCTTGATACCACTCTCGGTGACATTGTGAGCTCTTCTCCAGGGAGCAAGCTCTTCTCTGAAGTGCAAACTTACGCCTTTAATTTTGAACATAATGTGATGCAAAACAACCAAACATTTCCATATAGCATTTAACTGACATCCCTCGTGCAGCGACAATTGAGAAGTTTCTGTTGAATCCTCGGCCGATATCCTTTGATCCGCAGCACTTGCTGTGGAATACACAATCTTCCGCATTTCTTCTTTTAATTCATCTTTAGCCAGCTCAAAACGTGTTTACCATAGTTCATTGACTGCTGCTCTGGCAGCCTCTTCTGCCTTTCGGAATCTCTCCTCCAATTCTCTGTCATTCTCCTCTGCACGCAACAGATCGATTCTTCTGGCAGCCAGGCAGAAGAGGAGAACAGAGAATTGGAAGAGAGAATCCGAAAGGCAGAAGAGACTGCCAGAAGAATCGATCTGTTGCGTGCAGAGGAGAATGACAGAGAATTGGAGGAGAGACTCCGAAAGGCAGAAGAGGCTGCCTTTCCAATAGCTGTGCTGACTGTGTAGTTGCTTGATCTCGCGCTTCGGCGAGCTGTGACTCCCGAAGATCTGTCAATTTTCTTTGATCTTCTAAGGCAGCCGTAACGGAACGCAAACTTGAAGCGAATGAATCGAAAGTACTCAGCAGTGCACCATCTTCATGTGCATATAGTTCTTCTGTGGGAACTAAGGCATCTGATTCTCTGTGCTCATCTCCCAAGCGCAGACCCGCGCGGCACAGTTCCCGTAAGTGCCCACGCGAACGGGAGCGCTCACAATTTATTCTTGCATAAGTGCTGGACAGCTCACAACCACCTTGACGCACGCTCTCCGGTGAGGATGTGATTTCAACCAATTGTTTATCTTGCGCCGGACTGCTTGGAGAAGCTTCTGTGCCGGCACCAACCATCGCAATGCCGAAATTCGATGGCATTGAGGGCTGCACGAGGGAAATATCAATCCGTGGTTGCTCATCTTCACTTTCTGATTTCATTGTGTAGTGTCCCAATAAAGGGTGCGAAGGAAGTGCTCGAAGGGTCACCACCAGGGGGATGCAATGGCAAGGTCGCGGACGCAGTAGTTGCGGAGAATTACTAGACAAAAAGATTGTGAATTCCTGATCTACGAACCACATCAGTCCTAGATCATTAAGAGGCATATTATGAATGTTAAAATTATATTCGGTTATCCAATATATGTTTCTCTCTACTGCGTTGGAAAGTGCCCGATGGGCAACGCAGCACTGCTTCCTGTAATGAGCCAAAACAGTAATGTCAGTTGTGCAATTTGTTAGTTGTCCAACTGTTCCAATCTTTTTAATCACAAACATTTCCGTGAGTGTTGGACTGACTCGGATGACTCGAATAGTCCGTCTCAAATTGTGAAAAGAGGAATGTGAATCTCAAATCCCTTTTCTTGTGAATTTGAATCCGATCCTTCCTTTGCAAGAGGAGTTTTCAATTCCCATCTCCCCTTTACCTATAAATTCCTATGACGATCTCCATCTGTCTACTCTTTGAAAGAGGAGTTCTCAATTAGGATCGCTCCTTTTCCCATAAATTCCTTTGACGATCTTCATCTGTCCACTCTTTGGAGAGGAGTTTTCAATTCCCATCTCCCCTTTTCGTACAAATTCCTTTGACGATCGCCATCTGTCCACTCTTTGAAAGAGGAGTTTTCAATTCCAATCTCTCCTTTTCCTACAAATTCCTATGACGATCTCCATCTGTTCACTCTTTGATAGAGGAGTTTTCAATTCCCATCGCTCCTTTTCCTATAAATTCCTATGACGATATCCATCACTCTTTGACAGAGGAGTTTTCCGTTCCCATGTCCCCTTTTGCTTTAAATTCCCTTGAAGATCTCCATCTGTCCACTCTTTGAAAGAGGAGTTTTCAATTCCAATCTCTCCTTTTCCTACAAATTCCTATGACGATCTCTATCGGTCAACTCTTTGAAAGAGGAGTTTCAATTCCCATCTCCCCTTTTCCTATAAATTCCTATGACGATCTCCATCTGTCTACTCTTTGAAAGGGGAGTTTTAAATTCCAATCTCTCCTTTAAATACAAATTCCTTTGACGATCTCCATCTGTCGACTCTTTGAAAGAGGAGTTTTCAATTCCAATCTCCCCTTTTCCTCAAAATTCTTTTGACGATCTCCATCTGTCTACTCTTTGAAAGAGGAGTTTTCCATTACGATCTCTCCTTTTCCTACAAATTCCTATGACGATCTCCATCTGTCTACTCTTTGAGAGAGGAGTTTTCAATTCCCATCTCTCCTTTTCCTACAAATTCCTATGACGATCTTCATCTGCCTACTCTTTGATAGAGGAGTTTTCAGTTCCCATCTCCCCTTTTCCTATAAAATCCTTTGACGGTCTCCATCTGTCTACTCTTTGAAAGAGGACTTTTCAATTCCCATCTCCCCTTTTCCTATAAATTCCTATGACGATCTCCATCTGTCTACTCTTTGAAAGAGGAGTTTTAAATTCCAATCTCTCCTTTAAATACAAATTCCTTTGACGATCTCCATCTGTCGACTCTTTGAAAGAGGAGTTTTCAATTCCCATCTCGCCTTTTCCTATAAATTCCTATGACGCTCCCCATCTGTCTACTCTTTGAGAGAGGAGTTTTCAATTCCCATCTCTCCTTTTCCTACAAATTCCTTTGACGATCTCCATCTGTCTACTCTTTGAAAGAGGAGTTCTCAATTAGGATCGCTCCTTTTCCCATAAATTCCTTTGACGATCTTCATCTGTCCACTCTTTGGAGAGGAGTTTTCAATTCCCATCTCCCCTTTTCGTACAAATTCCTTTGACGATCGCCATCTGTCCACTCTTTGAAAGAGGAGTTTTCAATTCCAATCTCTCCTTTTCCTACAAATTCCTATGACGATCTCTATCGGTCAACTCTTTGAAAGAGGAGTTTTCAATTCCCATTTCTCCTTTTCCTATAGATTCCCATGACGATCTCCATCTGTTCAGTCTTTGGAAGAGGAGTTTTCAATTACGATCTCCCCCTTTCCTACAAATTCCTATGACGATCTCCACCTGTCAACTCTTTGGAGAGGAGTTTTCAATTCCCATCTCCCCTTTTCCTATTAATTCCTATGACGATCTCCATCTGTCTACTCTTTGATAGAGGAGTTTTCAATTCCCATCGCTCCTTTTCCTACAAATTCCTATGACGATCTCCATCTGTCCACTCTTTCAAAGAGGAGTTTTCAATTCCAATCTCTCCTTTAAATACAAATTCCTATGACGATCTCCATCTGTCGACTCTTTTAAAGAGGAGTTTTCAATTCCAATCTTCCCCTTTCCTAAAAATTCTTTTGACGATCTCCATCTGTCTACTCTTTGAAAGAGGAGTTTTCCATTACGATCTCTCCTTTTCCTACAAATTCCTATGATGATCTCCATCTGTCTACTCTTTGAAGTGGAGTTTTCAATTAGGATCGCTCCTTTTCCTATAAATTGCCATCATTTCCTCAAATTTGCCGTCACGATTCAGAATATCCATTTATGCTTCCTGACAAAACCATAGAAGTTGCAGACTGCCCATCTCTGAGCTTTGAAAACTTGGGAACCGAACGGGTTCGTACCGATAATCTTCTTCTGTGGACCACATACCAGGACGACAGAGTTCCAAATACATCTTGATCCAAGCAAAATGCATCCATCGGAAGTCATACCCACCAGCCTCTTCTGCACACTTCCTACAATTCTTGTCATTGCATTCTCTTACCTCACAAGGTAAGTCCAGGTCTGGCGCATCAGGAAGTCGTCGATGAACAATGGCAAATAAATGTCCCAATAGAGTGAGGCCAGTGACTGAGTAAACTCGTATCCATGCCTATACACTGTTGAGAACTGCTTCACTGTCAATCCTTTCATTGTCAGACCATATTGGTAAATCAGCCATGATTGACGATGGCAAAGTGTGGAAACGTTTTCTAACAAAAAAGGTGCCCGAAGGGCAACATCGGCTAATCGAACCAAAGCAGAATTAATGAAACAATCACTAAACAGGACCTGGGGGAGACTGACAGGATCGACTATACTGGGAAGCCTCAAAGTTCTGGCAAGTCATGGAAATTGGAACGAGTTCACAGCAGATTGACAATTCTGACAACTCTGACAGGTAATCAGATATAGAATCGTCGAACAGTACCTATTTTATCCGAGTCGCATGTTTCGCTTCCAGCTCCTTCAGAAATCGTTTCTTGGCCTTGGGTACGGCACGGCGGAAGTTACGGCTTCACCGATTTCAAGGGACTCCCCAAGCCCCAAACACCACAGGTTCCAGGTCAAAACTACCAGCAAATTGAGGAGTATGGTGAAACATCTTCCCAAATCTGGGGAACACACAAAAAAAAACTTTTGCCCAGTGCCTACAGTACTTGGGGTCTTGAATGAAAATAGAGGGGGCCGGTATGCCATTTACCATCATCTACCTATTGGTTGTTCAATCGGGTAATTCCTTTCTTGCATAACCAACCAACGGGTGGAAAAGAGGACATCTATCGACCCTGCCACAAGGGCTGGAAGATTGTTGTCCACCAAAAATTGCTAGATGTTGAGGGTCTATGTTAGTTTGGGAAATGGTAAAATCGATTAAAATTTCATTCTATCCCAGTCAATCCCATTAATGTTGCATTAGTATCCCATGACTATCCATGACCGAAAGGTAAAACACATGAATTTTTGGGGTATCGCAGCATTTTCCGAAACCTCGAAACGAGACGCGATCTGCTCGAAAAGCTCTCCACCCTTCAATCTTTCCATGACCAGCACAATCCACCGCTTCGTCCGGTAGATGTCCTCGGATGCAAAAATTTGATGGGTTTGAATGGGAAAACCATGGCTGGTTGGTGGTTTTAACCATCTTGAAAAATATTAGTCAGTTGGGGTTATTATTCCCAATATATGGAAAAATAAAAAATATTCCAAACCACCAACCAGCTGGTCAATACTGGCCCATGGTTGATAGCAGGTTGAATAATGCGATATGAAAAAACCTTTGGTGTCATCAAACATGGCTGGGAAATCCTCTATATAACCAGATGGGCATTTCAAGGGAAACATATGGGCAATTCATCTAAATGAGAAGTTTCCAGCACACCATGTTTGATTACCAAAGGATTCTCCTGTGGGTCAAATTTGTTTCAACGCTTCCCCAGAAATGGCGGGCAAAAATTGGGATTCTCCATGATTTTCCTGGTGATAATTCACTGATTTTCCTGGGAGCCAACCCAATGCCACAAACCATCCTGGTAACCCTGGTAACCCACGATTTTTTTGAGGGTCATTCCACCATCATCCCAGGCATATGGGGATGAAATATATCATTGGGTTTACCAGATGAAAAACCTGCATGTGCGCATATTTACCTTCTGGTAATCAACAATTTCTGGTCATCAACCAGGGCAATGACAAATCCGCCATTTACAGATGATTTTCCCAGCAACATGGGATGATGTTTGATGACTGGAGGGCAACTACAACCCTTTCCCGGGAACCCACGTGAATTCCCATCATTGCTTGGTGTTTTTAGGTTTCTCTGGGTTCCCCCATTAAGAACTTGGTTAAACCATATTTATATCAGAAATCACCATTTCAGACAGGTCGCGAAGAGGCTGACGCAATGTTCCTCGGTGACGTGATGCCCCCTACCAGGTGGTGCTCGAACCGCTCCCTCCGTTCAGAACTCGTTTTGTGGTAGTACCTGTAGTACCGCACAAGGCGGTGGCGGAAGTTTCAACTTAGGAAACCTATAGGAGAGCTTGGTTGTGGTGAATCACGGATGGCAGAACGAATCCACTGATGGACTGAAAGGTGGCTGGAGTTGTGTTTTTGGAGTGGTTACAATGGTTGCAGTGGTCACCTTTGTCGGTCACCTCACCCACAACTGCTGGATGTAGTGTGGTGTAGCAGCTGTAGTTGTAGTTGTAGTGTAGTGGAGTTGTAGTTGTGGTGTAGTGTAATTAGTCTAGTGCAGTTGCAGTTGCAGTTGCATTTGTGGTGGTTTCATGAGTGTAGTGAAATGTAATGTAGGGTAATGTAGTGTAGTCTAGTGTAGTGTAGTGTAAAGTAGCAATTGTAGTTGTAGCTGTAGTTGTGGTTATTGTAGTGTAGTGTAGTGTGGTGTGGCGTGGTGTAGTGCAGTGCAATGTAGTGTAGTGTCGTGTAGTGTTATGCAATGTAGTTGTAGTTGTAGCGGTAGTGCTAGTAGTAGTAGTAGTAGTAGTAGTAGTAGTAGTAGTGGTAGTGGTAGTGGTAGTGGTAGTGGTAGTGGTAGTGGTAGTGGTAGTAGTAGTAGTATAGTAGTAGTCGTCGTCGTCGTCGTCTTCGTCGTCGTCGTCGTGGTCGTGGTCGTGGTCGTGGTCGTGGTCGTCGTAGTCGTAGACGTAGTCGTAGTCGTAGTCGTAGTCGTAGTAGTCGTAGTCGTAGTCGTCGTCGTAGTAGTAGTAGTTGTTGTTGTTGTTGTTGTAGTTGTAGTTGTAGTTGTAGTGTAGTGTAGTGTAGCGTCGTGTGCTGCAATGTAGTGTAGTGTAGTCTAGTCTAGTCTAGTCTAGCCTAGTGTAGTGTAGTGTAGTGTAATTAGTGTAGTGTAAAGTAATGTACTGTAGTTGTAGTTGTAGTTGTGGTTTAAGTGTAGCGTGCTGTAATTGAGTGTACTGTAGTGTAGTGAAGTGAAGTGGAGTGTAGTGTAGTGTAATGTAGTGTAGTGTAGTGAGTAATGTGGTGTAGTTGTAGTAGTAGTTGTCGTTGTAGTTAGTGTAGTGTAGTGTAGTGTAGTGTAGCGTAGCGTAGTGTAGCGTAATTGAGTGTAGTGTAGTGTAGTGTAGTGGAGCGTAGTGTAATGTATTGGTGTAGTGTAATGGAATTTAGTGTAGTTGTAGTTACAGTTGTAGTTGTAGCGTAGTGGAGTGGAGTGGAGTGGAGTTTTTGTACCGCGCCTGCCGCGCGAAATCCACCTTTGCAGATCCTCTTCAAATGTCGCAGTCCTGCCATCGTTTTTGGAAATGCTACAAAACCCTCACATTTTGCTCACTTTTGGCAGGGTGGAGAATCCCTTGCGCCTGCCACAAAACTACGCTTCAACGTCCAAAAGCGGCGCGAACATGTGTTGCCTTCACGCCACAACAGCGTACACTTTTTGAAGATCTCAACTTCCAAAAGTGCTCCGAGGCTGGCGTGCTTTGTACATTTTGACTTCGAAATGTGCTTCGCGCCACAACGGCGTGCACTTTTTGAACATCGCAACTTCGAAAAGTGCTCTGAACGTGGCGTGTTTTGTACATTTTGTCTTAGAAATATGCAACGGCACACACTTTTTCGACATCTCAACTTCCAAAAGTGGTTTGAACGTGGTGTGCTTTGTACATTTTGACTTCGACATGTGCTTCGCGCCACAACGGCGTGCACTTTGTGAACATCGCAACTTCGAAAAGTGGTCCGTGCTTTGTACATTTTGACTTCGAAATGTGCTTGCGCCACAGCGGCGTGCACTTGTTCGACAGCTCAACTTCTAAAAGTGCTGACTCTGTGGTGTTTTTAGCTTTTTCACTTCCACATGTGCTTCGCGCCACAACGGTGTGCAATTTTTCATCTCTCATCTGGCCAGATGGCTCCGCACCCGCCGCCTTAGCGAGCCTACTTTTCGACCCTTCGGAGCTACCAACCATTGGAAAAACACAGTGTTTGGCGACTTTTCTACCCTTTCGCGCACCTGCATCTTCTTTCTTCTGACTCTTTCTCTTCTCTGATCTTCTCTCTTCTTCTCTGACTCTTCCCACCTCTGCTTTTCCATCTGTCCATACTGTCGGAAGTTTGACTTCTAAACTTCCTTCGACCAATAGCTAGGGTTTTTACGGTAGCACCCCAGTAGATGCAACTATAGTATTCTATGATACTCTATAACTAATGGTGGTAAGCCATCAAACATAACGACTGGGGGTCACCACCATGCACAGTAGTTGGCACACGCTTGGTAGACGGCCGCGTATTTTCTTGCATTTTAGTGCCATTCTGCCCTGGCATTTACATTTTTTTAGAAGATGTTCTTTGAAATTTGCTGTGCCAATAGCCCGTTTTTCACTCCCCTTGCTGCTTGTTTTACCATGTTTTTCGCTAGGATAGATTGGGGGTGGGTTTTGGGGGGTTGGGTGGGAAGGGGATGGCTAAAAAAACGTTCTGATTCTTTGCGTTTCAATGTAGATGTCGCGATGCCACGCTCGCAACTTACAGCAGGAAATTCTTACACATTCTTTGCTACGCTAGTAACTTTCTACGGGAAGTTCTATTAAAGCCATTTGTGCTTAGCCAACTTGCAAGTTCTTATAGATATCCTACTTGAAAGTACTTACAACAGGAAATTGTCCTACTTAGGAATTCTTGGTTTTTGGAGGCTTGGAAAGATTTTCCTAAGCTCAAAAGGAATAGAAACACGTAGGAGTAGTTACATTTAAAAAAAATGAAAAAACATGAAAAAGTAACGTAAAACAAGATGTGTAGAAAGTGGGGCTTGGGACCCAGAAATCCCGCACTCTGAAGGGCCCACCTCCAAGCTGTACCTCCCTGAGAATTCTCCGATTCTCCCCATTCTTTTCTTTTTCCCCTTCTCTGGGCAACGGCACCTAAAGCTCTCCATCTCACCACTGTCACTGCAACTATTCGAGCTGAAAATAGCGACACATAGCAACAAACATTTTTCACTGCAGCTTGTTTGGGTCCTATTTTTCTGTCTATATACGATTTTTTGAATCCAGAGAGCCTTTCTCTTGAAGTCTGCATGTGAATGGAGAAAGCTGCGCTGCCCCAGCATTTGTTTATAAACAAAGAAATAAATAGACGGAGACTTGGGGACCTCGGGGTTGGTTGTGCAAGTGTACCTACGTATACCTTGAAGTTTCTAAAATGTACCTAGAAGTTTCTTTTTGTATCTTTTTTACCTGCTTCAAAAAATACAAGAAGGTGCGTGCATCTTTTGGGCCCAAATGCACATAAAGAAACATAAAGGGCTACATTGTAGATACAGAAAACGTAGCCTAACGGCTCCTTGTCAAGAAGGCTAATTTTGCCAAGATAGATGACCAACTACTAGCTTGAACAGATTGAAGGCAACACATTTTGTCTTCGCAATGATCTAACTCTACAAGCTCTAAGTGAACGAAGGCCTCAGGAAAAAAAACACGTCCTGGTCCTCACTGGGGAAATCTGTTTCGCGCTCCACAGATCTTTGCACCCCTGGGTATGGACAAAAACCGCCTGGCAAACAAGCAGTCAAAAGGCAAACACAATCAATGAAAAGCAAAAATGCGAACACGCCAATCCACAAAAGGATGGGCGCGAAGGGGGGCAAGAAAGTTGGACAGAAAGGAAAACAATTAATCCATAAGAAAGCGAACACGCCATGTGCTGAAACCTGGGAGTAGTAATTTTCGGTTAAGGGATCACTTAGAGCGCCCGAAAGTGGATCACTTAGAGCACCGGATCACTTGGAGCACCAAAAAAGTGGATCACTTAGAGCGCCAGAGAATGAGACCTTTAGGGTTTGACTTCGGGACACGGGGCTGGGGACATGGGGTGGGTTTACGGGGGACCAGCATGGTGGATCGCATTAGAGCACCGACCTTTAGGGTTTGACTTGGGGACACGGGGCTGGGACACGGGGCTGGGACATGGGGTGGGTTTAGGGGACCAGATGGGTGGAGCTCCGCGATCAGCTTCTTCGTGCGACGCTGGAGATCAGCAAGAGAGGGAATCTTCTCACGAGGCGAGGTACTATCATGTAGAACTAGCAACGCAGCATCTCCTGA